TTTTTTACATAGAAACTTATATAATTATATATATTTTACCGATTATTGTTTGCATAAACTATTTTATTAAATATCACGGTATAATAATTACTAAATTTTGCGAGATATAATGGAAATGCCATACGAAACAAAAAATTAATTAAAAGATTAATTAAAATATGTTTATTGCTTCCTCCGAAATATTGATGACATCATTTTATTTGACTGAACGTCTGCAAACGCAACTTACGAACTGTGTATTGAGTGTCATCATGGATTGTGCGTCAGAGGCCAGGAAAGTTCGTTATTTTACATTTTACTCTCTTCTAGCGACTACAACGCGTTAGTAAATTTTGAAACTGAAATAATGTAAATTCAAACCACAAAATGGAAAAAATCAAGAAAAGACTCGCTCTAGACTCGATGAATAAATTTGGAGTTTTTTACTCGCTGCTGTAAAAGTTATGATGTGATCGATAATTTTTTTAAGTGGCAACACTGGTTTTATTACACACTTTAGAAGATGATAAAAAACTGGAAACTGCAATGTATAATTATGGATGGTTAAAAGAAACGTGCAAAAAAAATATGTAAATATTTGAAACCAGTTAGTTACACACTAAAAACTGAAAAAAACCAGCAACAATAAAACTGAACAAACGATCGCGCACGACAAACGATTACATTTTAAGTAAAATTTAAAAATCTAGTTCACACTGATTGAGTTGCCAGGTGTATATTTTTAATGGCAACCTAGATTTTCGGTGCATATTTTAAATCGCTACATATATAAATTAAGTGCGGTGGAAAATGGATGCGTTTGGAGTAGGCTTTGATAATATTTTTTTTTAAATCGGCGCAGTCGCCTCATACTGTGTCTGAAATGCACGTTTTCCTTTCTAAAGAGATTTCCATTATGAATGGATATATCCTGAAGTACGACACAGTTTATTGTAATTAATGCTAACGTAATACACGTTGTGACAACAAGTATTTTTAAAAGTGAGGGAGTCGTAATTTGCAAAATTCGGAGGATCTTGCTCAAGTTGTAAAAGTGGTTTGAAATTTAATATGAGCAGAGTCGAGCCATTTAATAATATGTAAGTAGAGAACGTGTAAGGTGTAAGTTGGGTAAACCGCGCCAAAAAAAGAATTGCAGTGATTTATGAGATTAGTGGGCGTAAGTTACAGTTTTTATCGGTATCAAGTCAAGTGGAAAGTACGTAACAAACACATAAATAAATCGATTTGAAAGTGATCCCAGAAAAGCCAGAGAAAATACGACAATTTCACAAAATCATTATTTACAACAACAGTTCAATATTCTTTCCTTGTTTTATCCGTAGATACGACACTATGACAGCCATTGAAATCTTTGACATTAATTAAAAGGGTGTGGTCGAATTTTTTCTTAGTGGAACTTAGATGGCTATTCGTCATTTTAAAACAACTTTCGCGAATATATCAACACTGTCTATACAGAATCTAGTTATCTATATAATCGCTTTAAATGTCAACCGAACCGATTTTAATCAGTGCCCAAATTAATATTCTTATAACCACACTCCATTTGAATATAATTTAGGCGTAGCCGTTATAATACGCGTAACCACAAATTATCTGCTTACGTGCATCCGCCCCAACCTCTAACCTGCACCACGATCCCATGCTCGCACTTCTACCAACCCAAAAAATTTTAATTACCTTAATTAGAGCGCGACTATAACTCGATACGAATTTAAATGCTAAACGGATTATAAATATCACGACTGAATTTTTTCCGTTAATGAATTTTAATTTTATCTACGGCCGCTTTTCTAATCCAATCTGCCTATATCCTCAATTAAAAAAACTTGATCTATATCTGTCCGAATTTATGATCTATAGAGAAAAGTGGGTTATGCTACGCGTTATCTGCACAAAAACTTTATATATAATTCATTAGTTAAAGGTTCTGTTATATAACTACATTAAAATTAACTTTTTTGTAATTGCGGAATTTGGTCATGATATTGACATTTGTCAACGAGTGGCGCAACGACCATTTCGGTCAGTGACGTAACTCCGGCGCCACCCCAAAATACTAACCTTATCTCATTAAAAAAAAAAACATTTAAAACTTGAAATGAGTTTTATAAATTAGTCCAGCTCTAAGTATACACACACACAGAAAAAATTCTCAAATGTACAACAGTGCTTGAGAGGAGAGGAAAGTTCCATGCAATACCACTGAAGTTTCTTAAAAATTGTGTTTGTGCACCAGTTGGCTTGATGTTAACCTTCATTTTTTTTTATAAAACGATATCAGGTTTTTGGAGGAAGCAATATACAGTCTTATTAATTTTCTCTATTTTCAGGACAGTTGATAATGTTAATAGTGTAAATTTACTAAACGTGCATTTTCGTGTGTTACGATCTGCTTTAAAAATTTGTTGCGGAACCGTTTTCATTGTAGGGAGCGTTGACTTTAGCTGCATAAAAAACAGATGGAATCGCCTTAAGTAAAAGTTTCTTTGTTGCATTTTGTTTGAGTGAGCTAATGTGGCCTCACGATCACCCCTGTGCATATCGAAGCCTGTAGAATAATTGCCTCATTAACTTTGGCGTTTACGTTAAGGTCATGGGTACGGTAACCATAAAATCACATTTAAAAAATAATATATCGCCTGCGATCAGTTACGTCGTTGAAAATGCGATGTGAAATCTTTTAATGAATTGTGTACTTAATATTATGTGTAACTAAAAGGACGACATTGATAGATTGAAGATAATTAATTTCCCAGAGGTCCTTACCCTTTTTTACCTCCATCATTACGGTTATTGTAGAGTATACAACGAGCTTCTGCATACTGATTCGGAATCGGTGCGTTTCTAAGCAGCTTTTAATTTTTGCGCGATTTGGACATCACGCGTGCCAGGTTGTAAAAATATCGCAGTTTAACCTCTAATTATATTTTACACAATATAATTATATGAGTATCATAAGTACACAGTGTGTGAATGAAACATAAACGGGTTTAACTACTTCTAAGTCGGATAATAGCCTGTTTTACACTCGTTTTTTTAACATCTCAATAACACGCGCGAAACCTCCCTGAGAGTCGTCGCATCTAGGATTATTACATAGCGTGGATATTGACGCCGAGTAATTATACACTTTTCATTTTAAAAACCGATTTTTTCGCGACGCAAAAACGCTTGTGTGCGAAAATTACATGACGTGCGGCGTCAGTAATTTGCATTGTATTTACCATTTCTTGTCGCGCTGAAACACCCGGTACATGTTTGCCATATTTGTAAAATTTGTGGGCTTTCATGATGTTGTTTGACCCATGTTAAGTTTGTTGCATTTCGATTTGTATTCAAATTCCTATGTATGTACGAACACAAGGGATATTTGTGAGAAAACATAGATAGGTGGGCTGGAAGTAAGAGGTGCTTGTAAAATCAAATGTCACCTCAGTAATCGATATATTGATAAAAATCTACATTTTTTCGTTGGCCAGGGTGTAGCCTTTCAGATAAATCACCGATCAACAAAATGACAAAATCTATTGTTTTACTAAAATTAATTAAAACGCTCAAACGTGAAATGCGGGGAAACATTTGTTATTGTGAAATATGTTTTAAACAAATTAGAAACTAAACAAATTATCACATTTTACTGAATCGTGTAACTGCGTCACTTGCCTTTTGTGGATTCGAGTGTTTCAGGTTGAGGATCATCTGTCGAAAAAATTTTGGAGTGTTTTCGCAACCACACTGTATTACAACTAAAATTCAAAAAGTCAAAACTAGTATAAATAACAAGTCGTTTGAAATTTAGATTAATAGATCTTTCGGCATTAAATTCCGAAATTTCTTACTTGAATGAACTTACTTGACATTTAGAATATTATTAAATTCGAATCTTAGATGTAAAAACAAATCAGTTTTGCGTCAAAATGTGAAGGTAATATAATTACATTTGCTTTATAATTGTCGTTATAGATAAGATATTTTCGAAATCAGATAAGTCAATATGTAACAACAAATGCTCAACTGCTAACCATTTTATTGATTAATAGGGCTTAGTTTGAATGAATCATTCACTTCCTTCTGGATGAAAGATGGCCACTGTGTGTTGAATGCGATTTCTAAGTGGGACGATAGTGCGCCTATTTCTCTTTAGGGAAACTTGTCAGTCGTCAATTAATTACAATCGGAAAACGACCGTATAAGCGTAATCCGCTCACGCAGTTTTTTAATTTTTTAACACTTGTATTATTTTTTCAACATTAATTGACGTTTAACATTTATAGAAAACTCGGCTCTGATTGATTAGTCCAGTGTCATTGTCTTAATCAAGTAGCGATGTAAAGTTTGACGAAAGATATAGTGCGTTTAGAACTTCAACTTACGGATTTTGCCTAACACGTGTTGTTTCGAATGAAAAATTAAGTGTATTGATTAGTTACAACGGGTTCGCCAACAGTTCTCCAACGTCCTTAACAATATAGCAATTAGGTTAAATTTCCAAGTTGATTTATGTATTTGTAATTACACGATCAGGTGGTTATCAACACTAAGCATCGATGTTAATGTTGTAATCGACAATAATTTAACACGATCCTTAAGGACAAGCATTGTGTTCACTTCCTTGTAAACAAAAGACATTAAGTTAATAATGGCTACAATGTTTGGCAATTTCGTCCGATTAAATCATTAAATTAATAGTTTGTGACTCTATCTGCAAGTTTGATTTAGTAATCCGGTGTCTCCAACCGAGTCGACGAATGCCAATTAATTCGTAATGTATTAATTTGGAACAATGGGAGATCAAATTCCCAAATTAATATGTTTTATCTAAATGGGAAAATACTTGATCTTTGCAAAATAATGTCAATTCTGAGAAGTGGGCACGGTATATTCCGGTTGCCGCTCTGAGCGTTCGGCGGCTCGATGCGGCGAGCTCGCGGTCATGTGACCCGCGCTCGCCACGTTGCGCCGCGATTAGTATTTGGCAGTGGATTTTGTTGCAGGAAACGGAGAGATAATTTAGAGTCTGAAGGCAATACAGTTCATCAATCTAACAGTGGCGGAGACTTACCGATAGTTGTTCAACGGGGTATGGCAGAGTTGCCCGAGGGGGCGGCGCCTCCTGAGGATCAGCACCCTTGGCGTACATACGAGCACCCCTTAACGGCCGCCACTACAGCGATGTTGAACATCAGCGGCGGTGCCGAAGACCAGTCCACAGCTATGGGGTTAATTTACGAATATTACAAATTTCAACCGATTTCCGGGGAATCCAAAGACAAACTCGCTGATATTTGGCCGTAAGTTGATTTATGGCTACTATTATAGTGGAGTGCGAACGACTCGGTGGACGATTGTGGAACTTCGAGGCGAAAATGAAACCAGCCGAAAGTGTACTTTGAAAACGTCAAAAAGTTTACTCAAATATATTGGTTTTGCGGCTATCCCCAGAACGATAGCCTAGATACTGTCTTTACAAATTGGTCTTAATGTGTCATGTACCAACGTCAAAAAAATATATAGAATAACTTTATAAGTTATATACCATGTTGTAAAATCATTAACTGAAAAGATGGAAAAATTCCAGAGAGAGCAACTTAGAATCCTTAACCCAAAGCAAAACTCAATAGGAATCGAAGTTTAAAACTCGTCACATTTTTCTTTTTCAGGTTAAGAGCAAAATCATGTCATGCGCACTACCAAAATCAAAATTATAGGACCATTTTTGTGCAATATCAAATTTTATTTGAGGACATCGATATCATTACAATATCATACAAAAGTACCAAAATATCAAAAAGTGTTTCATCATACAGTGACAATATAGTTTCGCGAGGAAAATGCGTTCTGCGCCTGCGTAGTAAGCAAGGCATTGACGTGATTGAGGGGTTAGTGACAATCGTGGTTGAATTAGGTCCCGCTCTTGACACAGTGTCATTTAGTGTACTGGAACCATAAGTTTTGTGACTACACTTTTGTCTAGCTTGGGCATTTTGTCCTCGAAATTTCGCAAAAGGTGTTCAAGCACTCTACTATTGACGATTTATGCCAGGAAGATCGTCGGTCGCGGCGGGAAAGGGCAAAATGCCCCGTATTCGGGGGTTGGGAGCAAATGGGGCTTGAAAATCGGAAGGCAGGCAGGGCGTGATGGGTTAATGACTCGGATACGGCCACGACTGCACTTATCTGTATAAATTACTGTCTTACCTCGGGCAATTCAATGTCTAACACTTGAAAATCACGCAAACGCTTTTCAATCACAGTATTTACTTATTTAAATGAAACGACGTCCAACTAACGAAATCGCAACAGCGACCACAAATAAATCTGCACAAATTATGCAAACCGTCTGGGATAGCAAACAGGCGCTATTCAGGACATTTTTTACTTTAATCCTATTGTGTCGTGTAATATATAGTGCAATAATGCAGACTACTGCTATAAATTTCGACCGAGACGTTTTTAATTCGAGACCATTTTTATGTCGATTCTTCTGGAATGCTTTCATCTCGGGCCGTGCGTTAAAACTTTTTCCTATATTAAATTATTCCGCTCATGTGGGTGGCGACCTAGGCCCTTTTCTCACGCACATATGCATACAGATGCGTCCCGTGTACGCGATTATCATATTTTTGCCTTTTCTAATGCAAACACTTCGACGAACTTTTGAAAATTAATGTAAAAACGCACGGTTGCAGACCTTAATTTCATCAAACATAGGGGCCACTTTCCTTATCAAATGGGAATTAATTTGACCTGAAAATGGAATTTTTTGCCAAAATTTGCAGAAAAAATCAGAGCAATTTTTACTACGTCAGTTCAACTAAGGTACAATTTAAACCTAAATTGTTTGAGCCCAGATTTATGGTTAGGAATTACATAGGTGCAATTCCTAGAATAGTTTTAAGCGACTTTGTATTTTGAAAACGGTGTACGTTTATTTTAAACCCTATAGTATTTTTTGTATTGTAGATAAGCGGCAAATCTTGCCAAATTAGAATTTTCGTTGGCAACTAGTAACACTGAGGGCGATTTATTCACTATGGTAACTATTTTTAGGCGTTTTTCATATTTTATGTTTCAAAAATATTAATAAATGTAACAATTCATTTCATGATTAATCACTGTAACATATAATCAACTTCAATTTTATAATTTAGCGATTAAACTGGATTTGCTTGTTTGTGGCTCAGGGACAAGAGAAATTCTGTCTGGATAACGTTAAACCATTTTTTAATCCAGCGTGCGCGATAAATGTGTTGTTAGTTTGACGTTTGACGGTACTTTGACAGTTGGCGGATTAAATCTGACATTTGAGTGGCATGCGAATCATAAGTAACCATTTCCAACTCACGTAGTGTATGATCTATGATTTTTTGCGGTGCGCCACTGGATTTGTGCTTCTAGTGGTGGGGGTCGCCTAACGATACTGATAGCGAAAACCACTCCACAGAAATAAGGGACCGCACTTGTCGCGCGAATTTGGCCAGAAACCTTTTATTGCCGAAATAATTAACATTTTGTTATTTAGCGCTTTAACAAACTAAAACAACTTTTCCGTTTTCGACCGACACCTACTAGCGATCTTCGTAAATAAATGTCAAATTCCAGCATAAAATTATAACCCGCTCCGACTTATTTGAAAGATTTTTGTGCAAGTTTGTCAAACAACAACAACAATAAGAATGTTGCAGTGATGATCACACCGCGCGAATTTGGCACAACATAACCTATAAGGAGTCACGTGTCCGCGCATTCGGCGTGTGGACGCGGCATTGTGAAGGTGACCGGGTGCAGGTCGCGCCGATCACGATTACCTCGGAACCAGTCTTCGGCTAGATTCTAGATTCTAACGCCAGATAATTGCAATAAGTCGACGAAATAGTTCCTACCGGTTAACACCTAACCAGACCTTCGGCCGTGCCAGACACCCAGACCGGTCTTCATTTCCAATATTGCGGAAGATGCGACGAAAACGGTCTACAGGTGGCCCGAAAGTTGCGAAAGACCTGCGACCGGTGCAGCTTCTGGCGGGCCTACGCCTGCATTGTTCTGCGGTTGTATTCTAAGCACCGCGGGTAAGGTGCTAACCTTAAAAGTGACGTTTTCAGACGAATTTCACTATTTTTAGTCACGCATGTTGTTGAAAAATCTTTTATTTATTTAAAGAATATGATGATTAGGGTTAGTGCTAGGTATTTTGAAACCACTTTTCGTGAAAAGTTGAAAATTATTTGTAGACCGCAATTTACACACTTCACATTGTATTTCCACGGTCGCGCTGATCACAAAAAAATTAAAAACTCACTAGAACTGCACTCTCAGTTTTTCAAAATTTTGTTCAAAATCCACTGAATTTAAATTATAATAAAACTAACTTACTGACAAGTAGTACCGTAAACGCACAACTACATCGATCGAATGGACTGTGGAATGATTTAAAAGTGACGTCCGGTGTTGCCAGACTATGATTTGTCATAGTGGGAAACATTTTCTCAAAAAATAGCCAAAAATAACCAACTTTTTCACAGGATTTTAAGAAATGTGTATGGTTGTTACAATAAAAAAAAATGCAATATAAACTTTGATTTTATACAGGTATCCGTGTTAAAATTCCGTAGTCTTATATCTTGAGAACAGATAGAGATATTTGAATTCAGTAAACGCCATTGTTTTTAGTTTGAAGGGGATTGGAAATATGCCAATTTGGCTATACAGGGTGTTATTGAAAGGTACGTACAACAGAATGGACAGTTCTTCGCGAAGTCTAAGAAGTCGGAAAAACTTATTTTATCTTATCAAAATTTTAAGGGGAAAATTAACCCTTATCCAATCTTTTTAGACGCTACTGAAGGATAAATAGGTAAAATGAATTAATTTTAGTAAATCCTAGCAACTGTAACAATAAAATTTTTGTCAAGACTAAATGTTGCTATAGAAACGAAAGATGATCTTTTTATCAGAGGCGTACAACGAATTTGGACATAAATTTTAATAATTTTTATCTCTAAAAGGAGAACACTTTTACCTGAACTTTCTTTAACTTTATGCACCCATACTTCGAGACCAATTGCCGATTTTATTTTGTACGTACCTTTCAATAACAGGCTGTATGTAGGAACATTTGGTGCTCTGGTCAGAAGAAATAAAATAAACAAACTTAGGTATTATATTACTGTCGATAAAATAATCGCACGATTCGTATAATATAAGTGAAAATGGATATCGCAGATCATTGATCGTGCTTAATAGTCGAATTCTTTCGAACCGTTAATTAAAAGCATGATGTATTGAAAACAATTTTTATCTTCTTTAAATATATTTCACACTATCAGCACTTGTGCGAACCACGCCTTCTCAGCATTTAGGTGCTACTAAGGTCGCAAAATCGAACTTTATAATTTTTCAAAGGGGCAAAATTTCAAGAGCGAAGGATCTGTCGAAACAATATCTTCGACCAGTTTTTTACTATGGTAATCATTTACTTTCAAATTTAAATTGAGCTGTTTTCATTTATTTGCTCGAATTTTTGACTTATTTTCTCAAAATTTCAACTTACTTATCCAAAATTTTGAGGCATTTTGTAAATATTTCAGCCTAAGCTGAAAATGTGGAATATTTCTATCAAAATATATGTAGGGTAAGTCATTTAGCTCGATATACTATTAATTATTATAAGTAGGAAAAAAGTCAAAATTGAACGGTTCTTTGAGAGCTGTGCCCTAAAATTAATTTGAACTCTACTCTAGTGTTCTGTTTTTAAAATGACATGCCCTATATATTTTTACAATTGTGATTGATCACTGCTTAAGCTTTACAACCACAATTATTTTTTGAAATTTCGATGCAACGTTGCCACGTTATTACAATTTTCTTGACATTTTTTATCAATGATTTACAAAAAAATGCAGTAGGGTTATTTTTAAAATCTGTGTTACAATAATTTGTGGAGGGATGAATAAAAGTACTTTGTTGTGGTATAATTAAAATCAAATTTTCAGATACAGAGTATTTATAAACAATTTTTCAATCATTACAATTTTCAAATATCAGTTTATCAGATCAAATGGATCACTGTGTATTTTATTACTGCATAAAGGACGTATCTACACATTAGAAGAATAAAAACAAAACATACATTAACAAAATACAGGTGTTCATTTTGAAAAAAACTGAAAAATAGAATTTCAAAATTGTGGAGTTTAAAAAAAAATTTGAACACTCTGTATATTAAAATTTGATATAATTGACACCACAACAAAGTGTGTACTTTTGTCAATCTCCCCATAAACTATTTCAACATAGGTCCAAAAAATAACATCATTGCGATTTTTTGTAACCCTTTCATTGCCGAAAAATTCCAACAAAATTGGAATAACGTGGCAACGTCGCATTGGAATTTCAAAAGTAATATGTAACATGTAAAAATATGTAAGATGTTTCATTAGGGAAAAAACTAAGTTGTGTGCTATACCGTAAAAATTAAAATTCCAAAAATTTAGTACAGTCTGCAAAGAACCGTATAATTTTTGTCTTTGATTTTTTCCGTCTCTAATAATAAATAATTAATGAAATATCAAGGACCGTGAGCTTAATCACTCACCCTGTATATTTATATTAAGTAATATTTTTATATTGTTTCCTTCGAGGTTTAGTACTTTCTTAGTTCAGAAAATTTGAAATTTCTACATGTTTTTTCGAAATTTCGAATTATTGGTTCGGTATGCCGACGCAATTAAATGGAAATTTCCACACATCTTTTCGAAATTTCGATATAATTAACTTAAAATGGAAATTTAATTAGATGGAAATTTGATGTATTATATTAATTCGCTACAAATCTCGAAAAAATATTTAGACGTAATTCACGAAAATGATTGATATTTTGTTTAAAAATTTAAACATTATTACTCGAAATTTTGACGTTATTTGATTTTAACTCAAAACTTCAATTTATTTAAAAAATTTGACGTATTTTTTGACCACTTACTCTAACTTCAATTCACTAAAAATTTCGACATATTGTTTCCAAATTTGGACGCATTGACATATTATGTCAAAATTTAGAAATTTCGATTATTGTGTTAATTTCATCTATAATATTGTTTCAAAATTTTGACGTCATTAACTGTTTGCAGTGTATAGCTTCTCAAAATTGTCTCAAAACTTAGGTATGATTAACCCGAAATTTCGATCAATTTATCTAAAAATTCTGACTTATTAACTCAAAATTTTAATTTACTATGTAGAAAGTTTATTAAATTTATTATTATTATTATTATTTCAAAATTACGATTCTGTTAAATCCCAGTGTAGGTTATATTATCCCGAAATTTTGACTTAGAAAATCCGACTTTGGACGTAATTAATTGAGAATTTTGACATGTTGTTTAAATTTTGACGTATTTAATCGAAAATTCGTCTGAATTTTGGTTTAAATGTAACTTCTACTGCTGGAGATTCCGATTTCTGGTTTCGAAATTTCCGCTAATTAGCCAAAAATTCGCGTTTTTGGCAAAGTTGTTTTTTGGTTGGAATGGGTTTCATGGGACCGCCAAGCCAACAGCGATGTCATCACTCATCCGCCGTCATTGTGGCAGCGAACCCCTGCGCGATTTCTTATACAAATTTAGCGTCATTGTGCCGGGACTATTCTTATTCATATGGCGCACATCCTTAGGATAATATAGTGTTCTGAAGGGGTACTAGATGAAACGCGATGCTCAGGAAATTTTATATCGACGTTTTATTACAGTTGCGTTCGAATAAAACACGCTTTTAGCTTTTTATTTGCTTGTATGGCTGCGCTGTGTAGAACCGTTGTTTTCGTTTTACGACTTGCGCACCCATACAGAAACCATTCATGTATCGCCTTCAATAAATACACGTCGGGATATTACATAAATAAAGACATAACCCTTAATGATATTAACAATAAATGCTTATTTACGATGGTAAACGGGATTTTTATTGCACCCAGCTCGTGTCCATAAATTCGCAACTTGTGTATCCAAATTCGTTAAAAATGAACGTTGGATACCACCGGCTTGAATCCATGGACCCAACGTACCTTTAATATAATTTGTTAAAGCGGAGGGTTTCAACCTGATACTATCAGTATCACGTTACAATGCAGATCACAGATAAGCATTTTAATGAGCCGGGATTATAAATACATGGGTATGTAAGATATTGTGGTGCTAGGCCGAAGATGCTGCCTCCGGAAATAAACACCCCTTTGGGAAATGCGGATTTGGTACGTCATCACGCCGCTTTGAATTATTTAGATTCGTACAAGGATAACACAAGCTTTTCGTGCGATTCATAACAAGTACAATTCCCCTAGCTGTGGAGCAAATCCTCTATTCACTAGATTTTGCGTCATGGTTTTATACAAATGGACCAAAATTTTATCCGTGTTCTCGTGAAACTCACATAACCAGCCTGCGCTAGAGTTCTATTGAGTCGATACATGTTCTATATTCTTATCTCCAAAAATGCTTTAGTTTGTATGAGATTAAAAAGTGTTCTGTGTTTTCAAATTAGTGGTGAGCATTTGTTGTGAAATTATAGCAAGAACTGTGTTTGTAAATATGGAGTCCCATTTGTCAGCCACTAAATTCGAAAAAGGCTTTTTAATTAAAAAAATGTTCACAACGTGATATCCTCCCATTACAACATACTTGAGAAGTCTAATTAGTAGAAAATGAAACTTATAATTTGTGTTAATGACGTGCTTATAAGGATTTTATAAATTGTATGCTTTACTTTATCACCGGTCTGTACATGACATGGCGCCTAATTTGAGGTTGTAAATAAAGTGAAATAAACGATAATTTGTTCATTACCTCCTTCTGTGACAACATAGAATTATCTCAAACGACTTTTATTTTTATAGACGCTATAGTTATGTTTGAACGTCAAGCTTAACGGACGAAACTTTTGCTACTCACTGTATAATGTCAATATAATACGCAAGTGACAACAGTACTTTTTCTTGCATAGTAGATATGCCATTTCAAATAATAAGCAGTTTACCAAGTATGCGTCATAACCTACTCCTAGTACTGTACAGTACCTAGATACATTGTGTTTATTTTTTAATGCTAATATTGCTATTCGTGTTGACATCTATAAAACTACTTAAGATGTACTCAATTAACGTTACAGAACTTTATTATTATTGCAGACTTATTTTAATCATTGAATCATTAGCAAAATAATTGCATAAAACTCAATGACAAGAATATACACACTCGGGTCAAGTACATATGTCGTCATTATACTGGGTGTTCTACACCATATTTTCTGCATTAACGACGTTAAATTAATGTGAAAGAACATCTTTTCACTAAGTCGAGTCCATCGGACGAATGGCCATGCAATTCTATTTAAAAATTTATTATTGTTGAGAGGCCATTTTTCCCGTTGGTTATCTGTCCTTTTTTTTAATTGCATTAATTAGTTTAGTACAGGGGCAACATTAGTGAAAATGATTAATAGTATGTTTGATTGAGACGTTGTCAATTGTGCGCGTGCAAAATATTTTTTTTTCTGTTTTAAAAACTCGACAGTATTAATTAAGTTAAAGAGTGACGTAAAGTGCTCTTAAGCCGTGTATCAGCTTAGAAATTTGAATGCACTTCGTAATTGGTTTGTTATATTCGAATGAATGAACGAAATGAATGGGTTCGCGTTCTATCGCTCGTAATTAGTATCAGTCCGTCGGCGTTACGTTTACGTTACTTGTAAGGTGCGTCTACGCACTGCTTCACCGAACGCACCCTCCCCACCACACTAACGACATGACATAATTTGTTGCAGGGCAAGTTCCCAGGCCGGAGGCATCCTAACGTCCCAGCTGAAAGCGACCAATGGACTGGTGAGTGGGGCGGGGCTAGAGCTGCCGACCCCTCCCCAGCTTAATTCGCAAGACTTGCAAGGTTTATTTATTAACCAACACGTCGGCTACACGCAGGCCGCCGCCTCTGCCCAGAACTTCCAGCTGGTGAAACGGGAGCCCGAGGACCTCAGCCACCACCGGAAGTTGGAGTGCTCTTCGCCGGGTTCCGTCAGCCTGGACGGGTCCATCATCAGCAGCAAGCAGCGGCACAAGGTGACTAGTGTATTATAGGTGTTCTCATTCGTAGTGGCGCTGACGGGTCTGTCTTTCGCTCGCCTGTTCTTCCAAGTGACACGTGAGGGTGTGACGGTCCAGCTCCTGAATGATAGCACATTTGGACATTCTGGAGCAGCGATGCGTAGACCAAGTAGTGATGCATGACGTAGTTGGTTCAACCAGTGACAAACGGACACTAGAACTCAAACCTTCAAAAAATTTTAGTTCGTGTGTGTGACACCACTCGAAGCGGACTGTTCTCGAAAGAAATTACAATTTGCGGAAGTGCTACAACACATTTCACGATTTCGATTTTTTTGTGTGCAGTTAAAGAAGTAAGAATTAACACATATATGCCAGTTTTGTTTTAAGGCACCACGATATGCAGGTTACGTAACAAATTTTCGTTTTAACGTGGTTTGAAAATTCCGTCTCCAAAATGTCAGAACTCTGTTGCCAGGTAAACGCTTAAAGTTAACAAAAACTGGTTCTCATTAAGAAACGAAAAATATTTTTATTTCCTGTACAACGCATTAGAAAAGATTTAATGATTTCTAGGTTTTTTAAAATGTCACGAAACTTTACTTTTGCAAAGAAATGGTTTTATTTTACCTACTTCAAAATGGCGTAGTTATTGTTTTTAAAAATAATACTTGAATCATAAAAGGCCGTAATTACCACTCTAGGTGGCTCAATCGTGTCTTCACATTCGCCTTCGGAGTGTTGTGTATGAAACTGAGCCGTTGTTGTCATTGTTATATTAAACAACATAAAGAAAAGATTAGCACTACATTGAAATTTATATAAACTTACTTTTCCAAGAACTATTAAGTTCTCACCATATATTGCGCTGCCTATGGAGACTTCAATGCTAAATCAAGGTACAAACTCAATTGTTCAGACGGTGTTTCTTTGTATGCCCATCTCTAAAAGCTGCTAATTAAATAATACCTACTGAATAAAAGAACTACCGGTATACGTTGTACAAAAATTTCCTATGATTTTAAGCTTGTATAACATGTCATTTTATGTATTTGTCTTAAGATTCAAAGATCTAATAAAAATCAGGGTTTGTGAAAAATTTGGCGCGTATTCGTTCACTTACCTTAAAAGGAATAATATATGTTAAAAAGTTCATTATCTATAAGTTTCGTAGATTTTTTTTACATATCATAGATAGGACGTGGGGTTTGAGCTGCAAATGCCCTTTCTTTTGGTCGAACCTTGTTAACGATTAATTTCATAGAAACAGTGGTTATACTTCAATAATTGGCTGCTTTGCGTTATTTTAAACATGAAGTATTTAAACTGTGATTTAATAACCGTATATTAATTGAGGTTATAAAAACGCTTTAAATTATATGGGTAGTTACACCTGCCACATAAACACATACATATATTTAGCTAAGTGTGCAAATAATAATTTCAAAAGGTCTTGTTATATAGCTACGTAAAATAAACCAATAAAAAATTTCTAACATGCAGAATACTGAGTCAAAAAACTAAATGGAATCATTGTAACTTCAGTCGGGCACCAGCGTTTCTTCTGTCGTCGAAGAAAAATAGTTAATCGTAAGCGCGTGTCCGCTTAGCACGTGTAATTCCGTAGTGGCTAAGATTGTTGAGGGTTTGAGCGAGCGTGTCTAGTGTCACGGTGTTGTGGATCGCAATCAAGTAACTAGTTTCGGTGAAGTAGAGCTGGAGGGCGGCAGTAACGAGTGTTGTTGTTGGTTATTATAGGTCGTGCTGGTGTCCTCTGCAGGAGGTCAGCACGGAGACCTGGTGGTGGATGTGAATTCGGTCAAGGACGAGAGCCACCGGGGTCTGAATTCGCCCCAGCACGGTTCCCGTAGCGTAAACGCTACGCCGACATCGACCCACAGTCACAGCAGCCTGTTGGCCGACGGCTCCAACACGGGACCCATCGAGTTCATCTCTTCGGATGGCATCAAGCCGGCCATGTACGCCACGCAAATATTCGCCGCCATGACCAACAACGGCCATGGCGGCAGCGGCACCCCCTCCCCCATCCCCTACAGTGATCATGTGACACAGTACACGCAAAGCGGCGCCGGCACCGCCACCTACGCCGCCTCCGGCAGGACAGCCACGTCGGCGGCGTTCGCCGTCTCCGATCCGTACTACCGCGAGTACTTCACGACGGGCGCCTCCGGGGGCGCCACCCCCGAGCCGGTCTACTCCGGCCAGCTGCGCCAGACCCAGGCCTACAGTGAGGAGGTGGGGGGTGGCGGGACTACTGCCAGTTTCGTCGAGCGCTACGTGCGCCAACCTTACCACAGCAAGGGCGTCATCGCCGCCGCCACGGCCGCCGGCCTCACTGTCGACCTGCCCAGTCCGGACAGTGGTATCGGAGCCGATGCCATCACACCCCGCGACCAGAACACCTTGCAACAGGTGAGCAAGACAGACCTCAGCACCTCTTCGTGGATCAATCTTCACTAGATTTAGTTATCTATAGCTTATTTTACTCTACTCTAAACCTCCACACAGCTCCCGATTGACCAAACGCGATCCGCACTATGCATCGACCGTTAACTTCCACGTGTCTGCCATTAAGTTTAATTCTGTTACAGTTGTAATGTTGTAATGTTATATACAGAAGGAAAGCAACTACTTTGAAAGACCCAAAATACCCTGCTTCAAGTTACAGTACCTTCCACTTTTGCCACCTTGTTCTAGTTTCAATATATGTTTGGCCCACACTAACGTGTTCAGGTTCCAATTCGTCTCTAGAGAGACCCAAAATGTCCTATTTCAGGTAATAGGATCTCTACTTTTGGGGCCAAATTTTTTCAGTTTGTTCTTCTCCCGAGATTTCCGAGTATTCCTATGACCCAATTCCACCTTTTCCATCTTAGTTACCGACTGTGCAGTGAGTCCCTTGTGGTTTCTACAAATCTTAGTCTTTCTGACCTTCTCAAAGTCCTAAACTATTTTTGTTCGGGTTACCGTAGCCACTTTGTTCGAGTTTCAGTAGATACTTGGGTAGTACTAATTTGTTCTAGTCTCAGTCAGGTTTGACTATCCATTTGATTTTACACTGGATCCTTAAAATTTCCCGGTACCCACATAGTTGTGTCCGCTTTGGGCCACTTTAATGCTGTACACGTTACTAAGCTTTACACGCCTAGTCCAAGATCTAGGGTTCACTCTTTGTAATTTCGAAGACTTTCCTTTTCCAAATTGGTTTATCGATCGTTAACTTCCATATGTTTGTCGTGGAGACGACAAAAAATGTGTTGGATCATATATTGGTACGTTTATTGCCTTTTTAGGCATAAAATGCCCTTATTTGGGTTTCAGTAGCGTCCGGCTTTTGCCACCTTGTTCGAGATACAGTAGATATATGACTACTACTATTCCGTTTTGGCCGCATTGGGACCCATTTTGAGTTACTTTTTCTCTCGATTAACCACTTGTAGTTATTAAAGACGATTTTGACCATTTGACTTTCTGACAGTGTTCGCCACGGGGTTCCAACAATGCTGCCAAGAACTAGAAGGAATTAACTACTTATTTCTCGAAATCTTCATTTTAAACTTACCGTTTTTCTGCCTAGCGGTAATTTGAGTCGAATTAAATTTGTGCATCGTCGTTATGTTCCAAGCTGTGTAGGAGCCAGTTGTCGAGTTCCTAGTGACGACTGACCCACGATTTGCGGCTATCAAATTTATGCCATCTGTAGGCACGTGAGTGCGTACTAAATTTTTACTGGAAAGGAGCAAAAGATGTCAGATTTGATGTTTGTACATACATTCAGCGGTTATTACCCTTAGATTCCGCCAGTAACGTTTATTACGTCATTCCTCCTGCCTTATTCGTCAAACTGCCTCGAACAACGAGTCGTAAAAGGCTAATTTGTTTCAGAACTACGAGTATCCAGAAATCTGCCCTAACCCCCCTAACATTTTGGATCCTCTGACGATTTCCCAACGAAACAGTTCAAGCTCTCAATCACCTGGATCTCAAACAACGAGTAGAAGTCGACCTTGGCACGATTTTGGTCGTCAAAACGACGCGGACAAAATTCAAATTCCAAAAATGTAAGTACTTACGGAAGAGGAAAATGAACTGTGAATTACTCGAAATGACCTCGCAATATAGTCCGGTGCCGTGAACTGGATAAACTCGATTCGACCGGTGTCATTTGATACAAGTGCCTTATGTCATGCGGCATAACAGTTGTAATACTATCAAAGAGCCTGTTCCACGAGTTGCGTTGGACAGAACTTACTCTTTTTATCGTTCTACTTCCCGTAAATGTGCACTAATTCCGAATTTTCACACACTCGGAGTGGGTACCCGAGACCGGCAACGATTGCACGGATCTCGATGCAGCGTCGATGATGAACATCAGCTTTTGTTTTGGTTGCAGATTTTCGCCGGTGGGGTTCAAATATCAGCTAGAAACGCCTATTTCGACGTCCCAAAGGCGCGAGGATGACCGGATTACGTACATAAACAAAGGCCAATTTTACGGAATAACTTTAGACTATATCCCAGACCCTGACAAGCAGCTCAAATCACAAACAGTAAAGGTAAGATACAGTATCTTTGAATACAATATCTGGAACAGGGGCAAACAGTCACTCGTGTGCACGTAGACCAATTAGTGGATCTTTTTGTTCCGTGGAATGTGGAAATAAAAGAAACTCGAATTGGAGTTACGGTTAGTGCGTTATTTATCACTAGAATATATAATTGATGAGGATTTCTTTGATACGCTCGTTTAATCAGCTGCAAAAATCGGAGATATTTTTGTATGTAATGAGACTTGGCTTGATATGGGATGTTTCCTTAAGTTAATTATAAAATTATGAAAGAATTAACAGCCAATTACCTGGAGGGAATATGGCCGAAAAACAAGTCCCGTGACATCTTTGCCCGTTATGGTCATGCCATAACGACGTATCTTTACATCTAACGCATGACGAATATGTTTCTAATAAGAGCATTCTCATCGTCGATAAACACACATACGCACAAAATTATCGATAATCGTTGCAATTAACACACAACTTATTATAAATCGACGGGAATAATTATAAATGATAACGATACACTTACCGATACATTGTACCCGGCGTTAATGGAAGCATTCTTGAGTAAATGAACTGTCAACCCTCACTAAGGTCAAAAATTTTCTTCGTTGTTGCGTAAATACGTTTGATTGCCAATTTAACATGCATGCAAATCGACGATTTATTTTAATTGCCATTACAGTTGCTTGGATAATTTTGATCGAAGTCCATATATTACTAAGTTACTGTTTTAATTAATTATTTTAAAAATCACAGGCGTGTTTTTCACACCGTCATTACACACCACTTTGCATTTTTTATATCATTTTTATAATGACAGCAATCATTTTTTGTTCAAGTGCCACATCCAAATATGTCATTGTCATGAAAAACTGAAAGGTATATTTTTTCTAAAGTTTAAATGTCATCGATTTCGAAAAAGTTTCTCAATGAAGTAATTATCGTAATACATTAATAAACAACAGTACGAACGGACATGTAGGGTTTGCGGTAACACGAACGAGTGTCAATTTTCGAATATCCGCGCAAGCACACAAACATAATGGCAACAACGTGTTCGAGCTAACAGTCATTTTCATCTTTTATAATTGCGCGAAACGTCAAGGCAAATGTCAGCTCGGCAATTATTTCATAATATTAACCCCTGCAATAAAATTGTCAATTATAAAGAGCAAATTACAGGGTATGTCCTTCTCGATCGTTTTTGCCGTACTAGAAATATGTAGAAAGTCAAACGCAAAATGCATGTGTAATTTCTGCATAGTGATGCAGTGAAATCTGTCTAAATCTCATTTTCTCTTTTATTTTCGTTACTAAATAGACAACGATATTTAACTTTATCAATAATTACACCGTTGCAACGATGCATTAAATAAAGTCTTGTAGTTTGTGTGATAGGGGGCGTTCGAGTAACATATGTTTGATGGCTAACATAATACAAATGTTTGCCGTTTGCGAGATAACGCGACGAGAAATGTTAATATCATACGACAGTATAAATAAGTTATGAGTATAAATGACAATAATTTATTAGAGCGGCCGGTAAAAACTTTCGTTTTATTTCTGTCAAATAATTAAATGACGCGCCTTTTGCCTTAAAAGGACTGGTTTATCTGAAGTCGATTAAAACTTAAACGGTCGTTGACTTTCTTCTCAATGACACTATTCTCAGCTGAGAGGGCTGACAATAAATGACACGTCTTGAAACAGTTTGATATTGAAAATATTGTGACTAACTTGTGCTGTTAATGTGTTTACAGAGTTTAGTGGTTTTTTGTGATATTTGTATTCAATTTGCATATAAATGAGCCGATACAAAGTGCATAGCCTTGTATAATGCTAGACCATTTATAGAGTAAAATTGATAAGCATCGACGCAGAAAAAAACTAATAATTAGAATAAATCTTTTATAATCCCGGCTACATCTCGGGAATAATTCATTATGCGTAAAATCCAATTAACCACTCCCTTATTAGAGAGAATCTGTAAGGATAACACAAAAACTAGATTTCAAACATAAACGAAAAACTTATACCTACACATAATTAAAATCAATCAATGTAATTGTTTTATTATGATTGCATCGTCTATAATGATTTCTTTGCGTAAACGATATAATTTAGTAACTTAATTGGGATCAACCTTGGAATTAAATGACCCTTATCACTTTACCTCGCCATTCATTCTTAGTACCCAATTAAATTTTAAGTTGTCATTTCTTCATCGTTATAATGGCAACGCTTGAAATTTTTATCCATGTTTTGAAAAATCTCATTTGGTCTTGTAGAGCATCGTCATGCTTATGTTCCGGGAAGAGAAAAGCCCAGAGGACGAAATCAAAGCATGGCAGTTCTGGCACGGCCGACAGCATTCCGTTAAACAACGAATTTTAGATGCAGGTCAGTATAACTTAATGAGTCGTTAATTACTACGGAATTTCACGTTAATTACCCCACCAAACCCACATTTTTGGCTAAATTTCATCACAAGACTAATTAATCATAAAAACGGTTACCGTCTAAAACCTCGCGTCAAAAACAAAGCACGAAAAGTCGAGAAGTATTTTTAGTTATTTTATTTCATGAAAGTTATTTTATAGCCGAATAAATAGTAGCTTCATTTAAATATAAATTGCTAATGTGATGCTCTGTAAAGGTCAAACGTCCACCTGCAGACAAGTAAATATGTCTGCATGTAACTGAGGAATATTCACATTTATCTGGAGAATATTTTTATTTTGTCTTTACTCACTTATAGAAAATTATTTATTGCAAATGGCGGTACACAAATTGTGTTTAAATTAATGCTTCCTGTCGACTGATATTAGCGACATCGGTTGTACAACCCAACGCGGCTATTAAATGTAGTCTTTCCACAATCACCCTCCAAATTCAGCTTCTATAATCTTGTAATAAAGATACAAATAAGAACCCAATATCTTTTTGACTTGTTCGAATTAGTTATTGCTGCAAAGTGTAGGCCGCACGTGGGAAGTATTGATACTATATTGTTCTTCAACATGTGTGTGGGGTATACGTGTATACATAATGACACTCGTAGAACTAATACAAATCACTTAACGAATTTTTGCATTTTTCATGCTTACTTTGCCGGGTAAGTTCATCGTTTTTTAGTTTTATTTATGCTAACGCAACGTTTTCTTTGAACAGATACGAAGAATAGCGTGGGTTTAGTGGGCTGTATAGAAGAGGTAGCGCACAATGCTATAGCGATCTACTGGAATCCATTAGAAAGCCCCGCGAAGGTACGGTCACACTTCTCCAAATGTCCAATCAATCCATCAATCAATCAATCTTCTTTCAGATTAACATAGCAGTGCAATGTTTGAGTACAGACTTTAGTAGCCAAAAAGGCGTCAAAGGCTTGCCTTTACACTTACAAATCGATACGTACGAAGACCCGCGAGATAATACCGTTTTCCACCGTGGGTATTGCCAAATCAAAGTCTTTTGTGATAAGGTAAGAACTTAAGTTAAGTCAAGTCAGTCACCTATAGCATTCCTTGCCAAAACAGGGGGCGGAGCGTAAAACGCGCGACGAAGAACGAAGAGCCGCGAAGCGGAAAATGACAGCCACCGGCAGGAAAAAGCTCGACGAGTTGTACCACCCCATGTGCGAGCGTTCGGAATTCTACTCGATGAGCGACTTGAACAAACCCCCAGTTCTATTTTCGCCGGCCGAAGACATAGACAAGGTAAACCCTCACCCCTTTCCTCCATTTTTTTTTTCACTAGCTGGTTTCAGTTGACGTCGATGGAGTTGCAGGGTTTCTACCCCCACGACACCGACAACTCGTTGACGGGTCCCGTTGACCACGTCAAGTCCGGGTCGCCTTTCCTCCTTCACGCCGCCGCCAAACCCCCCACCACTCCCACATTAAAGTTCCACAACCACTTTCCCCCAGATGCAGACAAAAAAGACAATATCCTCGATAATAGTTTGACAACGGACGGGAACGTGTTCTCGCCGCCTCTGAAAAGAACCAAAATGATCACAGGCCCCGGGAGTGCGGGTCCACCCCCGCTGCACGAGAGGGTAATGTTGTACGTGCGTCAGGAAGTTGATGATGTGTATACTCCCCTTCATGTGGTGCCCCCCACCACGGCCGGTCTGCTGAATGCGGTAAGTTCCGATAAGCCCAATCATAACGCTTAGCTTTTGCTTAATGTGCATGGACCTGGACGTACTGGGCTTTTACACATCATCGTTTTTTTTTATTAAATAACAAACTAAACTTGGCATGTTGGGTAATAACATCATCACGAACGTGGGATCAGTTCACTTTTGCTAACTCCACGTGTAGACATTCAAAAGCTCAGTACTTCTTCTAAATCTATGCTAAATGAAGAAAGACAGAAGTGCGTCTTGCAATTCAAAAATTAATTCTGTTTTCCTTATTTTGCAGATTGAGAATAAGTACAAAATAAGCGCTTCGAGCATAAATAACTTGTATCGCAAAAACAAAAAAGGGTAAGTTAGATTTTATTTTGTTGGAGTATTTGTGAAGAGTGAACTTGATACTAAACACTAACGGTCCGCCTATACTAACTTTTCGACGCACTAAAATCGCTTATGCTGCTTTCCACTATTAATACACGCTCTTAATTTCTATGTACACTCACTTTTTTCTTCACACTTTGACAAAAAAGTTTTCGCCAACTAGTACTTGCTACAAGTATTTACAAATAACGTAATTTAGTCAAATGGTACTTTTGATACTTCTTCTATTTTGATCAACTTTCGTGTAAATGTCACGTTGACGTTTAATATCAATATCTCAGAAGATTGTTAATCATAATTTAATAAACCGTTCCAGCAAACCTTGTCTTACCCTAAATTTGATTTTGAAAACCTTTTAAGAGAAAGCCATCTTGTGCAATTTTACTTCATTAATACCGTTAAGGAACAACTGTCAATTTCTGACAGTGTCATAAAAATATGAAAATATTGCAACCGCTTGGAACTTCAATTAACGTTGTAATTCGGTATCCTCGACCCACTAAAAACAAACTTCCTGTTGTGAAGTAATAAGTTATACTTTTCACGGTACTGCGAAGTGGGCGTTCACGTTTGCCGCCTTTTCGAAAAAAGATCCGATTACAACCACTTGACGTTTGAGTGGCAGTTTACGAGCGGTAAATTTGAATAAAAACAAATTCTGTAGTAGCGGTTGCAATGACAAGTACCAGAGTTGTGCAGACGCTTTTTGTTTGACGCGTTAGTGATAGAGAGGGTTGTTCTGGCTGTGCACTGCGTCGCTTTTGTTTAAAATGGCGAACCAAACTCAGTTCGTGACTTCTTTTTGCAGCATTACGGCCAAGATTGATGACGATATGGTAGCGTACTATTGCAACGAAGACCTGTTCTTGTTGGAGCTCAAGATTGTGGAAGAAGACCTATTTGATATTACTTTTGTAGAACTCTCTGACCATTGAAAAATTGCCATAATATTAATAACGTACTTTCCATTTTATTTCATAATTTTTGTGATTGTTTTTATACAATGTAATATTACTTATAGATTTTTTATTGTAGAATTTTATCATTGTTCATAGTATTTAGACTCAATCATTTTTATGAAGTTTGTTAGTGTGTTGTTTTTATTTTTCTTATGATCTTTTATTTATAAAATATTAAAATGATCAATAACATCCAATGTTCTTTTTTATTTATGAAATAATATAAAAAAGTGACTTGATGTAATGTTGAAATTTTATTTACATGGATCAATGTTTATATATTGTTTTAATTTTTTTTAGATGTTTTTTATTATCGCTAAGTTTTAGATTTGGTCGGCGTGACCAACGATCTCAAAATTGAATCATGTAAATGATCTGAGGGTTGGGATAAGGAAATTACTCATTGTATATAGATTTAGAAATGACATGTACATAGATCAAGCCATGACCTAGCCTAGGTATACATTCCTTGTGATAAGAATATGAACATTGTAGCCCAGACATCATTATATTGCGAGTATGCACAATTTCGCAAAAATTATAAGTACCTGACTTATGCTTTATCAGTAATCTAATCTTTTCGAACAACTTTCTCAAAAATCAATATTTTGGGTACTACTAATTAACTGACTCTTCATAAATTAGGATGGGATTTCTTAATCCCAACATTCCACATGGTACTGATATGACTAAATCATAGTCGTGTATATTTCAAGTAATTTATTGTTCGTATGCAACAATTGTAGTCTGTTGTATGCGTGTTATTTTGATATTAGACTAGTTTAGAATAAGTAAGATAGCTCTCTGCATGTAGTTTTACCTAATGTAGGAGTATTCTATAACTATCATACTTAAATGATAAGTTAATGAACAATGTTATCATTTGCAATATTATATAAGATTTTTTTAAATATGTATTTCATTATATGATTAAAATATTATATATTAAAACAATTTTTTTTCATTATTTCTTTTAATTAACCGATCATCTTCATAAAGTACAATATAAAAACACCATAAATACAAAAAACAATTCACTATATAAAAAAGATCACTTCTTTTCTGGACTTGTTTCGCTGCCACTTTGACTTTCCGTGTCTTCACCACCCATTTTATTCTTTGGTGGACTTGTCAATATTTTATCAATTATCCCGAAAGTCTGAGCTTCTGCAGGACTCATAAACATATCTCTTTCCATACTTCGCTCAACTTTCTCTAAATGTTGCCCCGTGTGTTTCACATATAAGTTGTTAATTTGACTCTTCAGTTTCAAAATTTCTTCAGCTTGAATTTTAATATCCGTCGCTTGACCCTGATTATCAATATCAAATTAGTAAACAACACACAAAAACCCAACTTAAATTCTAACACGTAAGTACAACGTAGTTGTCTGACGTGTATTCGCAATAAAATATGTCTATTAAATAATTACGTCAGTATATTTAAGCTATTAAAACGCGTTATTTGAAGTAGATGTGATTTATCTCATTCGTTAGTTTAGTAAATTATATTACACGTAAAAATATTTTTATTAAAAGTTAAATATTTATCTGAACTTAAAGTAATACTTTGTTTATCCCGGCAGACGCATATACGTCTGTTGAGTATAAATAAACCACTAAATTACCACTACTATACAGTGTATTAAACACCAAATCCACAAATTATTTATGGTAGAATGAGATTTCTCTAACGTAAGTGTTTAATATAAAATTAAACTCAGAGTTTACGCGCATAAAGAGAAAATTTACTGCCAGATAGTACAATTATTAAAAAACGCTTTAATGCAGTAAAATACTGTTACTGATTTCTAACTAGAAAAGAAAAGTGTCACAGAAATAGAAAATTAGACGAATAGATTAGCACTAAAATAAATTGATAACATAGTAACGTCAAAATGACGATTTTCAGTATTTTAGTTGTCGGATTATTTTGGTTTAACTAGGGCGATCAAATTTGACAATTGGAATGAACAAAGAAAATTTACAAATATTACTCTAAAAATACACAAAAACTCAGAATTACAGATTTTAAAATTGTAGTGAACAACTGTCACGTTAAGTTAGATAGAAGTACGTTTATCATTTGTTAAACTTTTTCTAAATAAATTAGTACATTAAAATCAGCTTGTTTTTAATTATAGAACATTTAACTTGACATTAAACTGTTAGGTAACTGATTAAGCTAACTTAACACTTAGCTTAACATTGATTAATGACCTAACTAACATTACAGTTGACTTTCTTCATAAATTTAAACACTTAATTCATTTCTTAAAGGTTAGAATGTTTAAATGAGACAAAATATTCGTTTTCATCTATACTACGAAAGTTTATTATGTACAACAAATTTAATATGTAAATCTTGCCAATTTTTGGAATGAAGAAATAAAAAAATGTTCCTTCTTGAAGTCACTAAAACTAGTAGCAGAACATTTAGATAATTTGCAGGAATTCTTTAATTCAAAGTCTTTATCAATTGGGTTCATTTTAATCCAAGATAAGGGTGTAACTAATTCTACCTATAGCAATAAACTTGATAAGACCTAAGTTGAAAGATATGCCGTCTGAAAAAATCAATCAGCATGACGTATGTACCTACTTAAAAACATAGAATACAAAATTTAAGTAGCTCAAAAATAAATGTTATAAGAGCTAGTTACTTCTAATAATTATAAATAATTAATATATATTTTTGTCAAAGAAATACTGTTACTTCATTATCAAGCTTATTTTTATCGTTAAATGATGTTTAATAAGTTTCACTTAATGACTGGTGTATGGCTAAAGCGTAAATTTTTATCTGCTTTAATTCAAGCGCAACGGAAATTTAACCACACTTTTATGGTTTATATTTAGTCGTTGCAAACGTTATTTAATGAAAATAAATGAGCTATGAGTTACACACAAACATATAAACACTAAGAAGTATAAAACAATGTTTGTAAATATACAGTAAAACTAACTTTTACGAGCCATTCTTGTATTACACCTAAGGTCGTTATTACAACTTGCAATACAACTATGCAATTTGTATACTTAATAATCGCTTTGTATATTTTGACTGATATTGATATTAATTATTTACATTATTATTATATTACTTTTGAAAACATAGTTCTTAGTAAACATATTTTTGTAACTTTCACTAATGTGAAGTCAATTATACCAAAGAAGCACCAAAATATCATCCAAGACAGCCGTGAATTTTTAAGTCAAACTTTTAAACTAACAAAAATCCATGGCTGTCTTTGATTGTGTTTTTATTACAGGTATTGGTGGAACCAAGTGATAATCATCATGTGAGCAATGTAATTGAAAACTGGCCAATTTTGCTTGATCTTCTAGGGAACAACGTTTTATTTAAATTGCTATAGCAAATGAAAAAAATGTTGAATACTTTTTTTTTTCTAAATGTGTTACATTGAAGCTTTTTAATCTTGAACTAGTTGCATGTATTACGTTTCTCTATATGGCGTAGTATGGGTGTGATTAATATGCACTAAATTACATATTTAACAAAATAAAAGTAGGATTATAGTGTGCTACCAATAACAACATAACTTAAGAACTGTCATTCTGACACCTTATACCAACTGACGTTTTAATACTTTGATTAATAACTGAAATTAATTTTCACGTTACTAATTTTCATACCTGCGCCCCTCCTGAAGGCTGATGTATCATAATTCGTGCATGTGGTAGAGAATGTCTCATACCAGGGCTACCGGCAGCTAAAAGTAGAGAAGCCATACTTGCAGCTTGACCTACACACCTACAAAACAATGTCATTACAAAATATTAACCTAATTAAAAAAATCGTAAACCATGTAGCAATAGGTGGTAATATGTACTGCATTGTGTCATAAATCCCTAATCCAGAGGTGACACTTCCACCAGGAGAATTAATGTACATGTGAATTGGCTTATTTGTTGATTCGGACTGTAAAAATAGTAATTGTGCTACAATAAGCGAACTCATTGGGTCGTTGATGGGGCCCATTAAACATATAATACGTTCTTTCAGTAAACGTGAATAAATGTCATAAGAACGCTCCCCTCGACCAGTTTGTTCAATTACAATGGGGACAAGCCCAAAATTCCTCACTGATGGTGGTACATTCGTCACTTTTGATAAAATCTACAAAAATAGAAACACAATTAAAGTGGGTAAACTTAAGGGGGTTAACTTACTTTGGCAGTGGTTAAGATTCTTGTAAACATTGTCTCAGAGTTAACCTCAAAGCGTGTTAGTAACTGGGGCGGTTATTATCGGTTTGAATGTTCTTATTGTACTCACATGAGTATTTACAAGTAAGCGATTTTGTATTATTTACCTGAAATGTTCTCAAAAATAATATAGTTTTTATAAAATTTCATTATTCGGTGTGACTTATTGGTTAGGCAACCAGTTATACACCTGTGTCCGATTGTGGTGTACATGTTCTACATTAACAAGCTTGCACAATCATGATACGGCAAATCGCTAAATAATAAATAAGCGAGTTTTATTTATCTTCATTGCACCAGAAGATATCTAATTACTGCGATAAATTTAATCAAGCGATAGGCAGCTGTAATTATTTTATCCATGTTATAATTCATTTTGATATGGAAATCGCACCCGATGATTATTTTATTTTTAAATCTATTAATTGAGTTTCCATGTCCATTAATCAAGTCTTTCCCATTGTGTTTTAATCCCGTTATGCCATATTCCACGTTTATTTAAGCCGTTACCGTTCATTATCAAGCCCCCCCACCTGTTCCCCCTAGCAGCAGTCAGTCCAGTTTAAAAAATCGAGTTCATTCCGTTTTCTTACATCTCACATTTTACCAACAAATCAACATTTAAAGTCCCCAAAAAATCACGGTTATAAATAGGTATGATCAAAGGGTATGATTATAATACATAAACTTATATATTCACTAACCGCGCGCACTAATTGAATAAAAATACATCACTGCAAGCCTCTCTAATTTTTACCGATATTTTAAAATAAGTCTTATTGCACCGATGACTAATTGCTGCGTTATGACTCACGCGTTAATCGAGCTATTTTGCATATTGCAAAAACTGTGTATAAATAAAATTTTTCCAAAACTGTGTCGTCAGCTATTTCCAGCAATTTCGTAGGTAAAATATGATGGTTTTACTCACGTCTTGTCCAAATAGAAATTTTATTATGCTTAATTTTAGTGCAGATGCTGGATAACATTATGATTTAAAACACGGTTTTCAGAGGCGCCGCACTGGGGTATTACACCGAGCCAAAATTTTTTTTGACAATTAATTGTGTAAACTGCGCTCCAAAGCATGCCACTAGAATGCATTTATTTATTTATTTATTTATTTATTTATTTTGTAATAGAGAAAAAAATTTGTTATGGCACATAAAGTTTTAGTTATACGATTTACTAAATAAATAAATCATTTAAGACTGGCCAGACATTTATAGAAAGGTCCCGCGTAGTGGCAAACAGGTTGACAGGCTAGTTAGTTTCGACAAATTGACCGTGAAAATGAGTCTAAAGCACCGATCAATAATAGGTACTAATAGTTACTATTTTACAATTTATTACGCAACCTAAAATTTTATAGCCCATTCAATTAACAAATGTACTGTAACAAGCTCCGTATAAAGAAATTTAGCCAAAAACTTTGATTCGTGTACTGAAATACCCAAACTTAATTTAAATTAAAGCTGATTACGTTTAGTTACGTTATTATTAGTCACCTGACTTATCTGATCTATAACGTACTTCATGAATGCAGCGCCATGAAATAATTTGGAGATACAAATCGTGACTCGATTATTTAAACAATGTTTGTGGCAAAAGTACCGTGGAAAGTTACACTGTATCGTATTATTTGTTCAATTTTTCCTTCTGACTATACAAATTAGAAAAAAGTATTGTAGCATAAGTTTATAATTTTGATAATATAAGATTAAATTGATGTCGAAATTTTCACTGACACACCTGTTATTTCTGTGAATGGTTTATCACGCGATATTATCTAATTATTCTGCGTTTCAAGCTCGTGTAATTATATAGTAACGATGCGATTACAGCGATTTTTCTGTTTACTGTTGTTCTTGTACACATATTTTGCATATTCGGAGCTATAGCTAAGAAACTAATACTGTAATAGTCACATTCACACTATATTTATTTTAGGTTTTTTTTATTTTTGGTTTGTGTCTGTCTGTTAGAAAAATGATCTCCTACGAAACGAAACTACGAAAGTTTCAGTTTGTTGTAATTTATAATTATTGTGGATATGGGAAAACACTAACCCAGATTGTTGTTTGTTGATATTGACTCACTCCAAAAAAGTGATGATGTCATATCACACCCTAGGGAGAGCACTGAATCACGAAAAGTCAGAGATTTATGAAATTATTGTAAGAAAAAATTGGTCCAAGGTTATTTAGACAGAATTTAGTCTTTATAGTCATGACAATGTTAACCTGAGAGTCTGGTATTTTCATAGCGGATATAAAACACTGTTAATAATACGTTTTATTTTTGACTTAAAAAAAATTGTAATGTATCTCAGGGGTTACATTAGGTTTTTTTTGCAGCGCTACTTAAGTGAAATTCATTTATTCTCTCTGTTCTGTTTGTTCCCGCAGGAAGTTGATGACGTCAATCTAAAAAATTAATAATGTGAATTTTGTGGTTTTCATTTATTTTGTACGCGTTATATGAAAGTACAAGTTCGGAAGAACAAAAACCGTTTAGAAAAAACGAATAAAAAAGTCAGATATCTGTAAAGTGTAAAGAATGTAATAAACTGATACACAACAAAGAGGTTACCGTTGAAAGCTTCATCAAACGGTTAATCGGGCATGAACGAGTAGTGTAGTAGAAAACAGCGTGTATTGTCTAGATTGAGAGAATGCAAGTATAAAATTGCATGAAATCAGATGGAATAATATTAATTATTAACGACAGGAGTATGAAATTTGAACAGTTACGCCACTGGTTTTATTTATTTTTTTAACGTTAAACACTTTACCTTTGTGGATCTATTTAAAAATTTATTATAAAACGGAATTTTATTATTAGACGTGTACATGTCGCAGAGATTTTTTTATTGTGGATGAAATAAGAGAGAGATAATGTGTCAAAAAAAAGTCCAACGTAGTAATATAATGTTTACAATATTTTGTAATCTTTAACAATGTTATGTAATTGTTTTTAAGATATTTCCCTTGGAAGTGTGTGATGAAAGCAAAACGGAATTAATAATGTCGCAAAGAGTGTGAGCAACGCTACAAGTTGAACACCGCCTTAATTAGAATTAAAAATTGTCCATGATTCATAGTGTCGTTGTATTTACAAAACCGCCGATCTCGTAGCAGATAATAATTTTAAATTCGTCCTGAATCTAGGGGAAAATTGTTTCGAGTGTTGGCGAGACATCGTCTATCTCTGTTTAGCGAAGCGAAAAGTGACCAGTCGAGTTTCTCCGTCTCGTTTCTCAGTTGTGGACGCTAGTGGTAGGATCGTTCCATTTTTCTATCTTTAAATTGTAATCAACCCTCGTAGCACGTGAGTAAAATTATTAGTAATTGTGTTGTATGGAAAAGGCGTTCGATTTTGATATAAAATTCAATGAATAATTGAGTGTATCGCCGAAGTCGGTTCGTAGGGAATGTCGCTAAACCGCCGCCATTAAAATCTGTGCGCTATCGTCTGTTCGCAAGCCCGCATCGATCCGCAGTAGTCGTGTTCTAGTCGTTGTGTCGTATGCTAGGGGTACTGTTCGGCAAAAGCTGAGAGAGATTTCAAGTAAAGTTGTTGAATTTTAATGTAAGTTGTGATTGAATATGTTGTAAAGTGTTGTTCTCGTGCTAAATGCGGCGTCCGCGAGGCCAATTCCCGCCGATTCGGGCGCAACGTGCTCATTTTGTGGAAATGAAGTCGCCATGCAATGACCTTCAACGGCGATGTTGAATTTTTTTCCGAGAAAGCGACGCTCATCCGTCGGCTCAGAGAGCGGCGCTCACCCCAGCCTCCCTTGTGAGAAATTTTTTTCGCGTCTGTGAGAATTAAAGGCGGATCGTCGGCGAAATTCCATTCAACTGCATCATGTCGGGTCGGATGGCGATATAGAACGTTGACACTTGACGATCGTCGCGATGCTCGTTTAGGTTTTTTGGCATTCGCGTATTTCGGGGTTTGACTATCGACCTGTTCGTTTTTTTCGCGTTTAACTCAGTTTTCTGGGGAAAAACCCAGTCTTAACTACGCATTACATCGAAAGGTGTGGCAGACGCCATATTGTTGAGCAGCCGGCTAGCCTCTTATACCATTTTATCGACACACAAGGGGTGGAAATACCTCGCTCTTCGCTGTCCTTAAGTCTAACCGCGTTCTAAATTTAGACTATAGGATTTTTCATAAAAGGTGGGAAATTTAATTTTGTCCGCAACGCGACGCGATTTTATTCGATTTTAGCCGGTTTTTAGTGATGTAATAATTCCATTTTTCCGTTTAGATTTAGAATTTAGAGCAAGCCACAATGTCTGCCCCCGACAAAGATGAGCTAGTGCAAAGGGCGAAACTCGCAGAACAGGCCGAAAGGTACGATGACATGGCTTCGGCGATGAAATCAGTCACAGAAACTGGGGTTGAACTCAGTAATGAAGAAAGGAACCTCCTATCGGTCGCGTACAAAAACGTCGTTGGTGCCAGAAGATCGTCGTGGAGAGTCATTTCCTCAATTGAACAAAAGACTGAGGGCTCGGAACGCAAACAGCAGATGGCCAAAGAATACCGAGAAAAAGTCGAAAAAGAACTAAGGGAAATCTGTGACGACGTCCTCGTAAGTACTATTCCACACAAACCCGAACACATTTTCAATTTTTTCCATAAACTTATCCGCGGTACACTTTGAAAATCGGTAATGTGGGTCATCCTAAGACTCATCCACAATAACGATGTCAGATCCGTCAACTTTCGTTCTTATGAATTCAAATCGACGAATATTTTCCTACCCCCGAGGAAAAAACACACGGTCTTTATTTCTTACAGGGTCTTCTTGACAAATACTTGATCCCCAAAGCCAGCAACGCGGAATCAAAAGTTTTTTACCTGAAAATGAAAGGGGACTACTACCGATATTTGGCCGAAGTAGCCACAGGAGACACGAGAAACGGTGAGCATGTTCGGTCTGAATTTTTTTAAGTGGGCAAACAACAATGGGGAACTTGTTTGAGTTGCTGCGCCAATCAGGACCGGCGTTAGATGATAATTTTAGGGGAAAGTGACGATCGCGATCCATTATTAAACATGACAGTAATTTATGACTGGCATGTAATAAAAACTGATTGTGGAATATTACACCAAAAGACACTCGAACGTAACACGAGTTCTAAAAATACAGTAACGAAAAAAAGCGATGTATGAATCGTTTTTCAAGTTCCCCGTTGGTTGCTGTGTGGACATGGTTATTTACTTTTGCCCGCTTTCAGCCGTCGTCGATTATTCACAAAAGGCTTACCAAGACGCTTTTGAAATCTCAAAGGCAAAAATGACGCCCACACATCCCATCAGATTAGGTCTTGCCCTAAACTTCTCAGTTTTCTATTATGAGATATTAAATTCACCAGACAAGGCTTGTCAGTTAGCTAAACAGGTTAATATGAATTTTGTTTCTTAGTGTCTATAGCACACAGGGCGGAATTACATGTGGTGGATCTGTTTTGATTTTTGTTGTTTTATTTATTTTTGTTTGTGGCAGTATAATAATTGTCGATTTTTATTGCTAGAAGTGGTGGAGGATTCACAAAAGGCGTACCAGGAAGCATTTGACATTGCTAAATCAAAAATGCAATCGACACATCCAATTAGACTGGGACTTGCGTTAAATTTCTCGGTGTTTTATTATGAAATTATTAATTCTCCAGCACGCGCCTGCCATCTCGCAAAACAGGTTATAAATGTGTTCAGTGTGTTTAAATTTTTTTTTTTTATTTTATTAACTGGTTGAATTAACACTTACCACATGTAATTCAGCCTGCCGTACTAACGTAATAACAGTAGTGTGTATAATGTTGAATTTCTCTTGATTTCTCCCACTTATACACATGTACTTGTCACTATAGGCCTTCGATGATGCAATAGCGGAGTTGGACACGTTAAATGAAGACTCCTATAAGGACAGTACTCTCATTATGCAGCTCCTCCGAGACAACCTCACACTCTGGACAAGTGACACACAGGTGGGTTTTCGTCGATCGTGATCTCTTGGTCAGGCGCTGATCGCTTGCTTCGATTTGTGTTACAGGGCGAAGCGGATGAGCCTCAAGAGACTGGTGATAATTGAAGTGTGGCGTCCGTTTTCAAATTATTCGTTAAAAATGAAGTTTCATGTAAGTTAACGTATTCGTGGAACTTGGTTGTGAAATTTCATTGACAGTTTTAAGCAAAAGTTTCACCAGATGAAACTTGATATTTAACAATGTTTTTAGGAGATGTGTAAATCGTTAAAATTTATTACATTTTCACACAACCAAACAATGTCAGCCACAAAATAAGTTATAAGTAAAATGCATCATGGATTCAATTTTACCGGAAGTTGTGTGATTTCTTTATATATTTTTTGCATTCTATTTTCTTTGTTTTCTTTTATTTTTTGTAATTAGTGTTTTCATTTTTCCATACATGTAATTTATTTGAAATTTCAGTAATTTTTTTGATTTCTAACTTGTTAACTATTAAAATTATTATTTAAATAACACTGTTTTAGTTATATTTTTTTTGTATTCGTCCATTGTTGAAATCTCCAAAAATAAATCATACCTATACCTCTTTATACATTAAAAAAAAGCCTGTACCTTAGTCCACAAAATTATTTTGCACTCCGCTGCATGGGCCGTATCTGCCTTCCCCCCCTTGTTTACCGTCAACTCACTTTGGATGTGCTATATATAAATGTATGAATATGTATTAAAATAAACTGCTATCAGCTCTACTTGTTTTCTGTTGTATCTGGCAAATATGTATATTTGTCTGATATCAATAAATTTTTCAAAATCTATTTTGTTTTATTTATGTAGGTGTATTAATTGGAAGCATTCAAACTATTGTCAAAGTGCGAATGTAACTACATGTAAAATTGTTTTATATAAATCTGATGTTACGTGTTGTATTTATGAAAACGTAGTTAAAAAGGTGACATGTAATTGGTCAGATTCTAGCTGATGATGGTCGTTGGAGGGGACAGCAGAATACTGTCTTGATTTGAGGCTCGCATAAGTCACAGCTCTCGGTGACTTATGATGGTCCCAATTTTTTTTATTTTTGTTTTCCAGATTAAAGATAGTACATTTTAAGCCTGTAAAAATGTCATCAAATAAAATTCTTTGAAAACATGTTACCCTTTTTAATTCACATCCCCGTTGGATCGATCACAAACAAAGCGCGATAATTGGGCAATGTTTACTTGTCCATTGTATTTTTTAAACGTCAAGGGATTATTCTGACGTTCACTGATTAAACAATAATAACTGAAATTGTACATACGTTACGTAAATTCTAACTAATCGAATTGTTTATTTTTACAAGGTTGATTTTCCATGCCAATGATTAATTATCGCTTTTACACAAGGAAATTTATTGTGTCCTCAAATATAAATGGGTTAATATTAGACGGGTTGAGGTCATGCAAGAAATATTTTAGCAGTGGCAACGTCACCCCGACCAACCCCCGATGTGAATTGACCCTTAAACCAAATATTGATTAAAACACAAACGAGAATAATGCACATGCGTTTGGAGATGATCCGCTACCACATCGACTCCATTGCATTGGCGTTGGACCGGGATTACAACCCCTAACGTAATAAACAATACAGTTTCGTTTCGACCTCAAAATTTTTAACCAATATCAAAGTATTATAAAAACGTTTGTCGCTTTTGAGTTGCTATGTATCCGGGCTCGACCTGGAAACAGCGACACGACCCGAAGATTTCGAATTTTGAAGCTTATATCCAGGGTTCGGCTAGTTTGGTTGTTGTTCCCACGCGTTGCGTGCACGCAGGGCTCGAATCAAGGGCCAACTGTTGATCTTACGACCCGTGCGAAGGAGCTAGTTTTATATAAATGGGAAAAAAATAAAGCGAGATCTCGAATCTGATGTCAGATGCTGTGACCTAGATTGTCCCGGGAGGAAAGGAGGGCCTTCACCACCCACGAAACGACTTTGATGCGCCGTTTGTTTAATCTCCGGGTCGGAATTATCGTCTGAGAAGTAATAAACGTACGGATGTTATTTTGACAACAAAATTAATTTAAATGAAGAACGAAATTAAACTCGGAAAATATAAAACTGAGGAAGTTCACAAAGCAAAAAGAAGCTGCAGAGTAAATATTTTTTACAAATATTTTTTCATGTAGGCGAAGGTAAGATGAAATGAAATATCCACCTAAAAAAGAAGACCGTTTTTTAAATTACATGGAAATAAGCCTTTGATTGTTACAAGTTTTACTCCTTGATATTGTTTTATAGATCAGTTTTCAATTCAATGGGCAATTTTTCCAACAACATATAGAAATAACAATAAAAACACACGCAAACTCTATTATATGCCAGAATTATATCGTCTGAGAAGTAATAAAGCGTACGGTTGTTATTTCGACAACAAAATTAATTTAAATGAAAGAACGAAATTAAGCTCGAAAAATACAAAACAGGAGACGTTCGCAAAGCAAAAACCAGTTGCAGAGTAAATATATTTTACAAATATATATCGGATCTACAAAGGTAAGATATAAATAAGTTAAATACCTACCTAAAAAATAAAATTACATGGAAATAATCGTTACAAATTTGTACATCTCGATACGTATGTGTTTTATAGATCAATTTTCAATCCAGTGGGAAATTTCAATGGGCTACTCGACGTCTCCGTTTATTGTCATACGCTGGATTGACGGTGAGTCCAAAATTTAGAAATTTAAAGAATTCATATTCATTAGTTAGTCGGGTTTAGGTCTTTTCTGCTCGAAAATGCCAATATAGTTGACGAAACGCGTCCATATTTGCATTAAATTGTTTCAGTGATGAAACTTAAAACTGTACATTAATTAAGTACATTTGGAGCTTAAATTAAACAAAATTTTGCTTTCAAGACGTAGAGTAATGAACAAAACTTAGAGACAAAAGTAGAAGTTGTAACAGAGTCATGACGTGTATGACAGTTTGTTTTTAATGATGTCCATCTAGCTCTATTTTTATGTTTTTATTATGGATTTAATTGCGTTATGTATAACTGGTTGTCTATATCACTATAAAGCACAACGTGCTTAAATTAACACTAAAGCGTGCAATTGCAATGAAAAAGGGTTATAAACTACCACGGATAATTAACTGTCATCGCTTGATGGATATCACATAACGGTGATTAAATTGGTAATGAATTATTTTGGAAGAGTGGGGTCGGCAAAATTTTCCCGATCAGCTCCGGCTAGGATACCTAGTCCATCTAAAAATAAAGCAGTGTATTTTCGAGACCCACCGTAATAAAGTAGGTCTCATTTACTAATGAAGAAAAATAAATGATGTTTTTCCAAAGACACCTGATTATATTTCTTTTAATTTTTCTATTCGGACCGTTCGTAGCCAAATGTCATAAACTTCAAGAAGAGCAGTAAGTATTTGCTGTTTAATGGTAAAGCGTGCTTAACAATGTAATTACGCCTTTATTTTTACTAAATTGTAGAATTTCGGCATGGGCAAAAAAAATCGGAGACGACTTATGGAAGCTGGGGGAGGTTACAACAAAATTTAAAGAAATACAAGGAGTACTAACGTTAGTTATCACAAAATGAAAGAGATTTCATGTTTTGTGTTTCTAGAGCTACCTTTTTTTCAACGCACAAGTCGAAGAGAAAAAATTAGAAGATCTGATTTTAGAAGTAGGGAAGGACATAGAGCGCATGATGGACCGAAAAAGTGACGCTATTAAGGTAAATAATGTTAAAGTTTCTCATTTATGTCGTTTGAAATTTTACCTTAGTGTATTTCGGAAAAAGCTGAAAGTGCCGCTGAAGCCCGAGAGTACAACGGTTCGGACTTCCAGTACTACAGCTCCAAATATTCAAACGTGGTAAACGAACCCAAAGTGGAGTTGCCAGAAGGAGTTACTGAAAATGAAGACATGTATTTAACACTGGAACTTAACCACGATACGCACTTTTACAATTTGGCTGTAGATACCGCGAGAAGTTCGGTTCATGTTCCGACCAACATTTATGACAAACGTAAGTACTCTTTTAAAAAGAGAAAAAGTACTTGTGTTTTTTTGTAGACAAAGATCCAGCCTTTGCAATTCAGTGGTCAGAAGAGTTGGATGAAGTTTTTGTTCAAAATTATAATTCAGATCCTGCGCTGTCTTGGCAGTATTTTGGAAGTAGTACAGGAATTTTGAGACATTATCCAGGTACGGACTATCTTTATAGTTATATGGTTATGGTACAAATCTATATATAAACTGACGAATGCGAAGGCCACTGCTTACATTTTGCGGTTTATAAGAAATAAATGTATACAAACTACAAATTTTACACGAACGCATGAGTTAAAAATAATTCCAACTTTTTGAAAGTTTTATAATCCGCATCCTGCATTTACGTATTTGAGGTTTTGGCGCAACTTAAGTTCGAAACGACTTATCTTTTATGCGCAGGCGCAAAATTCACCGCTAAGTGCTATATGATATTTACAAATGTCGAGTTTTGGCGTTTACATAGAAAAAATATCAGGAGATCAGAGTTAGATAAAACGCAATCTAGACGGCGCCACACTAAGGAGAATTATCTTTTCACGTTTGTTGGATTAAGACCTTTATCGACCTGCCTTATTTGTTATGTTACATGATTAGGTATTCGACGAAAAAATACCAAACAATGAATTGTGATGATGTTATGTTAAAAGTGTATGATTTAGAAGTTGAAGCCGAATAGTGCCCCACATTACTTAGCAAAAGAATGTGCTAAAGTTTGATCTCACTAAATTTTCAGACTTTCAACTTTGAAGCGATCTCTACTTTTGACTGTTCCTAACGGACAGGTGACGCCATCTGACGAAATTGTTTGACGCGCGGATCCTAGTCCTTTGAACTGTTTACTGAATTAGAGTTTGAATTTTTGTCTTTAGGGTTTGTAGATTAAGCATAGATATTGAACTATTTAAAAACTTCAGTAATGGTGGAAATAAAAAAACTAACTAAATGAAAGCACAAAAATCTAATAAATAGTATGAGTATTTAACTATGATAATGACAATAAGAGCTAAAATTTTATGTTGCAGCAAAGAAGTGGCCAGATTTTGCAAAGGACGAGTTCGATTGTCGTGTCAGAACTTGGTACATTGAAGCCGCCACTTGCACCAAAGACGTAATTATTCTCGTAGACAGTTCTGGGTCGATGGATGGTAACACTATCTCTAAAACATCGTTGAATAATACAGTGATTATTTTAGGAATGGGCAGACACATTGGAGCTTTAACTGTCAATACTATCCTTGACACTTTTTCCAACAACGATTACGTTAACGTTTTGTTTTACAGTAATGAAACCACAAACTTTTCGATTCCGTGTTTTAGAGACCTGTTAGTACAAGCTACACCCGAAAACATAATGATATTCAAAGAAGCAATACGTCACTTTTATCCTTCCGGGAAAACTGATTTACCTCAGGCTTTACAAATGGCTTTTGATATTCTAGAAAAGGTTACTACGTGTTTAGAATATCGTTCTTGAGTTAATAAGAAGTATGTTTGTAGTATCGTGAAAAACGTGGATGCAATACTCCTCCTGGTGACGAGGAAGACGGGAAGAGTAAAGCTTGCAACCAAGCAATTATGTTAGTCACTGACGGCATTATACGAAATTTGAGTGACATAGTCATAAAGAATAATCATCTAGAGGGTGGTAATATTCCAGTACGAATTTTTACATATTTGATAGGTAAAGAAGTGACGAATGTTGCTGAAATCAGATGGATGGCTTGTGCCAACAGAGGTAACGCAATTTTCCGTCGCTAATTGTGTCAATTTCAGGATAGTTTTTAGGATTTTACACCCATGTGCAAACTCTGGAACAAGTTACTTCAGCCGTACTGCAATATATTAACGTCATTGCTAGACCCTTGGTGTTACAAGCTGATGATCACCCTATATCGTGGACTCACGCGTACATAGATATGACTGTACGTGACCAACCAAGTTGTACCCATTTTAACCAGATTATCGTTTCAGTATGACGATACAAAAGATGACCAAATTAACGTCCCCTATAGACTTTTAACGTCAGCCGCGGTTCCAGCCTTTGACAAGAAAAGTAACCGCAATAACCAAACTAGAGTGGCAAAGTTATTAGGAGTGGCAGGAACTGACGTTCCTATTGACGAAATTGAGAAACTAACTTTGCCTTATAAAGTAAGTAATATTGTATTTGTGAAAGTTGGATTATCACTGTTAAAATTGTAGTTAGGTGTTAACGCTTATGCATTCATTGTAAGTAACAATGGTTACGTTCTGATGCACCGAGACTTTCGACCAATGGTAAGTGTGCAATTACTGACCTATTTGGTGTTTCAAAGTAAATACTCTACAAGAGTATGTAAATTTACGATTTCTTTAATCCTTGTATGAAAAGTTTGAAGGAAACTTGCGTAAGAACTACAACAGCATAGATCTGGTGGAGGTGGAACAGTTTGATGAAGAGTTACCAGCAAGAGTGATTTCTTCAGAACTGGAAAATTTACGAAATAGTATTGTCAATGGTTCCCAGGGAAAAATTGGTGGTATTCCTGTTAAGTACCACTATGACAATATGAGACGTGTCACTACCGATAAATATGACTTTTATTACGTTCCTTTGAACCAAACCCCATTTTCTCTAGCTTTTGCTGTACCCGATGGTTATGGACACTTTTCACTGCACGTCGAAGACGAAATCAGAAATGACAGACATAAACCTGGAGTGAAAATTACTGACTATTTTAATGGTTCTAATTGGAAAATACACCCTAAATGGTAATCTACAACTATTCGAAAACCCACACTAATTAAAGTATTTTCAAGGGTGTACTGCAAATATCACTATCTGGAAGGACACGAATATGCGACACCAGAGATGGAAATAATTCATTTTCTGGAGAAAGTCAACAACGCTGATTTTATTTGGGAAAAACAGTACGAAAGTAGTGCAACGGAAGAATTAACCAAAGGTAGTATATCGTCTAAGTCTACTTAATTACTCTACACTTAATCTAACAGTTGATTGTGGCCGCAAAACCCACGAACCTGACGACTACTACTGCGACCAACATCTAGTGGAAAGGCTGGTTTTTGACGCTAAGAATACGTTTGCGGCCTTTGAAGGCGCATCTTGGAAGGACGTGGATCACTGGTTCAAGGCTTACAATATCACTCTTCGGTTTGTAGCAACGATGAGCGGTTTGACTCGGTGGGAATACATTTCAAAGGAGGTAGAAAGCAACACGAAGAAAGAATTCGGTGACTGGCATTCCAAGGCTATCGATGAAACGTGGTATAAAAGTGCCGTGATTCAACATCGCTATGATCCTGAGTCTTTTGTTTATTCTGTGCCTTTTGATTTGCAAGAAAATGAGGAGGTAATGGTAACAGCAAGTTATGCAGTTTATCTTTCGGATGCAGAAACCAACGCTCCTGGCTGCGTCGTAGGATTCCAGTTCGCACATAAGAATTTTGTGGAAATTGTGAAAAAAGTGACTGAGCACGTTGCGGTAAGTATGATGACGATGTAAATAAGAGATTTTATAAGCTCGTTTTCAGAGTGCGTGTGCAAATTGCAGCACTTGTGATGGTAAAAATCTGACGTGTTATATAATTGACGCAGATGGTTACATTGTAGTGTCTCATTCTAATAAGAGTGAGGATTCTAGTAACACGGGAAGATTTTTTGGAGAAATTGCAAATGACATTATGGAATCGATGGTTAACGAAAAGATTTTTGAAAAAGTTACTATTTATGATTATCAGGCTGTTTGTAATGTTAATGACGATGGAATCAGCGATGCCAGTATTTTGTTTACTGTAATATAACAAACATACTTTTTTAAAAAAGTAATGGGACTCATTTTAGCCACTACATTATTTAAAGTCGCTAATTAGTTGGTGTATCTTGAAACTATCGTGGGTGACTTTGGAAGTCAATCTTTATAATTTGTGGAAGCCCATTTACACATTTGCTAATGACATTAGTGAAGCCCTGAACGACACGGAAGCAGAAGAAGTGGTGGTGGTGGAACATGACGAAAGCGACTACTATGATTGTGAAAAGTATAGGAACTTATATATGTTACAGCAGAAGAAAAATGAATATATACGAGATAATTTGGTGGTGGAAATACCTGCCAATAAGTATGTTACCTAAACTCAAAATCACAGTCCTAATCAAAAATATTTTACAGCCATAGCTGTAAATCTTACTATATTAAAAAAATACCTCACAGCAACCTTTTATTTGTTGCTATAAACCATACAAAAAAACACGAGTGCCATGTCCCTTCTCGTTTACATTCCACTAAGCCGAGAAAAATCGAATATAATGACAGCATGAGTTACTCTTGCCAAAAACTCGATCTGAATAATCTTCCTAGAAGAAGATTAGCTGGTTGTTATAACGAACATCCTCTGGTATCTACTCTTTTACCATAAATATTCAACACTATAAATTTATTTTTAGGAAAGCGAAATAAGAATTTGCGGTCGATCAGCCACAACGAAAATCGGGTACCTTACAATAATTGTGTGTTTATTAAGTCGGTACTTGTAAATAAGTGCAATTGTAAATGTGTAAATAAAGATAATGTTATTTTTCCCACTGTGCTTCTATCATTTTGGTTAGTTTAACTTGTTAATTAGTTTTTTTCATGTTATTTTCTTCGTTTAATTCTTCCTTAACGTTACCATCATCAGCGTTCACATCTCCAAACATTTCTTCAAAGTTAAAAAGTTTATTGATATGTTCTTCTATGTCTTCTTCTGATTCATCTTCATTCTGTTGATGTATAATACAGTTGTGTTCACTCATTTGTCGTTCTTCAACAACAAGTTCTTCAACTGTATGATTTTCAAAAGAGTTGTATTGTATAGAATCTATTTTTTCTCTTGGTGTTGGTGTTTTATATGACCGATGATTGCTTTGTATGCTGCTGCCGGATTGGTCGCGTTTTCTTTTACACAAATGTAAGCACCCTCCCATCCACTCTGATAGCAAAGAAGCTCCGCCCAAAAGAAAACCTATACCTAAAAGTAAAAACATTCCTTGCGTGTCATCTAGTGTCAAAGCTCTGTCTTCCACACTCAAACTTCGTAAGTTATTACCGAAAGAATTGGCTGCTAGAAGTTTACCGGTGGCACTCCGAATCATTTCCCATTCAACATCTTTTTTTAATTTGTATATTAACCCGCTTTGAACTACTCTCAAAATACCTAGATCGATGATTTTGCTATAAAGAGAATTTTTGCTGTATATCAAACCAACACCAAAGGGGGCGAAACAGTGTGACGAAATATGAAGTAAAGAGCGTTTGTTTCTGTAATAAAATCGTTATAAATTGCTAAATAGAGATACTTTACTAACTTCGTAGTAAAGTTTGTTCGGACGATGTAGTCCAACTGAGCTTTAGAACCCATAAATGCGTACGGCCAAAAGAAAGCTTTTGTTATATTTTTCAAACCGGAGTGAACGTCTGGGACCAAATCGATGTTTTTTAGTAACTTTGTAGTAACAGGATCGCTGGAATTTTCAAACCAGTACTGCCAACCTCCCTTATCGAGAGTACCAATTTGATATCTGCCACTAATAAGTTGTTCTGGAGTGTCAACAGTTTCTGGGTAGATCGGAAGAGTGACAAAAGCTATTATAGACCCTGTATAGCACGCAGTAACAATAATCGTGAACATCCAGTAGAAACCAATTAATAGCCTTGTTGCAAATTTATCCGTTCTACTCCAGGAATTTTTCCCCATAAAAGTAAAAGCGTTAGTAAACGTACCAAAGACGTACCAAAACATATTTTCTATTTCTTCTGGTCGTTCTATAATCTGTCGAAAACTGTGTTTATCAGAAAACGCCAAAGGAAAAATTGCAACTAAGTATATAATTGTTAGAGTCAACCAAACACTCCAGTGAAAGGGTCCCATTATTGCTCGATAGCGTGGCAGAGCTGTCGATGTTAAAGAGATAAAAGCTGCGCAGTCTTGAGAATGCATTTGAGAAGTGTCTGCCGTTTTTATTATTTCTTTTGTTATATAAACTCCAGCGATACCCATATTGGCTCTATTATTTTTAACAACTGTGATTATAGATTCAACAGATCTAAAATTGGAAGGTTAGGTAGTACCGACAATTGCTGAGTGTGCAAACCCTTGCAACTCCCAGTTTCTAGCTTCTCGGTAGTCTGTAGTAAAGTTGAACATTTTTGATAGTAAATTTAATAAACGAATTTCAATGCCGTCCCATTCGACGTCATTATCGTCGTCGTCGTCGCTGCTCCTGAAAATGACAGACTTTAGCAACACTGGATCGATTATCAACATTGGTCAAATTGCTGCTAGCCAAGTTTAACATGATGATTGGAGATTTTCAAACCGGATATTTGGTAACAGGAAACCAGTACTAGGATTTGGTGTTTGTGATTTACAGTGATAAGCATTGAAATAACAAAACCACATAGTCATATCGGTAGCCTGTTCATGGCTTCACAGCTTGACAATCCTTCCCACAAATATGCTTTGATGAGCAATCTTTGCTAGTGTGAATCCACGTAAATGGCGTACTTGAATAAAGAGAATAAGTAATAAACTTGGGTCATTCGAGATAAGGAGAGTAATCCAGCGCAAAAACGGGATTACAACTCGTACTGTTGTGACGACAGGCGGTTACGTAGTGTTGCGGTACCACACACCGTGGAAATCCCCTTTTAGATTCCAACCGACTAATTTTATGGCTGGCTTGCGCGTTTCTAGGAACAAGGAACGTTGGCTCAGGTATTTGATCAATGAAGGCTCGCCCACAAAATTGGACACATAAGGTACTAGTCTGGTCTGAAGATTTTCACTGGTTCCTCTCTGGTATATCATGGTAGATGAATAGGAGAGTTTTGTGGATGAGGGTACACACGGAATGACCTCAGAAGGTTTATCGATGCTTATGGTACTACATAGAACGACCGCAGCGCTACTCGAGCAAAATATATGAACACCTACGTTAGGAATATCTTTCATAATAATAGACTTAAAGTACTTGGTCCACAGATATTAGAACTCTTGAGTAGTTTGTATGGTTCTTCTAAATATATAAAAAAAATTTAAGGCACACTCTATTTAGATCAAAGTACACAAACAAGTAAATTGTTTGGAATGCAAATTATGATAGTTCCCACAATCTGGTGCAGAGTTACGGAAAATCCACTATTTCCTGAACCCTTATCTCATAAAACAGATAAAGCAATTCCGATGACGTAATATGTCGGTTTTGATCATAGCGTGTTTGTATTGACGGAAATAAATTTTATTGTACAGAAAATCGTTGTTTGCATAGATAGAACCGAGCTAGTCAGGGAAATAAATTCCAACCGAAAACGCAAAATGACTCAAGGTTTCTTATATCTTTATTTACATTTTTAGGTAAATATTAATCGGTGAAATAGGTAGATTTAACTTGATTCTATCTAAAAAGTAAACCGTTTGCAATATTTTTGTGCACTACTAATCATTAATAAAGTTTTTATTGAAAGTCTGTACTCACTTTTTAATAACAAATGGCGGCTGATGAGCTACTGTGATAATAAACCTATGACCGGAAAACCCGTCAGTAATTTTCCTTGGAAACAATAGTACCGGAGTTTTGGAAAACCGTCCATTTTTCCAAGATGTCAAAACCTGATGATTGCTCGAACCCAAACCATCCACATACAGTTTGTGTGTGTATAATATATACGGCAATTCCTACAAGACAATGTAACCTTGTGTATGCATTAAATTAAGACACTTGCAATATTCGACAAGACGATTTTTTCAGACTTGGCAATAACTAAAATATTCAGGAAATTTTGGGACTCCTCCCTTGCTAAAAATTCGTAAACCCTCCACTGAGAAGATCGAGCTACTAGTACTACTTTATTGTTGCTTTGGGGACCAATGACACTCATACACCTCATCACATCCTTAAGAAACAGTATATAACTGATGCAAGTGTCAGAATTTGTCACAATTTCTGGTACTTTCATGAAGTACTCTTCCGTTATTTGCCCATGAACGTAGGGAATCGGAAAAATTCGAAACAGTCTTTCAAGCAAAAGATCGTCACTGATTTCTGTAAAAACATCATAAAGGATGATTGCGGTACAACCTGACAGTTCTTCAAGGGCTACTTTACTAATCAAAGTAACTAAGGATTCGGTTTGATCGAAGTGTTCTAAGCTACCCAAGAACTTATCTTCCCATTTTTCCAGCTGCGATTTTTCGTGTGATTTTTGCAAAGCTCTTTTGACTAAAGAGTGACTTTGTGAAGCTAAAGCCCCAAGAACAAAACTTGAGAACAGAAAATATCGTGTCATTGCAACGATTGATACAAAAGTGTGTCTTCGACTTGTATCTATATTTGTGGGTTTGTATTATTGGAAAGTTGCACGTGTCTTAAGAAATTATTAAAGACAACACGCAAGCTTTCTTAGGCTTAGTAAAGATTAGTTCGTGGTTTTAATAATGAGTAAGTGAAATGATGATACAACTGTAAATATGAATGTATTTTTTATTTGAAGACTGATAAGACCATGATCCTGTTTTTAGAATATGAATATGTATATTTATCGTTGTTTACATACTGTGTGTTCGATACTAAAGTAAATTGGATTAAAGAGATTAAATGTATGTGTTTTTTTTTAAATAAATTTATCATTTGATATTCTGCTACAAACTCAAAAGTGCAAGTATTTGATTATAAGGTGTTCAAATTTGTTTTTTTTTATCGACCATAAAAACGTTTAAAGTTTGCAGATACTGGGGAAACCTTTCAGACGATAAGTTATCTCGCGGTTTCCTCTTATTTGAAACTACAAATATTCATGCAGATAGATTCCAGCGGTTGAAGTAGTATGAATAAATTTATTGAAAAATGATTTTTTTTGGTGTTTTGAGTGCTTTCACTTTTATTTTAACAGTGGGTGCTCAGGTTGTAAAAAATGACACTAACATTCTTCCACGTAAGTTTATTAAGTATAATAATGAGATTAATGAGTTATGTGTTTAAGATTATTAGTCACAAATTGCAATTACTTTCCTCGAAGTATCATAAAACTAGTTCAATGTTAATGTGTATGTGGCGTGTAGCACGCAAAAACTCAGTATTTTTAAAATTTGAAATAACTGCGTGTTTCTATATCGCTAAATCGGATGCATTGCTTGACATGCATTTCATTCTTTGTAAAAAAAAATTGTAGCGTAATTTTACTTTTCTAAGTTTAATTACTTGTTTTACTGTGGCTTCCATAAACTTAGAAAATGTAGATGTCGCAGGTCCGTCTGTTTGTCTGCAGACGATTTGTTTGTTTAACGTGTAATCTGAAAAAGTGCATTTAGCTGTACTGCATAACCTCTACAATTTATTAGTTTATTTTTTCTTAAAAGGAATTAAGTTTGTACAACTCCACAACAGACTTTTGTAAAAATTTGACCAATGCTGCAAAATCGTTATTTAAAAATTGTTTGTGCTGTAGAGTAGGTAGATTGACTTTATAGTTTTGCGTTCTTATTTTTACATCGAGCTTCCAATTTTTTCTTTCTAAACAGAGAATTTTTCGTAGTTTCTAGAATATGAAAAAGTAGGTCCTCGTTTTTGTCTCTTGTCTGTTGGCGAACATACCTACCGCTTGTCTGGAAAATGGCGGATTAACTTTCAGCTATGCTCTTAACAAACAACTGGTGAGTCTGGGAAAAATAGTAAAGTAACCTCATTTGACATACACCTGGTAAAGCTTTTATGACTTAAGCGGCTTAAGCAAACCACCGTTAGAAGTCAAAATGGCTGTTGCAAGCTTTATGGACCCGAACGCACGGATTATTACTGTCCATTGTTGCCATAATGGAGCTGTGAACTGAGTCAAGTTATATAATAGACAGTTTGACTTATAAGGGTGCTTTGGCTTAAGTCATGAAAGTTTTACAAGGTGTATGTCAAATGAAGTTACTTTAACAAAATTCCTTCTCACGTTTTGGTAGAGTTACAATGATTTTAAAATTGGTTTTTTTGCTACGTTTAACAACTATAACACATTCATTATCACAACAACTACTAATAAAACTTATAGTTAATATTTCTCTCCCCCATGACCATGTTTAATTACTATTTCAGTTAGAATGTACAAAGATATGGTTGTGTTGTTTTTGTAATAATTTGATAAAATTGCATTTGACAACAATGTTTGCAATTTGAAAGTCTTAAGTGCCGCAGTGTTTTTTTTTTAATTCGGGATTTTTGGGTACCCATGCTGTACTAACCCCGCCCACCCACCCTCTCTTTTCTTAGAGGGTATGTCATTTGCCAAAATCGGCCTTTTTTTAGCAGGTACTAGATCCCCCCCCCATTTTTCTTAGAGGATATTTCATTTACAAAAATCAGTTTTATCTTAGCAAGTACTAGCCCCGCCCACCCACCCTCTCTTTTCTTAGAGGGTATAACGTACATAAGTTAATCCGCTAATTTCTAAACACCCAATATGCGACACTATTGGACTGACTGTTGTGAAATTTGGGACGTATTTTTATCATGTAAACGTTAACCAGAATTAGCGTTTGCTCATCCTCACCAAAATTTTGATGACGTAGTTTCACAGTAAATCCTACTTTGAGCGTACGAAGTAATATAGCTCTATCTATTGTTACGAAAGAAACCCATACGCCGCCCCGGTACGACGCCTATGGGTTCTAGTATATACGGGCTGTGTTCGCTCACGAAAAACCTGCAAGCGGAAGTCGCAACCCAGAAAAACCTCAAAGCGGCGTTCTCGATCCATTGAGAGGAACGTATAGGTTTAAATAGAGGCCACCGTCGGGAACGATTATTATTCAGTTAACGAATCGAATTCAGTTAGACACAAAAACTACAAAACTGATGCCTTGGAATTTGCAAACGCTTTTAATTTGTTGTGAACATGTTAAATCGCTAATTAGAATTCGTCTCTTTATCCCCTCTAAAAACTTAATTACGTCATCGTAAAATGTCCTTAGTATATCTTGATACCTTGCGAAAAACTAACTTAATAAAAATTCAAGAAATATGAATCTGTATATATTAAAATCCAAAAATGACGATCAAAATTTTGACAGCTGCTCCAGTATCTCCATCAACAAAAGAAAAACCGCCGGTTAGTGAATGGCCGGGTAACTGGAACAATGGCAATAATAAGAGATATATTTTGGGGGACTGGTTGTTGACAGGTTGTTGGGGCGACGCTTGTACGGGTACAATGAAGACAGAAGAAAACGTGGAGTATGAAGGTTACGATGGCTGGTACAACAATATGGCAAGACCAGATTCTGGCGCAATAGGTACAATATAGAGTCAAAGTCCCTCAAAAATCAATCTTGTGTTTTAAGATCGACCTTTATTGAGACGTTGGCCTGCCGCATATGCAGACGGGAGTTATGCACCGGTTACAGGTAGACCAAATCCTTTTGACCTCAGTGACCAATTATTGAAAGGCGATAGTGGTACCCAATCTGTTACTGGAAAGAACGCATTGATTGTCTTTTTTGGTATAAAACATGTTCTCTGTACATCACATATTTAACCCGTTTTTATAGGTCAACAAGTCGTTGAAGAAATTTTAGATGCTCAAAGACCAGCGTGTCCTCCAGAATACTTCAACATAGAAATACCCATGAATCACACCTACAGGACAAAACCAGGTCATACCGTAATGCCATTTTTAAGATCGAGATATGATCAAAGAACGGGTTACAGTCCAAACAATCCAAGACAACAAGTTGCGTAGATCTAGTTTCAAATTCCTCTCTGTCATAGTTGTTTGTAGTTGAATGAAATCACACCCTATCTGGACGGTGGTTTGTTTTATGGAATTACCAAACAGTGGGCCGACCAGCTAAGAACTTATAAGAACGGTACTATTGATCCTGATGGGTGTCTGGCGTCATCGTATGATGGGTTATTTCCGGCTTACAACGAAGAAAGACTCCCTATGGCCAATCCACCACCACCTATCTATCATTCATTATATATCCAGTCGCACGAAACAGCAAAAGTTTCAAGATTTTTTAGTAAGTTAAATCTTTCTCCCACTAGTTTGAAAAACTGTTTTTTTTTATTATTTTTTTTTTTTTTTGTTAGAACTTGGAAATCCACGCGGCAACGAAAACTCCTTTCTTTTGACATTTGGCATCATGTGGTTCCGCTGGCACAACTACCTCGCGAAGAGAATTAGACATCAAAACCCTACTTGGTCCAGTGAAAAAGTTTTTAATGAAGCCAGAAAATGGGTAATCGCTACGCAGCAGAAAATCGTGGTCTATGACTGGCTGCCACAATGGATACTTGAACCATTACCCCCCTACGAAAATTACGATCCCAGCATTGATCCCCAAATTGATCAGTTCTTTCAAACAGCAGCCTTTAGATTTGGTCACACTTTGGTAGTTCCGGGGGTCTATTTACGCGACTATTTGAGAAGCGGTTGCAAGAACAAGTTTGAAACTTGGGGCAACGTCACCGTACGCACATGTAACTCATTTTGGAGACCATACGAACCTATTGTTAAACCAGAAGTAGACGGTTCGCCTAATGTTATTGACATAGACCGTCTCTTAATGGGAATGTCCGTACAATTATGTGAAAAGGAAGACCACAAAATTGTTGAGGATTTGCGTGGTAATGTTTTTGGTCCTTTGGAATTCCCGAGGAGGGACTTAATGGCTGTGAATATTCAGAGAGGGAGGGACCACGGAATTCCTGATTACAATACTGTTCGGAAAGCGTATGGATTACCTCCAATGGACTTCAACGACTTCACCCATCTTGATCCAGAGGTGATGAATCTCGTACATGACTGTAGATTAATAACAGATTTTTACAGATTAGAGACGCCTTCAGAAGTTTATACAATAACACAAGCACCAATATTGATATTTGGGTTGGTGGCATTCTCGAAACTATAGACAGACCTGGTGCTTTGTTCAGAGCAGTTATCATGGATCAGTTCAGAAGAATTAGAGACGGAGATAGATTTTGGTTTGAAAATACGAAAAACGGGTATATTTAATTAAACGAAATTATATTTTTCTTAAATTCTGCTTTTCCAGTTTATTTACACCAGAAGAAATACAAAGAATAAATAATACCAATTTGTATGACATAATAATGGCGGTTACAAAAATGGATGCCAACGATATACCGAAAAATCCGTTCGGTGTTCCAGTATCAGTTTCTGGTAGGGAAAACGTCTGGCATAACTGTAATTAATTAAACTTTGTTTTAGATACACTAACTACAGGTTGTAATCTCACAAAATCAAACTGTTCTACGTCGACAGGAGAATGTTATCATTTAAAACCACTAGATCAAGCCACTTTGAATGAGTCTTGTGTACAAGGAACTACGTATGATTATTTTAGACAGAGTGAGGCATCCTATATTTTAACATTCACCTGTATTGGAGCTTGCGTTGTTGGTGAGTTGTGATATCGCGTAGTTGGAAAACTCTTACCCTAATTAATTAGTCCGTTCATCCCCACCACAACTGCGATGACGTTATCGTAAACGTTATCTTCTGAAAATCTACATCTGTTTATAGGTTCCATAGGAGTTATGTATTTGTTAATCAGGATTAAAGAACAACAGAATAGAAAACGACGCATCGAAGAGAATAAAACGACAAGAAACACTTTTAAAAACGAAAAACATATCAATTATCCCCTATTTGTCGGTACGCATACAACAAAACGCAACATTTTTTGAAACTAAAGAAACTCAATTGCAGTAAATGAATGGATGGGTCCGAAATTACCATCACGAAGAGTCATCGTTATTCTAAAAGACGATAGGAAAGTCCTGGAAGTTATGGCTCCAGGCGGTGAACTTCTCCGTGCTATCGACTTTTCTATCGCCTATAAGGAAGTTCAAGTTTTTCAAGTTAGAGATGCACCGTACCTGGTTATCAAATGCACACACGACTACGATTTGGTAAGTGATTTTCCTTAGGAAACACGATTTTTTTCCACGACTTGTTTTAGGTATTGAAATTCGAAAGTGACTTTTTGAGGGATAGCTTTTTGGGCTCGTTCGATCCATTTTTAACCAGCAGTGGACTTAAGAGAGAGAACATAACAACGTTCAATTTGTCGTCAGCACTAAGAAAAGTTACCACCAAAGAAGAGCGTCAAATGCTTCTCGAGCGATTCTACCGCGTGGTTTTCGCACAAGCGTTTAAAATCAAGTATTCGCAAAAAGAACTGTTACACGTTGACGAAAATCTCGAGAAGGAAATTGTCAACACGGAATTGACGATCACCGAGTTCGCCGAAGCCATGAGCATGCGTCCTAAGGATGAGTTTGTCATGCGTATGTTCGCGTTGATCGACAAAGACAAAAATGGGTTTATTTCGTTCAGAGAATTTGTTGATTTGTTGATCATTTTTGCTAACGGAACTGAACAAGAGAAGGCTAAGTTGTTGTTTGATATGTACGACGTCAACGCTGTTGGATACTTAACTGAGGAAAATTTCGTGGCTATGATAAAGTATGATCGTCAAATTTAACCGAACTTAGTACATTTAAGTTTTTCAGGTCATTTTTGGCAACTGTGGGAGGTAAAGTCGAAGACGACAAGCTACAAACGACGGTGCAAGGAATGATAGAACGGGCGGGACTCGGACACAAGAAACAGCTAGATTTCGAAGATTTTCTCAAAATGTTTGGGAATGACATCAAGAACTTGAGTAAGGCGAAACTTAATTTTAAAGGTGTTAAGTCTATGGATCGTAGCTCCTACCTGGAAGAAGCTCGAGATACAATTGAAAATATATACGAGTATGTTCAATTCATGTTTTTCATATGTTTCTATCTAAATCTTTCAAATTTAGGAGTCGTCAAGAAATTCAAGAACGTTTCCAAGGAGAAATTGGCCACCAAGAAAGAGATACCAGCAAAATCATTGATGACAGTCAGACAGAATCCATCAAAGCTGACCATATAGGGACACCAAAATTCGCTTTTGTAAGTTACCTCGAATTAAAAGCAAAAGAGATTTTCTGGCTGTCGTTGTACACGCTAGTTCTTTTGGCCGTTTTTGCTGAACGAGCTTATTGTGAGTATCTTATTTTGTCATTCCATTCTTTCTAAAAGTTTAATGTTTGTAGATTACACCGTCGAGCGTGAACATTCCGGCTTACGCAGAATCGCAGGCTATGGTGTTACTATTACCAGAGGTGCAGCATCAGCAATGATGTTCACATATTCTTCTCTACTAGTGACAATGTGCAGAAATACAATCACGTATTTAAGAGACACAGTTGCAAATAACTACTTTCCATTCGATGCTTCAGTGGAGATTCATAAATATATTGCACTTTGGGCTTTTATTTTCACCGGTAATCCTCAACAAGTTTATTTTTTTATAAGCATAGTTACTTTTTGTAGTGATGCACATCGTGGGCCATGCTTTTAATTTTTACCACATTTCGACACAAACAGCAGATGATTTGACCTGTCTCTTCAGAAACTTTTTCCACTCGTAAGCAACAAGTTCTAAAATGCATAGAACCAACTAACTGTTGTAACCGTTTTAGGACTCACGAGCTACCCAAATTCCATTACTGGTGCTGGGAAACCATAACCGGGTTTACTGGTGTGGTCCTAACACTAATCTGGGCTCTCATGTACATTTTCGCTCAAAATCTAGTGCGAAGAAAAATCTACAACTGGTTTTGGTATACACATAATTTGTACCCTTTCTTCTTTATCTTCATGGTTTTACATGGAACGGGAAGGCTTATTCAGGTGAGAAGATAACGTTTAAGTTGACTATAATTTCAAATATATTTGTAGCCGCCCTTCTTCTACTACTTTTTCTTGGGTCCGGTTGTTCTGTTCACGATCGATTCGTTGATTAGTATCAGTAGAAAAAAAGTCGAGATTCCGGTCATACGAGCCGAAATTTTACCTTCAAGTAAGTGTTTATCATATTTGGTGTTAAATTGATGTGTTTTGTTGTTACTAGATGTAACCATGTTGGAATTTCGGCGCCCTGAAAACTTCCAATATAAGTCGGGACAGTGGGTTAGAATAGCATGTTTGTCTTTAAATAAGAATGAATACCATCCATTTACACTGTCGTCGTCTCCTGACGAAAACAACTTGACAGTTCACATTCGGGCTGTAGGTCCCTGGACTACTCATATAAGAACTCTCTATGACAACATCAATAAAGCTAATTCTCTTCTACCGAAGGTATTTCTGTACTCTAATAAAGCAGCAAAGTTTTATATGTGGAAATTTTAGCTCTATTTGGATGGTCCCTTCGGAGAAGGACACCAAGACTGGAACCAGTTTGACGTTTCAGTTCTCATTGGTGGTGGCATTGGTGTAACCCCTTTTGCCAGTATATTAAAGGACGTAGTTTTTAAATCGAACCAAACTCGTTGCAAAAAGGTGAACCAAATAAATACTTGTGACACCTACTCATCCATATTTTTAGGTCTACTTCATTTGGGTTTCCAGAACACAAAAACAGTTCGAGTGGTTGGTCGACATAATCAGGGAACTTGAATACAAAGACAGGAATAACGTCATCAGCTGCCATATTTTTATAACACAGTTCTTCGAAAAGTTCGACTTACGTACCATTTTCTTATACATTTGCGAAAGGCATTACCAAAGAGTGTCCAATCGTTCGTTGTTTACAAATCTAAAGGCTGTTACGCACTTCGGTCGACCGAATTTTGAACGATTTTTCAGTACTGTGTCTTCACTTCATGAAAATGTAAGATTATTGGAGAGTTTTGACATATAGTTAAACGAATATTTGCAGGTGCATTCTGTTGGTGTCTTTAGTTGTGGTCCTCCATCTATGACCACTAGTGTCGATGTTGCTTGCAATAAAGTCAATGCCCAAAAATTCCAACGATTTGAACACCACTATAAGAATTTTTAAATTTGTATTTGATTGTAGTTTTTTAACTGTACTTTTGTGAAATAAAGAATTATATAAAAAAAAAATAAGTAAAGGAAGGACACGATGTCATATGGTCAAGTCAGGTTAGGTCAGGTCCTGTAGCGTTAAGGTGCTTTTAGGACTGTAAGTTGCTTCAAGAACGTAAATCAATCTGAAATAATGAAAACATAATTTCCGTAATTTCTTGTTTTTATTTAATCTGGTATTGAAAAACGAAAAAATAATAAAACGGTATTTGGACAATAACTGTTTGCAATATAAATCGAGATCGCTTTAATTTTCGCAAAGCTTACAAACTAAATTTTATTATATCAATAGCTACCCTAAAACAACGATTGCTTAGAAAAATTATATGTTTATATATCTATATATATCAATACTATGATTATTTATATATTACATGAATGAGTTGTTCAAATGTAGATACAATGTATCGAACACATTTATAAAGTCTACGTGTATGTTACATGTACCTACATGTTTCATATTGATATAAACAGAATGCAAAATATGAGAAAGCATAAAATATGACAGAATGTGCAACAAAATTTTGTGATACTTGTGAGTAATTAAAAATAAATTAGTATTATTAAAACGTGGACATGACAGTGGAAAGAAACTGATCCACAACACACTGTAACAGTACTGAATATGAATAGTGCCAAAAATACGAGAATTTTATGTAATTTTGCTTGTTTGTGGAATATTGGAACGGTTTTGTAACTCTCATTGGCATATACTTGGTAAAAGTAGTAGAATTTGGTAAACTGCAAACAGTGTATTGAGAAAACACTGGTGTTTATTTCACAATAACAATGTGTGCGTATGACTTTACAATATAAAAACAGATGCAATTCCACCGAATATCTCTTATAAAGATTGGTTCGTCGAAAATTTTTTCAAGTGTGGAAAAAAATAGAAATAGCGAGCTAAACCTTCTGTGTGGCAACGATTGCTCATATAAATATATAGTTATCACTTCTTTGTTCATGGTGAGTGTTTGAATGAACTTTGGTTGTTTAGCAAGGCGTTTCGAAATAATAACGAGAGTGTTATAAGGAAAAGTTTATTCATGGCTAGAACTGTACAAGAAAAATTTAAGGCCTGATACCAGCAGGTTGAGTATCTTATAGTGTCCACTGAATTTACTGTCTGGGAATAACAGTAGGCTGGGACCAAGAAAGATTATGGGAGTATGGTGATGACAATACTAGTTAATAAAATTGCGTTAACCATGTCAAACAAACACTAACCAATTCCGTAATATTCATATAAAATTTTAACAATAATAATCTAATCAATTAGTAATTAACAAAATATAACAGCAAATTATAACATAGAACGACAGCCTTGGACTGTGCTTCTAGTTATAGTTGCGAGTTGTTCCGAATAAAATTCTTGTAACGGTATGCGTAACATTTTCATTTGCATTTTAAAATGATGGTCACGTCAATATACCTAATTAGAAAAGATGGTCCAGCCATGATAAAAAATTTTAATAAAACTTATACCTAAATAGCGTTACTTAATATACAATTTTGTGAACAATTTGTACAACCGTGCCATCAACTTTCAAAATGCTTTTAGCCTTAAAATTATCATTAGCTAATCGTATTGAAGCACATCATGTCAAAAATAGTTACAAAAGTACGTGTGCTATATTGCTTATTAAAAAAAAGTTCTTTTTGTTTTGAAAAATGTCACACATACAGTTTACAATAAATATATGAGGCATACAAAAATTTGTGTATATTTTTGCAAATTTCAACCCATTTGCCCCTCCCTTATGCAGTCCATGTAGCATGTGAAGATAGCTTGAAGATTAGCAATTGAAGAAAGCACCATAATTTTATAAACAACTGACATAATATTAAAACAGTTCACTTGTTTAGTATTTATTGTTCATTGATTCGGGCCCATTTAGAATATTATTTGAGGCTGATTTGAGAAAAAAGGCATTTTTTTGTTTTGTTAAGTTTGTGCAGCTAACCAGTGTTTAAAAATTTAAGCAAAGGTCTTTAAAATCCAAACAAAAATTATGCTCTTTTCTCTCAACCCGACTTGGAAGTGCTAAACCTGAATCATTATCCTTAAATTTGAAATGCCTATTTTGTTTTTGGGAACCACTTGGGAACGGTTGCTCCCAAATAACAATAAACTTGCTTTTACCTTATCAGTGCGTTGAGATTCTTTAGCTGTGTGATGTCGATTAATTAAGGTTAATGGACTCAGGATGTATAAGCTTGATGTAGTCTGCATGCAGAACAAATCAAGCCTTTTTGTTAGTTTGTTAATAATAACAATTATGTACAGGATTTTACTCCTAGCGTTACAATCATTGAGTTATGTGGTAATCCTGTTAGTTCAAAACATACGGCTTGTTGGCAGGTGAGATCTCCAAAAGTTTATAAACGTCTTACAGTTGACGGTTCCACGGCTGTACTAAGTGGAACCGGTTTTATGAACTCCGTACTATTCTTTCTTACTTTTGAAAACCTCAATAATTATTATTAAAAAGATGAGTGGATGAAGTTTAACATGTTTCGAAATAACAGGCCCCCTGAATAAACAAAACGTGTAAAGTTTTACATCAACTGTTTTTTGTATTAGCGACCAGTTTTGTGTAGAATTTTCAATTTTTGGGACTATCTCATGAGTTAAAACTAGCAACAAATGCTGGGACATAGTTGCTACTTTATAATCACGTGTAAATGAAAATTTAACATAGAACTAGCCAGTGAATTCACTGTTCATACAACTATGACTTGGATGGTGAAAGTGGATTTAAACGCTATATGTATTCGAGTATTATCAATAGCGATATGAGCAGCAAAAGCAGTTGACACTTAATATACGATACCTTCTCCATCAAACTACACAGCACAGACTTAAGTCCACGTAAGTTTTATCTCGAAAGTATCCAGCAACAGCTTAACGCAGTAGACGCAGTTACAGTAGATATTTATACGGAATTCGATGTATGTAAGAGTGAAGAACCTTCTGGAGTGCAGCCGAGATAAAAAGACGTGCAGTATGGCCATCCGAGCCTATGGCGAAATCGGGGAGGGGCGGGGCCAATCTCAGACGTCTGCAGACTTGGAGCTGATGCTGGGCGTACGACTGTGTAACACTACCTTGTGCCCGTTTTTGGTCACAAATCCGTCACTCTCGACCAAAACGGCAGTTTGGTGAGCCTCAACTTCCCCTTCCCCGCCACCGGTACTCTCCTCCACGGTCACTGGTTGTTCGGGAGCATCACCGCTGCGTTGTCTGTACTTCCGCCACGCTGTCTGGATCAGTCTTGCACAATATTCCTCACGCTGTCTGTACAGTGTAGAACTAATTTTTTCATAACCCGGCTCGTTTTGTACAGGTTGCACTTCACCTAGTTCATCTGTTTCCTCAATCGCGTTGCCCTTCCGGGCGAAGAAGTCTTTGGTTAGCGCGTCTAATATATCTACACAAAACATCAGATCACCTTTGCATATAGGAATGTCCATGGAATAGATTTTGTATTTATTTGGTTTGTGGATTTGTAAAGGAGGTTCCAACACATCGAACAAGTCCGACACTTGGTCGTACCGTATGTACTGCGTTCCGTCCGGATCGAACTGCTGCCAAATCTCATAGTACATATCGTAGTCGTCATCTGTTAAACCTTCCTGTACGTCTTCTGTAGCCTGGGAATAGTTTTCCAAAATCACAGCGATGTACATGTTGATCACGATGAGGAAAGATATAACGAGATAGCTTAGCAAAAAAGCGATGCCGATCGTCGAGTTTCCACAATTTCCGGTCTCTCCTATCTCGTTATTCGGTAACTTGCAATCTTCTTCGTTGATGATACCATCAAGCACTCCGTCCCATCCTGCTGAAGTGGACATCTGAAAACGAACCCCGTAGATTCTACAACACAAGCTACATAAACATACTTGGAACAAGAGAATCATGGATTGACCGAACGTCTTGAAATTGTACACATCATCCAATCCACTTTTATCTTTCACGTGCATGAAGAAAGACATCCCAAAAATGGCAAAGATGAACATGACCAAGAATAGTAGTAAACAGATGTTGAACAGTGCAGGCAGTGACATGGCTAATGCGAAAAGCAGTGTACGGATGCCTTTTGCTCCCTTCACTAATCGAAGGACTCTCCCTACTTTCGCCACTCGCACTACTCTTAGTAGTGTCGGCGATACAAAGTACTTCTCAATTATATCGCTAAGGACCAATCCCAAAATTGATAAAATTACTACTACTGTATCGAACAGGTTCCAAGGTTCTGTAAAGTAATGATAACGTAAAGCAAAAATTTTCATGAGGCACTCGGTACTAAATATAACAATGAAAATCGTGTTGAGCGAATCCAGAACCTTCGTAAAGGTTTCTTCCTGTTGGTAGTGATCCATTGTCATCGTCAACATGTTTAATCCGATAAACAACATGATTATCATATCGAATTTTTTGTTTGATACTATTTCGAAGACGATAGCTTGAGGTCTCCACTACAAACATAGACAACAATTATGTTAATATGGACATCGTGAAATTCACGTACCCTCGGTCTTGGTATAGCTTTCATCGGTTTCTTCGAACCCATTTTTTTCATCGCATTGTAGTATTTTTTCTGAGCGTCGGTCATCATTAACGCTATGGAATCACCACCCTGGAACAAAGATTGTCAATGGGTGTACACAGCGGTACCGCTTTGTGATGGGTTCCATTAGGTACTCATGTAACATGATTTTAGTCAAAGTTTAAACTTACCTTTTTCTTTTGCTCATTAAAGTTATCGATGATGACACCAATAAACAGATTTAGTGTAAAAAATGATCCAAAGATTATAAAAAATACAAAGTATAAGTACATATAAATATTGGTTTCTCTTATGGGTTGCTTATTTATCTGAAATGTTTGAATTATTTGGGACAGAATAATCGTGTTTGAACTTACATCTCTAGAATCTATGGCGTCGTTCATAATTTGTATCCACCCTTTGAATGTGGCAACCTGGAAGAGACAAAGGTATGCCTTTCCCACGTGGTCAAAGTTCATTGGAGAGTTTTCCCATGTGTAGTTTTCAGCTACACAAGCATTATAATCTGGTATTATTTCATAGCTTAACGTTGATTTATTTGCGTCTACGCACTAAATATAGTCCGTTAGTAAACGTTTTCAAAATTAACAATACCTACTTTAAAATATTTGCCGGCAAACAACTGTACACCCATTATAGCAAAAATTAACCAAAATATTAAGCACACTAGCAATACATTGAAGATAGATGGTATCGCTTGTACCAACGCGTTTACGACAACCTAAAAAGTTTGTTGTAAGTAAACAATCGGAATCAGGGACACTATTTAAGGCAAAATTTCTTTACTTACCCTCATTCCTTGCATACGTGACATAGCACGAAGTGGTCTTAGCGCTCGCAGTGTCCGCATAGTTTTAAAAGCTTGAATTCCGCCGGCACCACATAAAGCGGCAATGAAGTTAATTAGCGATACCTGCAACGAACACATTAATCTCTGTTGGTACTTCTTGTATACATGGTTACATACCATTACAATTACAAAATCTAACCAGCACCATGCATTCGTGAAATACGTTTGGAACCCTAAAGCTAACCACTTGATTAACATTTCAAAGAAAAATATCACCGTAAATATTCTATCCATGTAGTATAACACGTCTTGCAAAATGGGCCTCTGTTGTAGATGAACGTCTTCTAAAGCCAACGCTAAACTGCTAAGCAAAATCATTATAATAACAGCCGTTTCAAAGTACTTGTTCTCTATAAGACGAAACGTCTTAAATCGCAAATTCCCCCAGCCTTGCCAAAAAGGCGAATCTTCGTCTCCTGCAAGAAAGGGGAACTTTTTGTAACACGTTTCTGGAAAGCAATCTGCGGCATATTCATCTATGATAATGTCTTCTGTATTTGCGACTACCACGATGTCAGTTAACGGTCTTTCGCTTTCGTATCTGTCATCTTCCATTTCTAAAACAGTGTCGAGTCGATTTTGTGGTAGTATATTTTGAGAGTTTTACCGTCGGCGATGCCTAATTCTTCTTTACTAGCATCTCGTTTTTCCTCATGTTCGTCTAACATATCGGCACTACCTTTGTGACTCTCATCTTTAAATCTATGTTTATGACTTCCGTACGACTTGTTACTTATTTCGTCTTCGTCTAGATGTCCGATGTACATACCGTGCTCTAGAATCGAGTTTCCTATAGTTTTGCTTTTGTTGATGCTGTTTTTGCCTCTTTTTGGGTCCCCTGCAAGAGTGTCTTTCAAAAGTCTGTTTAAAGCAGACGTCTTTATTCCTTTTCGAAGTCTTCTTACCGTGTACGGTCAAATCCATGCCCGTTCCTATTGTTACCTCAAGGCGATCTTTGGGGCTCTTTTTTATTAACCCATCAGCTACAATTTCTTCAGCGGATATTTCTAAACCACCATCCCTCACATCTACAATTATTTATTATTATAAATACAGGCGAGTAATGTCTTAAGTATTTACTTAGTATTGAATAACAGTTGGAATAAACATAAATTTATCTAACTAGAATTTTGTTGTCTTGTCGAAAGCAAAAATAAATTGTTTGCTAATTTACGATTTGTGAGTCAAAGTAACATGTCCACATGCAAACAAAAAAGAGAAATATTTATCTAATTGCAAACTAAAGTTAAGTTTTTAAGAATTATTGACGTTGTTTCTACGTTATGATAATTTCGTCAACGCTACTTTAAAATTTTTTGGTGATCGTGTGAAAATATACTCGTACTAGAATAACTATATACCACTTTAGATGGGAGTTGATCCGTGTGCAAAAGACAATACGAAAAACGTAACACAGAACATAAACTTAAGCGAAGAGAATGTAGTTTCCACGTTATGTCCACAGGTTGGAAAGACAGCATTTTATATCCGCCATCTAAAGTCAACATGCGAAATGATAATTTGCTCAAAATAAGCACTACAATTGTATAGCAAGCAGAACCAGCGAGCTATCAGATTGTTGGATAAAAACCTTGGTTCCAACTGTTGGACGGTCCCTCACCTGACGGCTGGTCGGATATTTGGTTGGTGAGCTTGAATCGAATCAGTTTAGCGATATGTAAAACACTAGCCTTTGTCCATCTTGTAAAACGGCCTATTCTGTCAAAGGCCTCCGCAATTTTGTTGGTGTCGTTGTCGGCCGTGGGCGCCGACAGACTCGACGATCCAAAATTACTCAAAAGCAGAGCTAAGAAAAGATTAAGAACCTACGACCGAACTTACGATGGATCCGTACTTTCAATTAGTAAGATATACGCACCACAAGATTGCCAATAACAACGGTAGCAAGGAAGAATGGGATACAAGACACATCACCCACTAACATACAGTCCCACATAGACTCTATCCATTCTCCACACAACACTCGGAACACTATCATAAAGGAATGCATAAAATCTGTGAAGTTCCATCTTGGAAGGTCGTGATCAGGAAAGCGGTCCACGTTATCTGCGAAAAACCACAGTTAATAGTCGTCGCGTCAGAACAAATCGAGGTACCTGTATAATTTTTTCCAAACAACTGCATACCCATCACGGCGAATATGAATATGATAATACACAACACGAAGGTTAGGTTGCCTAAAGCCCCCATAGTTCTGCCCATGATGGAAATGAGCAAATTCAAAGTCGGCCATGATTTTGCTAATTTGAACACTCTTAGCTGCAATTCAAAAGAGACGAGTGAGCGATTTTCGTGATATATGTGTGTTTACCAATCTAAACGAACGTAAAACTGATAATCCTTGGACCCCCTCGAGTCCAAGTTCGATTAAGGACAGTGCTACAATTATGAAATCAAAGATGTTCCAACCTTCTTGGAAGTAGTATTTCGGACTCATAGCGACTAGTTTCATAGTAGCTTCGATGGCAAATGTAGCAGTAAAAAACTAAAACGGGTAATAGGGTAAATATGTGTCGTTCTCTTTACAAACTTGTGCATACGTAGTTTCCACTTTTCAAAGCTTTCTCTAAGTCCTTGTCCATGTCGTGGTGGTCCAGTGCCATAAATAGCGTGTTGACTACGATGCAGAGCGTGATGAAGAGTTCGACGAAAGGGTCGAAAACTATTAAGCTGACGAAATTCTTGATTGCTACCCAGCATGTACAGCAATCCCAAACACAAAAGATATCTATGATTCTTATAGTGTATTCTAGAACGCGTTCCTTTATTGTTGGTTCTTCTTCCTCCTCGTCATTATTGGCTGAGAAATAATAAACAGAAACTGTACGAAAGATTAGTAAAAATATTACTGACACACTCTTTTTTGGGAAAAGAGGTTTTGTGCAATGCGATAGTGCGACAGCCGTTCTTAACCGCTGGTTAAGTCTTGTGTTGTCATCATCTGTTTGTCGCTTTTCAAAGCAAGTACGGTTTCATTTTCCTTGTTGTCAGTGAGTCGAAAACAATACCGTAAAACAACTCAGTCAACACCATCGAAAATTGCTTTAGCAAATTTCGGTTAAGAACTATTAAGGCTACGTGTTCTAGTAAGTGATTACTAGAAGCTCATGCCGTCATAAAGACGCAGCCAGAGGGCCGATGAAACAATAGCGCTTACTTGGCTATAACCAATACCAAAATACGACTCTAACTAAATGATTTCAACACATCAAATCTAAAATAGTAGCTAATGATAATGATGTTCGTTCACTCCTTAACTGTTTGGGGGTTGCTCCTATTTAGAACCTACACTGAACTAACTAGCAATTTGATGCTCATCATAATCAGGTAGCTGATAGATGAAACAATTGAAACAATTAAGGGGCAAGGGAATTTATGATGGTTTCTAATCAAAATATTTGAAGGTGCTTTGATACGAAATGTGTTAAGTGCTAACATTACTGATTATCGATGTATAATATATGCAATTTATTTACCTAGTAAAAGTATTCTTGTTAATTTTTCCTCCATATTGTACAATGTAGTAAATATAAACATGTATTAGTTCGAATGGTCTAGCAACACATATTATGATGACATATGTCGTGCGGTTGCTAGTGTTACTAAATCAAGCAAATTGCGATGGTGTGTAAAGGTTAAGTGAAAGGATGTATTTTTGGGGTTAAATGAATTCCGAATTTACCTCCACGATCGCTACCTCCACTGACGGCTGCCTGCTCGATGATGTCGTTCAGCACCATCACATCTAATAACAACGTTTCGATCATAATACAGTTATAGAATATCTAAATCGTTTACCTTTCATGTCTACTACTGTTTGTTTCTGATTGCTATCGATGAATGGATTGTCTAATTGCTTCAACTTTGATCCGCAGAAGTGCCCGGTGGGACCATCCTGGTGTGTGCAGAAATTGTTAACTTCATGGTTTACAATTCAAGTCAAAAACTTACGTAGTCGCCTCTGTGTGTCTTGTTGGTCATATCATAGCTTAAGGGGTTCGCTGCGCCTTGTGATCCATTTCTCTTGGAGCGACCTCTCAGCTGACTCTCTTTCGTCATAACTTTTCCATTGCTTCCCAAACCGCCTAACAAATCTCCATGAGAAGTGTATGACATCCGTGAAGCATGTGAAGTGTACGATGAATGACGTGATCCTTAGGTTAGAGTAAGTTAATATGAACGCAATAGCTTGGTAATTATAGAGATCTCAGTGTTTAGAAACACCGTTACAAAGGGGGAGTCTCAATAATTACTGTGGTTGTTAGCGGTGTGATGAAAATACGTACCCAAGTTTGCATAATACATGGGAAGGACCATAACTCCGTTTTCTTCACTCATTGGAGTCACTGCGTTGGAGTCATCAGCGTAGGGTAGATGTTCTTGGGCGTCGAGATAAGTCGACAGAACCAGTGGTTTCCGATCGCCGGGGGGAGCCATACGCCTATTGTTTCTCAGTGTGAACTGGTGACTACCTCGAGAGCCTCGTCGAAGATTGAACGGAGATCCAGGTAGACTGAGACTGGCCTGAACACGGGACATGATCTATACATGCATGATGTGTTTATATCTACAGTGTTAAAAAGCCTAGCATCGTGGTTCACCACAATACTGTGCTCCAAAAGCTATGACTCTGTCATTCTTCACCGAGTCACATTGCTGTATTCCAGCCCGCAGAAAGCAATCGCTGTGAATTGTGTGACAGTGGCAAGGCTTACTAGATCTTGCTTAAGAGTAAGAAAACAAAAGCCAAGCAGAAAGTGGAAAATAATAGAAAAGATAGTCTCGACACTATAATTGTCATGATTTTTATTTTTCTCAGACCATAGTTGAAGTAGTTAGTAAGCAACAATAATTTTTACTAGTTTCAATGATTTCTCAATAAATATCAAGACACTTACAGCGCTGACTTTCCGCATCTTGCTGAGATTAGTAGGAACTCTTCTTTGTTCACTCACGGAATCTAATCCTTCCGAACGAATGCTTATCTTCTCCTTGTTGTTGTCGTCCTGTCCGTTGGGTTGTTCTACGAAAGACTGGTAACTGTGACACGAATAGTCCGACGAGGATTTAATGATTTCGCCCGATGCTGCTACCATCGCTGCTGCCGCTGCTGCTTCAGCCGCCGCCGCTCTCGCATCCGCTCTATCCTGCTTCTCTTTCGCTTTCTCTTCGGCTTCCTACACAAGCATAAACACGGTATCTAGGCAGTAACAAACGCTCACTAGTTACCCTGAGGGCGTTTGCTTCTGCTTCCTCCTCATCCTGAGCCTTCTTCTGTAACTCATCATAAGACATAGCGACAATAGCCAAAATTAAGTTAACCAAATAGAATGAACCCAAAAATATGATAACAATAAAAAACAACATATGCCAAGGACCGGCGGATCTTAAAACCTAAAATAATTCGTTTTTGATTTCAACACCCTCACTCAATTATCTCATTATTACCAGTTGATATAAATTTTCCCAATAATCCTGAGTCATTAGTCTAAAGGCAGAAAGGAACGCCCAACCGAATGTATCAAAACTCGTGTAACCATAATTTGGATTTTCGCCATAACCTTGTAAACATCTGTAACCCTCTTTACACTGTCCTGCTCCGGATGAATTCCCACACAATGGTCTTTCGCCTTTATCCTCATCATAATACCAATTTGCTGCAGCAGTAAAATCAGACCTTTTTTTGCGAAATTGCACAACTTACATTCGTTGCTGACAAATCTTTCCCAATTTTCAGCGGTAAGATTTCCCCACGAGCCATCCATTGGAAACTCTTTGATACATTTTTGGGTTAGCACTCCCATATAAATTTGTAAACCTATCAATGCAAATACTGACAGGGAAAACATTGTTAAAATTATCACATCTCGTAGATTTTTTACAGATTCTATTACAGCTCCCACGATAGTCTTCAAACCTTTGTAAAAAAAATGTTATTATTTAGGGTTGTTACGTTTTTAAAAAGTTACCTGGCACAATGGCAACGGTTTTTAGAGCTCGTAGTACCCTAAATGTTCTCAAGGCAGCAAGATTTCCAAGGTCTATACCCATGGTAACATAACTGGAAAATTCATTTTTCGTTTATGCTTTAGTTTTCTTTGAGGTTAATTTGCTACTAGAATCGCTAAAAGCTCTTCTCACAGTATACAACACAACACATTGTACATCATAATGCATGGAATTATTAACCAACTTTGTAAAACAATCTATCTACGAAAAGAATCTATTACTTAAATTCTAATAAAGTTAGTTCTAAACTATTCTATAGTGTTTGATTGATCTCTATCGTTGTACAGATAATAATTTCTAATTAAACGATCATAAACTACTTAATTTTCTACAATTATGAATACAATGGTAGCAGTCACAATAAACTCACTTGTAATATTTTTAATTGCATTTAGCCAAAATTACAAACAATCTTTTAAGCCAATAAGAAAATATTAGTCATAGCTGTGAAGTAAAGAGGGAAATGTTATTCAAAAAACGACAAAAAATAAACTATAGAAAAAATTAAATATATAACAAATTTTAAATTTTTATAACTGAAAAACTGTTATAACCAAAGAAATTAATGTAACAGTGTAAAGTTAGTTACTCTAGTAGAATGTACGCTCAAAGCATGGTCCACTCGGAGTAAGCACTTGTGGCACGCTCAGTTCTTTTCGACTGTGTACTTCGCGGTTCAAACTACTGTCACTTTTTTGTGTCTCTGTGGTGTATGTGGAGCAAAATCAAATATTGCTTGTTTTAAAGAAGTTATCTAAATGTGGTTCAAGTAGGCGGGAGTTTGCACACCAAAGCACACAATAAAAAATCGGGTCTTTTCTTTCAAGTGCTTGCTCATCTAGACGTACTGTAGAAGGAGATTATAATAAATTTTTATGTACTACTTATGTTATAACATTCTTTTATTGTTCTTACATTCTTATATCCTACTACCTATCTCTAACTCGTCTAAGTATGATCTCTCGGGTTTGGGACGGTACAGCAAATTAAATAGTGCGCTTTCTAAAGACTGAAACTTAGCGCCATTTTGTATTAATTTTGAGAAAGTTAGACGATATATCGGGTTATATTGTTCTACAGTGTGCATGGGTAGTAACCGTATTGGTAGTTACATGTGTCTTGTTGTTTAAAAAAATGTTAACTAATGGATTTTTTATGTATCGAAATTAGAAACTAATCTAAATAGTAATGTTCTATCACCTAACTCTAAGCTACTCACGCTAAAGCTATGACTACGAAGTCGAGCCAGTTCCATGCATCTCTAAGGTAGGTGAACGGTTCAAGAATAAAACCTCTCGCCATCACCTTCACAGCTGATTCGAACGTGTAGATGCCTGTGAATATCACTCTAGAAACGAACATGTTGCTGAAACATGTAAAACACTTTTGATGTAACTTACTCAGTTGATTCTACGGTGGGTGTTGTGGGCATAATCATGAGGATACAATTGACGAGGATTGTGGTAATGATAAAAAGAGAAAATAAAGGATGCACTAGAACATAAATAGCTACTCGACGGATTGGATTGAAGGGATCGAGTATCCACATGGCGTTTGTTGCGCTAAATCGAAATATGTCCTTGCCTTTACTAACTACTACAAAAGTCTGAAATCGAAGGTCGTCAGTAGATATCAGTCGCGCGCGTCAATCCTTACCCTTTGGTTACTGTAAAAAGCGTCGATGTCCTCAAGAGGTGTACTAGCCAATTCTGGAGGAAAGCTACCCTGAAGACGTACTGGTATAGGCAGCCCTTGCTCCAGAGTTGGATCAGGTTGGGGGCCTTCATCTTCGTCCTCGTCCTCATACCGAATCTGGCACAGATACACATACAATTAAAAATCCGCCGGCACACAACTCGGCCCAAATTTACAAATTCTGCTTTCAACGAACCGTCCGAAACAATTGAACAACAGTGTTCGGTGTATGTAACGTGTGGAGTTTTTGTAAAAATTTCAAAAATCGCAGTGTAATAATGTTGATGTGAATAGAAGAAGAAAAGAGAACTGACAAAACACACATGCGCTTGAATAAGTGTGGTTGAATAAGAAGAAAGTCGCTTGTTGAGTGGTGTATGCGATCGTGAAAAAGCTAAGGCTTTGTACTGGAGAAAGTTTACAGAAGCGTAAATTTGTGTGCAAATTTCTTTAAATATCGCTTTGCACAAGTAGAAAGTTCAAAAGAGATTTTTTTCTTTATATTATACGCTGCGAGCTTCGTCGGGTTTGTTAACTTTGAACCGTTATAATCCCATTTGCCCTTTTTCAACTTAACACAAAGATACTACAATTAGATGCAAAATTTGGTAACAAGTTCTATGTGAAATCGAATTTCTTACGTCTTAGAAAGCGAGGATAATGGGAAGTTTAAGTAAATTAAAGCGGCGTTCTCTTCCAAGCCGCAACCAACTTTGTTGTTTGCCATTATTCGCAACGCTAAATAAAGTTCGGTGCGTAAAACAGTCGAGAACTTTGGAGAAAAAAGGGGAGAAGTTAAACAAAGACCAGCATAGGGTTGTGTACGTATGTGAAAAACGATAGTAGTAGAAGTGTGGTTTAACTAATGTGGCTATTCCGCTGTTTAGCAGTCAGAACGAAAGCAGTAGCAAAACTTTCAAACTATAATTTCTATAGTTTCAACACTAAAATAAAGTTTGATAAACCAAGCAGGCTCCAGGCTTAACTAATCAACCATGCTTCAACGATGGGTTAGTCCGTGTATAGCGATAAACACAGAAACTATTTTTAACTAAAAAATTGATTCTTGCTTCGGTTAAAAATAGTATTCTATCATTTATAGATTAACAATGTGTTGGTGTGGCATTGTCTTTGGTCAAATGTGCTGAAAACTAGTTAAATCAATTTAATGCATACATTTCCTAATATGCAAGAAGGTGGAAATGCAGTAAATCATCTAAATCAAGCATCAACAAAATGAAGCTATCAGATGCAACTGACGATATCTAGAAAGGAAGGAAACGGAAGAAATAGTGGTGTGAGCCTTGTCAAGGCGTTGACAGTAATTTTGAAAATCGTCAGAGGCATTAATTCGCTAAAAAGCAACTCTTTGGAGCATTTTTAATCAGTAAACCTTACTTCTTTTTTCTTTTTCCTTCGTCCAAAACCAGTCTGCAATAAAGGGTATAGTTTAACATCGATAAGCACAATGCTTGGCTACAATACATCACATGATTTTGCAGTGGCTAATCGTCATGAAGGATCTACACTTCCAACTACGCTACATCTACCAAAATCCTTCATGACGATGAAGCACCGGTTGGAAAAAGTTGACAATCTTGTGATGCCATGATATGAAATGGACGAATTTCTCTCGAAAATGAGCCAATGTGATGCGTATAAGTACCTGTCTTAAGCTTATTCCTTAAGACTTACGAACGCCAGTAGGGTATAGCCTCATACTGTGATTTTATAGTACTGTCGACAATGTAAATACATAGAATCATGCATGCTTCCAAGCACGGTTTTACATACTAAGAGTCCTGAGAAAACGAAACAAATATATACACAGAATAAATAATATGGAAGATGTATATCGGTCACGATTCAGCAGTATCGCATTCTCACCAATAACTCACTCTTTCGTCGTGTTGTTTGCAATCTACACGATCTGCCTTCTAAGTGAATTATTCGTGTTGTGTTGAGTCTGCGTCAAATGGTCATAATTTAATGCGAGTGAAAAATGACGGTCCAAAATTTGGTCTTCTTACCTCTCCTTCAGCTTTTTTCTTTTCGAGCTCCTTCTGCCTAGCATACTCTTCTGCAATTCTAGTCTCGATGATCGCAAGCGACTCGCGCGTGAATGGACGGAATATGCAGCGCTCCTCCTCGGACGATAAGTCAGAGGCTTCGGACATTTCTCCTCGCGCCTAGGCCCCCAGGATACCCTAAAACAAAAAAAGGCGAATTTGTCTTCCGAAGGACGATCTACTGATAGTCGTGGTGTCATCGGGTATCCTTGAATTGCGACGCAATCTAGTGGTGTTTTAGGTTTCATTCATAGGCGCCTAGAATTTGGGGAAAACATTCCCCGACATATATAAGCTTTTAACGTATCGCATTGTCCTTGTCCCGTATACAATAGACTCTTTGGCTCCACGATATAGAGAGAGATGACGCTAAAATTGATTACTTCCATTCGCGTTCTCAAGGAGAGTGAGACAGCGAAAATGTAAAAGGGCGGAGTCTGCGAGTCTGCTATGTTTATCTTTTTCTGGGACAGAAGCTGATAGGTTGCATTCATACCTTAGACTCTAGCTTTGTCTTTGATAATAATATTCGTTCATTGTGATCTAAGATGATGGTGTTAAGTTTCGAATGAAGATTTGATGAAAATCAATAATTTTGAGTGAATAGAGTGTGGGTCGCAATGCCGCCCTTACCCGTAAATATAAATAGAAAGAAATCCTTTCTGATATGATAATAATAGATCCTGATGACGCCAAGACCGATTCATCGCATTCTAAATGTCAGCCTTCTGGGACGGGTACAGATGCTTTTAATTTTAAATTCTCGCATCACCAATTAATATCAGAAAGCCAATTAATGGAGATCGATCTCCTGAGATAATTGGACGTCGTTCTTCTAAAAGCAGGGTGACGAAGGACTGATGTTGGCATATTTTCGAAGAAGAACTTTTCGACCTCGTAACACACAAAGCTATCATCTACAAACATGCTTTTACAGTATCCCCGTCCTGGTTAGTTATTGTTATCTTCGTTGTGAGTAAACGGTGTCATTAATCTTTTATTGAGAAGTAGTGGGTTAAGAAGATAAATTGGACCACGAAAATCGATAGATTTAAATTCTGCGAAGAATGAGACGTTATATTTCTTGAAATTGCGTCTCTCAAGCAATTAATTCTACGAAAACGGAAAGCTCATTTAACGCAAAAGGTTCTAGGTATCAATTTACATAATACAATTTCGCGGGTTATTTCTTCTGTTCTCTCGTCATTTAAAGAAGGATCTTACCGCATGGCGGTTTTAGTTGCACTTACGAAACTGGCAAAAATCAATAGTACGAAATTTACATACATTTATTTGCTAGTTAGACACGAAACTTTCTTTCTGGTACGTGTTTCATTACAACATCTATACTCACTCGTATTCAGATCGGGCAATTTTGGGGGCCAAAAACATTACTAACCTGAAAATAAAAAGACACTGGTTAATATTTTGCGCTTCATTTGGTAACATTGTCAGTGTAGATGTCTCTATGTAGTCTAATTGCAGTAATTTGAGTAATTTCGTGATCCCATCACAATACTGAGTGCTCGGGATATGAATGAAATGTCTTACGTGTAATTAATACCGACCGTTCCCAATGTAATAGCTCGAATTAATGTAATTTGCTCGCAACATTTCCTTAATTATATTTGTCTCATCGATTTTACTACCAGGAATTAAGTCTGGTGTTTTTAATTTTAGCCAACCGTGTTTTACGGTTCCGTCAAGAAATAACTTTCGGTTTTCCCGTGCATTTTTATGTCAATTTTCACTTAGAGTGGCAAAATAGGAGATGTTTCGAATAAATTCCAAAGTCGTATATCTACATAAACTATAAAACCCACCCTCGCATATACTCAGTTATATGAAACACACCTTCTGTATCGTTATTTATTTATGTAGCAGAGGAACTCAAGCGTACACAAAAATAAGAACTTATGAATAATGTGGGTATTAGACAGTCGCCCTAAACCGTGGCAAACACGCTCGTTCTATTTCTGGCAATTGTAATAAAATCGAGGTAAATAAGGGGCCGTGGTGGTTTTTGAAGCATTAAGATACTCAACAGGTTGGTAGGCTCTTAGTCCGGAAGAGGCGGAATCAACCAAGCCAATGTTTATTAATTCATTTAAAACAAGCGACGAGACACCAATCGATGTAAATTTTGCTACGGTGAAATAGGTCACAATCTGCACCCGTTAATATTTGACAAGATTGCGTCATTTCCGCGATACGAAATTAGTTCCGTAAAAACTTTAACTCCTCGTTCAAGATCTTTAAAGAAGAGTTATTTTTATTGCACTCTCGGAACATCCCCAATTTTGTCGTCTGTTCTGTAAAGAGTTCTTAATTCCATTTCATCCCAACACTCAATGTTGTGCCAGGATTAGTCACTCCTGAACATCTTTCTATGACCTCATATAAAATTTCTCTTAAGCTTTCCCCGAATCGATAAAAGTTTTCAGCTTTTCTGCGAAAACATAAGAGCTTAAACATGTACATGTTGCTGGTAAAACCCGGGTTGGGCACTTTGCGTCGTGCCCAGGCACGTCTAGCTTCGGCGCAAGAACGACTAATTTCACTAATCTTAAAATTAACACTAACCTACAAAGCGGAGTACAGCAGAGTACCCGTATTTACACGTAAACACGCAGAGAATTATCCCGGCACCTCCACCATTTTGTAATGTACATTTAATCAGCATATGTGAACAAAAAACCAGAATTGCCGGTGCTTTTGAAATTTTAATCCGTAATTTTGCTTCAACTCACATACTGCCAACGTATTTTTAGATTACGGTTAATTGTCACATTGACGTAGCATACGTCAAAAATAACAATTTACTTTAACCTAAAAACCAGTTGGCAGCGTGACAGGACAAAATTATCAGCTCTAGATTTAAAAGCAGAGTCAAATCTAATTTCTTTTTCTTTTTCCGATACAACGTAATATGTTGTATTCAAGATTGTTTTAGTCCCCAAGCGACAGCTAAGGGAAGTATTGTAATAGGATTTCTTTTGGCAAATGTTTGATTTTATATCTTTCGAGTGTTTCACAGGTTGCAGATTACGCAATGCAGTTTTCTGGTTCCGGTCTGTCTACTAGCGTTAACCACTTACTTGAAATTTTGTCTTTACTTTAAGTCGTCATTAGTATGGCAAAAAACGTCTATTTCTATTGCGCTGGTTCGTTGGATGTTATAGATTTTAACGAAAGAATATTGCATGGATGTTAGGAAAGTGTTATCTAAATACTTAATAGAAATTGATTATTTCTGGAAGAGTGTTAACCATGACATTAGAAGTTTATTATCTATTTACGGTTTACTGCGTTTTGAAAAGCTCTTAATGGTCGCTTAAAAATCAAACACGGATCAATTTGTTCAAATTGGTGCTTATAAATAGAACAGCGATATTGAGTTTTAGTAAACGTCAATTGCCAGCTACTTCTGTTGCGTAATTTTAGTATATTAAAGTTTAAGCGGAAAAGTTTCTACAAATTATGTATAGATCTTTTTACTAAACTTAACTTAATTTCTACTGTGGCCTTGAATAAAGCCACTTTTGGAAATTCGTTCTAATTATATAGAATTTTAATAATTAACTCAATTAAGACCGTTCTTGAGTGTTATTTGTCATCGCACACAGGAGTGTTAAAGATTAGATTACCTTTTTACAAGCAAAGTGATTAAAATGGATTAATTAATTTTCGTAATTACTACCACAGTGTGCCGTATTTAATCAGGAATTGAGTTTTACTACACCGCGTACCAAATTTGATTAAACGAACGAACAGTTTTGATATTTCTGGAACTTTGCGTAATTTGCAATTTTGTAAATGACTGGTAATTGATCAGCTAAATGCTTTTCAAGGTCGATAAACGCAAACTAATTGTGAAAAATTGCTGTTTAATTAGTAGGCAAATTAACACTTTTAAAATGGTGTATAATTATTGTTGATATTATTATTATTATTTTTAATGATAACACATTTCAACTAATGTCGACGATGACTGTCTCGATTATTCTAATAAATTATTTATCCGTACAATCGGAATGTAAATGATTCTCATTAACGTAACAAACGCTCATAATAGTATATTAAAGAACGAGTTTCATAAGGCAAATATTGAGGCACGAATCCAAGTTTATAGAACGAGCGGCGAAGCCGCGAGTTATATAAAGGATGAGTGCCTCAGTGGCCTTATGAACGAGTTATTTATACTATTTTTTCTACCGCACACGTTTTTTCCCAAAATTTAATTGAAATTTGCATTTTTTTTAATCTGGGGACTTTTGTCGTGGTTGGTGATGGGTCGGTCTGACACTAACCACGAAATATTTGAGGTTCGAATTTTCACAACAACAATTGTAATTCGAACCAATTCGAGTTTTTGTAATTTAAAATTGGTTAAAATGTCTTGCGAAGAAGTTGCGCGTCCGGAAACATGGGAAATTTTAAGTTTAGATTTGCCACTGACATTCACCTGACATTTCTCGTCATTGCTGCCAATCTTACCGATCTAAATTACACCAGATCTATTAAAGAACGCCTTTCCGCTATTAACGAACTGCTGTGACGTCATTTGCGTGCGTTAATAGCTCTATTAGAAAACCAAAAAACGTGGGCGGTAGAAAAAATCTTTTATGCTTGTTAAGTAGCCATTATGTATATTATACACAAGCAATAAAATTGTGGCTTAAAGAGAATCGTTCAATAGACTTCCGCATATCACCAAAGTGGCTATTTTTTTAATGTATTGTTTATCCAAATATTATTTAACGCGTTAGAAGCAGCAATATCGGCTGCAGCTTCGACGAAAGTGTAAAAATGTTTAAATTTATACGTAAAAGTAGTCTCATAACCTGTTAAAAAGGTGTAGCTAACCTGTCCAAGAAAATTTGTCAGGTTCAACTTTTATGGGCTATCAACACTTTAATCATGTAGATGTTTATCGTTATTTGTATTCAACTATGAATAAATATGTATCAGCTCTATAAATAATAATGTTTCTACCTAGACGCATTTTTATCCGTTCAGTCTGGGTTAAAACATTTACAAATTTATTTTCGTGATCAATCACAGCGATACGTACACTGCGGCAATTGTTTTGAGTACGAAAACAAACCTCTCATGAATTTAAAATTTGAACCCACCCGGTGAACTCTCTCATTTTGTACGTATATCATCAATATTTATAAGCTTAAGGGCATTTTAATCTAAAAGTTGTTAAAAAGTAAACGTTGAACGTAATAAATAAGCTAAAATCAATTTCGTCGTTAGTTATATATCACCTTTAATTTTATTGATTTTTGGTTGCTACTAACGTAATCATTTTATTTGTTAGTAAAGCTAGCAAGTAAATACTTGCACATTAAATATTTTACGTGAAAGAAGTATTAGCAAAAAGTTTGGCAATATTTCGTCTTTATAATTTCCAGACGTTACAAAAATGCGTAGGGGGATTAGATTGTGATTTATTGCTCCGGCTAGAGTTTCCCGAACATGTATATCATTCATTTTAAAATACCGAAAAAAACATTAAAAATGTTCGATTAGTCTTGTAAGTTCGGAAAGTAATTAAAGTTGAGCTTGTCACAGAAGTAATTTGTTTCGGCGCTTAAAAAGCTGACACTTTATTTCGTTGTTAATGCTCCCGTAAGCGCGGTCAATTATTCAGGGATCGTAAATATAGCTTTGCATTGATTTCGCTTGCAACATAGAGTGATAAATTTTAAGTTATTTTCACCCTCACGGAAAAAATTTTGCCACTTGGTTGAGTGCTTACAGATCCATAAAATACATCGACTTGACTCTTATACAGCTTAGGAAATTGAGGTCGAGGGATTCGAAAAGTGACAACGAGGGTTTCACAAAAAACTTACATTTAGAAATGTGGATGTTATTTAGGTACAGTCGATTTCATGTTACGAAACGTTCGAAAAGTAGAATTGTGGTGGATGCGCCGGGTCGACTGTTACTTTTTGTACTCGACAGATAAATGGCACAACGTATGTTAATTAACTAATTGAAACTCGGTTGTCGATAGTTTTCCACTGTGACCCATTTCAGTGACATATCAATAAACAGTCGTCTATCTTGATGTAATTTCAATACTGCGGAAAATAAATTTCACGTTCTGTTTAGCGACAACAGAAATGTAGATTTCTTATTCGATAAGTTGATTGTATTTCTAAACAAGTTGTTTTAATTTTATGTAAATCGTCTGAGTTTACTTTCCTTTGTAAATTTGTAAAGGAACGTTAAGCCGTGATGATATTAAGACATGTTTTACATAAAATTAAAATTTGTACAGATTTGAATAGTCTGTTTGAGGAGCGTGAAAGGGTTGTTTGAGAATTCTAATTGGATTGTTTTCGGTAACGGAAAGGTATACAGTGTGTGGAGAAGTAAGTTTCGAAGTGGAAGCGTGTTATGAATAAAAGTAAAAGGCTAAGACCCACCTGCATTGAGGTCTGTCAGAATAATCACATGGCACTGTTTCTAACATTGAAGATTGGCGAAAGGCGGTTTCATGGACAGCACGAGGACGAGCAAGATTTTGAGCACTATATCAGTAACGGCAAACGACAAACGGCAACAACAACAGTGTAAGCACTGCAGAGACGGCAAGAATAAGCGGTTTAAGTGCTAGTTGATAAGTGTGATACAAGCTCGAGAGGGATTGTGAACGAGCCTTACAGTCACCCCTATGCGACAGAGCAAATCGATATTAAATAATGACCCACAAAGTTACCAGCAGATAATCGCTGAACTAAAGCCACTTTACTTACATCAACTTTCTTTGTTATGTGTGTATGTCCTTGAAAAATCATGTGGGATATTAGTCTTCATTTATTGCTAGTTGTGATACACAATGCGGAATAGACAGTCGTAGGCTGGTCGCGACAAGCACAGAGCACATGCCGAAGACACTCGCGTTCAGGGCCTCGGCCGAAGCCTGGGGGCATGCCGCATGTCTTTTGTGGAGAATCACACGCGTCTTCGCGCCCCCAGCACTACTCCGACTTCTTCTGCGATCGCCATTTCTTCTAGGCTGCAGCGTCCATCTTGACGGGCGCTGGGGTAGGGAGGGTGCGCCGCGCACGTCCGTTGCTCACACACTCTTAGCCACGGCAATCCGGCTCGAAGGGGCAAAAGATCGGAGGAGGTGCACGAGGAAACTGGACCTTAACCCGGTCCCGTCGAGGAGCCCTCGGTGCTCGCTAGTTCTTCTTGCCGCGCTAGATTCAAATCGGCGGCGCAAACTGCTGCGTTTGCGCCCGGCGCCTCCGCCACGCCGCTTAGCCTTAACCCTTCTAGTAGACTGGCTGGCGCTGTGACGTCATATGGTCAGTAATGTTGCGGAAAGCGTCGCCATAGCAACCGTGCTATTATATAGAGGCTGTAAACGCCTAGAGATCGATAGTCACATGCAGGATTGCCAACACACTCACCCAAACAAGCTTAACACCCTTCGCGACCCACGCGCCACGTGCTTTATTTAACCTTATTTGCATACAATTCTCTACCTCCATTCATACTTTACGTCCAATGCGGTCGTTCTCCAAAACCATGAATGATAATGGCGTATTAATAATACAACGATTCAAACTCTCATAAATGAGTTCTCCGAACTGAAGCGACAGCTTGCTTGATTATCACGCTAAATAATCCATCATAAATAAAACATAACTTCCTTTGGAATTTCGTCATACATACAAATACCATTCAATAAGTTATTTTTTGGCTAATTTGAAACCTGGTATAACGTTTTTTCAGTAAAATAGAGCATCAGTTAAGCTCCCTCTATTAGACGAATTCTAGAAGTAGATCTAAAAATACATAAAAATACGGCCGAAAGTAAGTACGGAACTAAAAGTCAACTTCGATTCAAAAATTACGTATAGTTTACCTTTCCTGCGATGCAAATATCTATATGGAGCTGTGGACTAGTGTGCGACCTGACCAACAGATGGCGCGCGTCTATTCAATCCGTGGTCGAAACACTGATTAATAAGTAATGAAGTTCAGTGGTAATAATAGTTGTCATCATTAAGAATTAAATGGACCAAATTTTAGACGTATAATTCCCATATTATTTCGTCCACTTCATCAAAAATATATTTTCCTTGTTAAAGCATTGACAAAACGGACGAAAGTGTCTCCGAGAAATATTAATGAAGTGACAGATGTAAGTGCACTTAATAATTACATTAAGATGGCCATGATACTGAGAAACCCAGACAAGTCCACCTCGTATTCAAAACTAATCAATATTTCTAGTTCATCAACAATTTATAGATGGTTCGAAGCTGTGTTTTTGTGATAAACAAGTTTAAACTGTAGGAACTGTAGTGTATTTTTTCAGTAAAACTGACAATTAAGAAATATAGGTTTTGTTATCATTTCAACGTTTCTGATTTATTGAAAATTTGACTTTCATAACATTGTTGACACATGTCTGACATTTTTAGAATATGGAGCTTCAACATTGTTTACTCACTAAAAATAATTTCAGTGATTTAGTCAGAAATTTAAAAAAATGTTACCAGTTTGGTGGAAACATTTGTTCGTTCATCTTGTCAAAATTTTTTGAATTGTGTGTAAGTCTTGCACCAATAATGTTTCGTTTTAATCGAATAACGAGAACGAAAGAAAAACGGAAAAGATTTTCCGCTTCCGCTGTCGCCATTTGCGGTTTGATGAACATTTATTAGAGAACTAATCTCTGAAACTGGTGAACTGGGAAAGAAATAACGTCGCTTCAAATTATAGATAAGGAAAAATCAATTTCTAAATGTGAAATATAACTTGGTTTGTGGTTTAATATATAATTCACACATAGTTTAATAAGATATAATATTGATCTTTTGTTTCAACATGTATTTTCGTGCCTTTTAAAAAATTATACGAAAATACAGAAGTTGTACATTTTCGAAAATATGTATATAAATTTGTTTTGTTGTTTCGATTTTCAGGGTCTTGACCGAATTATATGATATTTTTATCTCGAAATACAAGTATTAATGAATCTCTCGTGAACAACAGGAAGCTGTCAGATGAGGATACACTTATCAGAAAAAATGTAGATTTGCTTCGCCGAAATTATTGTAATAACTATTCGTCGTCTACTTCAGTGAAACTATGAACATCTCTGTGGTCTTTCTCGTGTTTTTGTTCAGTTTCTTAGAGCCAGCTGTGACTCTGAATATAAGAGATGGTAATTATACAGTGAACATCCGCTTTAAAAATTACTCATCCAAGAATTTGTAGAGTTAGCTCTAGTAAACAGACCCTTCGTAAATCGCACCGCTTCTCCAACAAACTTTGAGCATTTCCGACGGAAAAGATACTTAGGTCTAAGTAAACGTTTTAAGGTGATCGAAACTTCCGAAATCCGTCACTCACTAATCCTCGTATTTTAGCTAAACAAACGATACCAGGAATGCGTAGCACCCGACGATGCCAAGGGTCACTGTAAACACCTCATTTTTTGCCCTATGGCCGTGCTTAAAAATGTTCAAAATGTCCTCGACTACCTTTGTGTCATTGAAAAAATGTACAAGCTGTGTTTTATGCAAAAGGTCTTTTGAAATAATTCTCGTTTGTAGGCACGTCGGCGTTTGCTGTCCTGATGACATCGCTCTAAGCGGAGTAGCCGGTTCTCAAATAATTTTGGACCTACCGGGAGGAGGGGAAGATTATGAGAAAAACGACAACACGACAGGTGAGCTTTATTGTTAAAAGGTATGCAAATGAGTAACCCTTTCAGGATGCGGAATTCCAATTGAGGGAAACCCCGGTAGTAAAAAATCAATAGGTCAACAGTGGCCTTGGATGGCGGCTCTTTTCAGACCGAAAGAACTGGCACAAGGCTTAGAGCAGCAGTTCTGTGGAGGGGCTGTTATTACTGAAAATCACGTATTGACAGCGGCTCACTGCACTTTGGGGTAAACTCGTCAGGGAATCCTATTTAAGGTTCGTATCTCTAAAAATAATGATTCCAGACTCACAGCCGATGAAATACGCGTTCGTTTGGGCGAATATAATTTCGCCAAATCCAGTGAAACCCGAGCGTTGGATTACGTCGTAGAATCAATCACCGACCACGAAGACTTCGATAAAGCGACCTATGCTAATGACATTTCAATTATAAAAATGAAAAAAGCGACCAGTTTCAATACCTACATATGGCCTATTTGCCTACCGCCGGTCGACAGAGATTTCGAAAAGGAAGTTGCTATTGTTGCCGGTTGGGGACAGACCTTTTACGCTGGACCTATCAGTCAAGTGTTGCTTCACGTCGAAGTGCCAGTTTGGACCCTCAAGACTTGTCAAAATTCGTTCCTTCAAAGAATCACCGAAGATAATCTTTGTGCCGCCGGGTTGGACGGCGGAAAGGATTCGTGTTTGGTAACGGGATGAATTTTATTGTCTTATTCTATACAAAATAGGCTGCTTTAGGGTGATTCCGGGGGACCTCTAATGTTCCAGTTGGAGAATGGCCGCTGGATCACTATCGGGATTGTTTCCTGGGGCATCGGATGCGGAAATAAAGGAAGTCCGGGTATTTATACCAAAGTTAGTAAATATATACCATGGATTATCAAAAATACTATCGCGAAATGATCAGCTCGCTATTGTTACGCAAACCCTTCTATATGTTCTACTATTGCTTCTTAGAGAGTGCTGAAATATAGCATATTTTCTGTGGATAAATAAAGAGTAAATTTTCTTTTTGTTACACTTGTCACAACCTGCTTTTATCCCTCCTTTCTCTACTATCATTTTTCTTTCGCCTCCGCGTCTAATCCTCACCCACACACTGTTCCAATCGATGAAATTTTGCCGAGACTATAAATCGCTTATGGTTATTGCGCTAAAATATAGCCTTGACGTGTTTTTTAAGTCGACGATTCTAGCCGTGACTTAGGTATTGGATTTGATTTTTTTTATATTTTCAGCTAAATCAGTCTTACTTGTGTAACGTCTTTCTACTAATTGAATTTCGTCCCTACTGAGCTTTATTTTCCTCCGAAGTGTAGATGACATTTTGACACCGGGGTCTCCAGGGACAAGAAAAAATACGTTTATTGACCTTTGCTACGAAGCTACGAAATAAAACACGTCTTCGTTTTAAAAATTTATATTTAGAACAATAATTAAAATAACCATAAATAACATATATGAAAATAGAGGAAACTGAATCACAAATCTGAACCTAACGTTAATTAGGTTTTGGTTCAATACTGTTTAATAATCCTGCCGTATACAATAAAATGATCCACTTCACCTTAATTTAGCAGGAGGATTGTTCACGCATTCGAATTGTACTCTGGGGGTGACGTTATGGAAAGTAATGGTACCTCGGTTTCATCAATCTGATGTTCTTGAAAATTCACTTCGTTTAAAGCTTTGCCGTTATTCGCCATCTGTTTTCTTACGCTGTTGGGTACAGGAGTGCTTGGAGGTTTAGCGGGTTTTAAATCGGGAACGGGTGACTGGGTAGTGTTTTTGTTTTCAAATTCGCCATTTAGCCAATAAGTGACCATCGGACCTTTTCCCTAAAAAAGCCAAGTTAACGTAATTATATAAACCCGAAAAAACAGTCTTTGGCTTACCTTTAAAACAACCTCGCCCCGCCGCTCTATATCAAACGTTCCAAACATTTCCAGGAATTCCTTAGTAGCAGGACTTATGTGTATTCTTAGCGGGAGCCCGTTTGTCTCCATTCGCGATGCTGTGTTGACGGTATCTCCAAAAAGACAATATCTCGGCATTTTTAAGCCGACAACCCCAGCAACACAAGGTCCAGTGTGTATTCCTATTCTCAGTTTCAAGCACGTGTGCGGCTTATGTTTGATTTTGAAAGTTTTAACCGCCTCGAGTAGAGCCAGCGACATTCTCGCTATCTCCCTTGCGTGGTTGTTGCCGTTCCGGACGGGCAGTCCCGACACCACCATGTAAGAATCTCCTATAGTTTCAACCTGAAAGCAAAGTCTGGTCATCGAGCGCCCCGATCATTGCCTGCTACTTTACTTTATAAACATCGAAGTTCCCTATAATGGAATCGAAGCAAGTATAGAGCTCATTCAAGAAATCTACCACCTCTAGCGGTGTACTTTCAGCGCAAAGACTCGTAAAACCCTGGATGTCGCTAAAGTGTATGGTAACATATTCGAAAGTTTCTGCAATGACGGATTCTCCGGTGATTAACTGCTGAGCGACGCTCTTCGGCAGCAACTGATAGAGCAAATCTTCGCACCTACGCTTCTCTTCTAAATAATCGGCTGTTCTTTCTTCCACCAACGACTCCAAATTATTTGCGTACTGCTCCATCCGCACCAGGAGGTTGTCAAGCAGATTTCCGTCGCTCTCTCTGTAACGCAATTTCGTCAATTTTGCGCGAGATCTTACAAATGAAGTCGCGCCTCTAGCATAATTTTAGCTTGACGCCGAATCAAGAGTAATTGCATTTAGCTACGCAAGGAAGGAGAGTTTACTCGACATACTTATTTATATGCTTCAATCTGCTTTTCACCGACGAAAAATCAGGCCTGTCGGCAGCGTCTTCAGACCAACACTTTTTCATCATCAAAGCGACTTCCTCCTCGCATATCGCTTCCCCCAAAGATGGTCGCAGTGGTTGGCCCCCGTTCGCGTCTGGTCCCTTACGAACAGCGTCGACTTTTTCTGCGAAAAGTTTCAAATTAAACAGAGACGCTTTTTATGGCAGTTACATCGACAGAAAAGTGGGCATCAAGCCAATCGACCCCAAACGACCTCGCAGGAAATTCAAGCGCGTCCGAGATTTTTTATCACAGTCGTAATTAAAACATAAATCGTTAATCGCTATTTAATAACAGCTTTATACCCGACATTAATTACACGAAATCCCATTTAGAGGTTACGCGAAAGGTGTTTTTCCCGTCAGGACGCGTCAAACGTCAACTTGAGGATTAAAGTGTTTCCGAGTAATTTCAACGATGTTTATTGACTTCGAAATAATGGGAAACCTCTTGAATTCAAAATCGGATTTTTCTTCTCTGTTTAGCATCTCAGAAGGGCAGCGATGCTAGCAATAAATCAATTATGCGAAGTTTGCTTTTTTTCACCCGACGGAGCATAAAATCATGCCAATTTTCCTACTCGTTACTCACTCGAATACGAGATAAGATGTAGTATCGAAACGAAGGGTGTTAACCTTCCGGTAGTACCTAAAATAACGAAAAACTGAAAGATACTCGTACAGTTTTATTTTGTCACTGTTCGTTTAGCGACCTTGGTAGCTTTGACTACCCTTGCTGTTCAAGGATAGGGAGAAATGATTTCTGAATAATGCATATATTCTGACAAAGCATGAAAGCGACATGTTTCTCACTATAAACCAGCTTCACCAATTTGTAAAAACTTATTTTGGGAAAAATATCACTAAAGACTCCTACTAACGAATGCCAAAAGACAAACGATTTGTAAACTTGAACACTAACTGAAGCCATCACGCTTTGCATAGTCCTCTTTGTATGTATAATACATATTACAGAAATTCTAACCCAGTGATATGTAACTTTGATAAGTGATACGGGTCCTATTATCACTGTGATGTAATGATGATATTCATAATTACAATTACATACCAGACATATCTGCCACCTAAGTAAACTGATACTACTGGAAAAAATCCGTACCGTATTATTAAGTATAGGGTGTCACGGTTAATATCAATTATGTTGATGTATTCCTACTCTGAAGATTGTATGACAAATTAATAATTAAATTAAACACAAGACGGCAGAAACCTACTGGAGCGGAAATTAATTCAAAGCATGTTCTGCACCCGGATTCGATCTGCGGTTCCACTTACACCATTTATATTCATTGAAAAGTCTCCGTTGGCTCACGTGGTCGAGGGCGAAAAGGAAAACGTGATGGAGTTTTCATATAAGTCGAGAAAAATAAGCTTGTTGTAACGTTAATTTCGCATACAACAGGCATATTGTTATCAAGTTTGGGTACCAAAATTTTATTTATTAGATTCTTTACACGCAATACTTTTTGCGTTCTTTAATTAATTAGACTGCAAAATTCCCGTTGCAAACTTTAAGAATTAATAAGAATTTTTTAAGAAAACTTCTTTAATAAAAATGGAAACAACGTTTTTGCCGAGCTACAAACAAGACCGATTTAATTGTTTTCGTGTACTTATGTGATGGAAAAGTTTCGAGAGACTTTTAACTAGCGTTTCTGTATTGTGTTCTTACAATTCCGCGCTAAGTCCCGTTAAGACTTTATAAACAAACTTTAAGTGTATGCCTGAGTTTTCTTCACTTCTTTTTGTTGCGTACTGTACGTGTCCCTGGAAATAAGATTGACGCTTCGCAGTTCAACAACTTTTCAACTTTTAACGTGAACAGATGAAAAAACGTTGAACAATAAAACCACCCTCAAGAATTTTTATGTGTGTAAAGATCAAAGCGAATGTACAAGTTGTAACGGAAATTATAAGGCGCGCTATTTCGTACAACTTTGTACAACTTAGTATTTTCCTTTTCCGCTTGACGTAATTTGCCCGAATACGTGTTTTTTTTCGTTTACGCGCCACGAATATACTGATAATGATTCGTTCTTGTAATGCAACGTCCGCAGTTGAATTATTTTTTTGTAGTAGATATGTGATTAAAATTGAGTGCGTCGATTTTGAAATTTTCTGGAAGCACTTCGCTAAGTTACTTTACGGTAGTTAACGCGAACGTTAAGATAATTCGATTAGACGTTGTGAGAAATTTGTATATGACTGGTGATGAGAACCTCGGTCGTATAATTTCAGTCCCTGATTAAATATTAAAATATTCTAATATCCGGCTCAAAGGGTGCTTGAAGGGTTATTTGTAACCAATTCCCGCGATAACTTAATGCCGGTAGTGAAACATTTATAACTTTCCAAGTAAAGCGTGAAAGTTCGCAAACAAGATGAAAAGATTTGCGTTTGTATACGAAGCATGCGAAAGCGTGGGAAAACAATGAAAAATTTTATGAGAGCGTAAAAACTGATTGAAACTGCTTCGTTAATGGAAATTCGAAATGTGCGAGTAAAAATAAACACAAAATGAAATTGCTAATGCCGTAAAGAACATCAACAGTCGAAAAGCATTGGCGCAAGTTTTTGCAAGTTACTACAAAGAGGGACATGCAGAGCGCTATTTACTTAAATGTTTGAAGCGGTCTTCGAGAATAGCATTGCAGTTATCACAATTTAGTGTGCAATGGGGCCTTCGAACTTCTAAAAGAGGACTGACGGCCCTCCGCGGAGACGTGTTGGAGTCCATCTCCAGCCCAGCGCTTTCCGACGGAAGGGTCAAAGACATGTCAGAACTTGCACTTGCCATGTTGTCTACAACATAGCAGACGTGCGAGTACCGGTCGCAACTACGGTCGACGTCCTACTATCATTTCAACTGACTCGCGCTACCGCCACACACTGAGAAGAGAAATCAATGTTCCTGCGCCGGTCCATTCTAAGGCTGAAAGCTCTACTCTTTGAAAAACTGACTCAAATCTTGCTACTGGCAAATCTGAAAATTATCCCGCTGATACCACTCGGATCGCACGCGGTAAATAAATAAACACAGATTTGTTTTTTGTCGCACTTCAATTTAACTTCCACTGAGAAACAATCTCGCGAAAGTCAAAGGCAAAGAAAGTCATTTCGGGGGAGCCGCTTTTTCGCACCTTTTAGTAATTAAGAAAACTTATTATCGATATTACTGTTATTTCCATCACTTCCTGACATTTAAAGCTAGTTACGAAACAATTGATTAAGCAATTTTTCACGTTCACTTCACGATCAAAGAACGTTACGAAGTGGAAAATTTATTTGATACATATATCCAACCGTTTTACGCTTCAGATAAAAGCTAATAGAACTGTTTCCACTTTTGGTGATTAATAGAAAAGCAAGTAGAAACGGACGTAGACTGTCAGGGCAACGCGAAACGTTCATCTCGCTTGTAAACAAACCACCAAAATTACTGCAAGTAAGTTTCCTGAAATTTTCCTCGATTAATTTAATCGGAAATCTCACATTTATTTCACAAAGTTTGAAACGCCTGCCGCTCATTAACTCCAATTAACGGCTCGCTCGGAAACTTCTGTCTATACCAACACACAGTATTATTCTAATATAACAAGGGAATAACAGTTACCTAACGAAAATTTACAATCTGTATAAACCTGTCGGGTCCGCATGTATAACAACATTCACTGCACCAAATGGACTTCGCAACCTCTTTATTCAAAAAGAAGACGGAAAATCACGTTACTCGAGATAGTAAAAAGGCAACAACAAAAAATGTAAATAGACATCGAAAGAAGATACGTCAGTTTTCTCTTGAGAACGAGGTCACGTGATTCCTACAGATACGTCTGCTCCGATCCATAGTGCATTCGATAAGTTTCTCCAACTTCTTTCAAATCATCTACGGCAGTTCTACTATAACTACAAAGAGCGTTCAAAAAGAACGCCAATTTGATTCAATTGGATTCTCTTTCTTTCTTCGCATTCCTGCTGTCCTTTGCAACAGTTAATAGTTTCTTTTGTCAGCACGCTTGTCACGAGTTTTATTTAAGGTTTACAGGATCTCCCAAATCTATCAGAAAAATAAAATTCGCCTCGAAAAAAAACTTTTTACATCAGAGCAAAGAAGGCTCAAAGAGCTCCACCGACCTAAAACATATTACGTCCCCTTCATCAGAAAACAGGAAATTAGAATAATGTAAGAACTGTGGGATCGGTTTCCGCACGTGAGGGTTGTATGTTGCGGTTATATTTGGGAAACTGAAACTAAGTACATCGCAACCGCACGAAGCTCGTAAATTAAAATTTCAGTTACACTAATTGAATTACGTTTCCGCTTTGTAATTGTATTGTCTGTGTTTCACACTCTATATAATATACCATCTGAATGTTTCCGTATAACTTTAGAATGGGTAAAGTAGCATGATCGCATTAGTAGATTTTCCGTAATCCTTGATTTGTCACCAAGGGAACATGAATAACGCATAATCGAACAGACGAACACGTTTACCCAATTTTCTTGGATACACTGTTAGCGTGTGCTGGCTGAATTTGGAGCTAAAGAAGAGATTATTCACTAAGCGTGCACTGCAAAGAAATTGGTTTGTAATCGCTTGTTCGTACCGTGCATATAAAATCATATAAAATATAACGTCTCGAATTTCAACAATTTTCCTCACCAAATAACGATATAAAAGAAAAAGAAATCGAAGGGATAAAGATAAAGTGTTCTTGGAATTAGTTCTCAACGTAAGTGCATTACAGCATCATAAGTCCTTCCAAGTTTAATGCTCGTAGCTAATAAAGTGCGCGTTACCAGATGTTTGCACGTAATTGCTTCTTGACAGTTGCAACAGAAAACCTAAATACGTCTTTTTAAACCTATCATGACTTATATTTAGAAAAACAATCCGCAACCAACTCTATTTCCACCTACTACGCAAGATTATTCAAATTTCTCAATTAAATTTGTTGTGCTTCCACCAACCACCGTACGTGTACACACCACTATCGCGCTTGAAATTCAAATTATCAGCTCACTGAGAATCCTAACTTGACTTTCTGCCTGGTTGCCGCCAGTTTGATTAGTTCTGGAACGACATTTAGTATTATGACGTGACGTTAGATCAACCTGAGTTGGGCAACTTCATCTTAATAAAACCATACCCTTCAGCCGTACGTGGGCAGTAGGTTCTAAAACTGTAAACATTAAAGGCTCAGGTTAAAGGTCGACCGGTTGAATATCGTTGAGGAAACACTGAATAGTCGTTAACTGTGATAATTTTAACTTTGTCGATATAAGGTGGCAGCAAACGTGCTTATTAAAGGATAAAGTCCATCGTATCCTAAAATACTTGTCGCGTTCGTTATTGTATCATAAATGACAAAAATACGTGCCAAAGTTGACATTTATTGGAGAAAATTTTCTTCAATATGCTAAATCAAAGCTCTATCAGACCATGGACTAGTTGCAAGCCACGTGTTAACTAGCGAATTTATTATTCACACTTTGATTATGTGGATCTATTCGGTACCAGTTTAAGGTATGACTCTCTATTCTGTCCGGTGATTTTGATATTTGATCTAGGTGGACGAAGCAGGAAATGTTACGCTGGTAACCCTCGAGTGGGTAGTTCCCGAGGGACGCAGTAACGACTAATGAGGCGTTGAATAATGCCGAGAACATTGACAGTACCAACATCTGTACGAAAGAGTCACAGTCCCTGAAGTGTTCGAATCTTGGATTAATCATACTGTTCTTTAAAAATAGGCGTGTTGTACAAATTGATTCCAACTGGACTCTGTCTTGACTGAAATTGACTGAACAATCTCGTTCCCGAAGGTGACCTCTATTTAAACCCATACTTCCCTTCTAGAAGTTCCGCAGTCGAGGTCTTTCTGGAATACCCATCGCGATTTCCACTTCTAGACTTTTCTTTAGCGAACGCCGCCCGGCCGCCGTCACCCACGATGAATCACCCATATTTATTATTTAAGGTTTGGTTTAATCTAATCAGGTTAATTTTTGTGATGTTTCAGTTTTTCGCATTTTTAAGTTTTAGATTTTTCAGTTTTTTGATGTTTCGAATTTTTCGATTTCGACTTACTGACTTTCGATTTCTCGATTTCTTGATCTGATGTTCGATTTCTCGGTTTTTCGATGTTTCGATTTTTCAATTTTTTGATTTCCCAATTTTTCATCCTTTCAGTTGTGGAAATAGTATTTGGTAAGATAAGACCAATTTTGGCAGATGAGATAGCCTCTTAGAAAATAGGGGGCGGGTGGGTGGGGCTAGTACTTGGTAAGATAAGACTGATTTTGGCAGATGACACATCCTCTGAGAAAATAGGGGGCGGGTGGGTGGGGCTAGTATTGCGCACAAAAAAAAAGTGATTTTAGTAAATAACATATCCCTAAGAAAATTAAGACACAAGGGTTCCCTAAGATTCTATTATTAAACAATAGTTAAATAGTACTTGCTAAGATAATACTAATTTTGGCAAATCACATATCTTCCAAGAAAATAGACTTTTGACATTTTCAACTATTTTTCATTTATTTTCGAAAATTAGCGAAAAAAGTGACAAAAATTTTTCCTAATTTCCAGAAAATTTTTGTCTGAAACAGTTAAAAGATGCCAACGGAAAATATGTAGTTGACTTGTAGATAATTTTTCGCAGATTACGAATCTAAAATATTTTTCACGATTTGTCTTCAAATAACTGAGAAATGCGAGAAAAGGACTCCAAAAATTCCCAACATTTCCAAAAAATTTTAAACCGTTCCAAATGGCTTTATTTGAGAGGAAAACATTGAGTTTCTAGTTTTATAGAATACTAATCGCAAATTTACCTTATGAAATACTAGCCCCGCCCACCCACTCACCCTCCATTTTCTTAAAGAGTATGTCGTTTGCCAAAAATTGCCCTATTTAAGCAAGTACTAGCCCCACCCACCCACCCTCTATTTTCTTAGGGATATGTTATTTACTAAAATCAGTTTTATTCTTAGCAAATACTAGCCCCGCCTACCCGCCCTCTCTTTCCTTGTAGGATATGTCATTTGCCACAGTTGGTCTTATCTTAGCAAGTACTAGCCCCGCCTACCCGCCCTCTAGTTTCTTGGAAGGTATGTGATTTGCCAAAATCAGTATTATCTTACCAAGTATTATATTGTATATTGAAATGGCAAAATAAATGATTAAACAATAATTAAATAGTACTTGCTAAGATAATACTGATTGATTTTGGCAAATCACATACCTTCCAAGAAAATAGAGGGTGGGTGGGCGGGGCTAGTATTTGATAAGATAAAACTGATTTTCGCACTTTTGACATTTTCAACTATTTTTCAACTATTTCAGAAAATTAGTTGAAGACATTTTTTTGTAATTTCCAAAAATGTTTTGTCTGAAACAGGTAAAAGACGATCTGATCCAACAGAAAATGGTTGGCTTATAGATAATTTTTCGCAGATTACGAATCTAAAATATTTTTCACGATTTGTCTTCAAATAACTGAGAAATGCGAGAAAAGGACTCCGAAAATTCCCAACATTTCCAAAAAATTTTAAACCGTTCCAAATGGCTTTATTTGAGAGGAAAACATTGAGTTTCTAGTTTTATAGAATACTAATCGCAAATTTACCTTATGAAATACTAGCTCCGCCCACCCACTCACCCTCCATTTTCTTAAAGATTATGTCGTTTGCCAAAAATTGCCTTATTTAAGCAAGTACTAGCTCCACCCACCCACCCTCTATTTTCTTAGGGATATGTTATTTACTAAAATCAGTTTTTTTCTTAGCAAATACTAGCCCTGCCCACCCGCCCTCTCTTTCCTTGCAGGATATGTCATTTGCCACAATTAGTCTTATCTTAGCAAGTACTAGCTTAAATAGTACTTCCTAAGGTAATACTAATTTTGGCAAATCACATATCTTCCAAGAAAATAGAGGGTGGGTGGGCGGGGCTAGTATTTGCTAAGATAAAACTGATTATTTATATTTTTTTGTAATTTCCAAAAAATTTTTGTCTGAAACAGTTAAAAGACGATCTGATCCAACGGAAAATAGTTGGCTTCTATCAATTTTTGACAGATTACGAATCTAAAATATTTTTCACGATTTGTCTTCAAATAACTGAGAAATGCGAGAAAAGGACTCCAAAAATTCCCAACATTTCCAAAAAATTTTAAACCGTTCCAAATGGGTTTATTTGAGAGGAAAACATTGAGTTTCTAGTTTTATAGAGTATTAATCGCAGATTTATCTTATGAAATACTAGCCCCAGCCACCCTCCCTCTCTTTTCTTGGAAGGTATCTCATTTGCCAAAAGTTGTTTTATTTTAGCAAGTACTAGCCCCGCCCACCCACCCTTTCTTTCCTTGTAGGACAAGTCATTTGCCACAATCAGTCTTACCTTGGCAAGTACATACTAGAACCCACAGTCGTCGTACCGAGGCGGCGTATGGGTTTCTTTCATAACAATACCTATGCTTTTAGGGTCAAGAAAATCTTAAAATCTACCCAACCCAAATATTCATGAAATAGATACCATTTCGTCTAACTCCACTAAACCCTCAGGTCTACCTGTAACGGACACTCATTCTCTTTTCATGAAGTATTAATGACGAGTGAAGTATTTTACCTTTTGCACTTTTTAGTAAGCTCGAATTATCCGGGGAAATAAGTAATCCTGGTATGAAAAAAAAGGGGTAAAAAATCCTGGCTACGAAAAAAACGAGTTGGAAGCAGACTGAATGCGATTCACCACCAGCTTTCAACGGTAATACTTATCTAGAAGTTTTTATATGTAGAACCGTGACCACGAAGTTTTACATTGGGGTATTCAGAGTGACCCTTGATACAGAGCACAAGGGCACGTACCCTGCTAAGACTATGGATGTTACATTATACACATACTTTATCATTGTAATAAGGTAATCATTCTGTTTTCGTGATTTATTGCTTCTACACGTTGTTTACGGTTATAATAAAACTTAAAAGGGAAGCTAAACGGTAAATCGGAAGCCGCCAACAGTCGAGACAGCTTCCAACTCATGTGCACCTGTTTGAGATAGTTGCTATTAAATAGTGGCACAGGTACACAATATTAGTGCAGCATACAAGCTCTGTGTGTAACGAGCATAGTCAAAACAATGAAACATAGCATATATTATTTATAATCGTCAAATAAATAGTTTGCATTGTGTACCAAACCTTAAGAGCAAACATAGATAGATATACTGTGTAAAGTGCGACCTAGTGCAACTTCTTTAACGATTCAACAATAGGTTTTACCGAAAAGTATTAGATATTTCGCAAGTTTGCGGCACATGGTTTAGTTTTCGTTTGTCGGTAGTGTGTGCGACAAAAGAAAGACACTAATAAATATTAATTAATTCAAAGTGAGGTTAGAAAATGATTAAGTAAGTGTTGCAGTTCGTGGGCAACAATGTAGCGATAGTCTGTGCTATTATACTGTAATCAGAATTATCCGTGGTTTCGGGTATTTTTTTCACCTTGCTCTAAAATTAATTAGGTACCCTTGACTGTACTTAGCAAATTGCTTACAGCAAAGTATACTTGTCGTTCTTGCTATACTGAGATCGTTTTGCCTTTCCTAATCAACAAACGTTCAAAAAGCAATCACTCTAAGTGCACCTAATTTGGGGGTTTAATTTCACGGCGAACCCAGGGTGATTTTAATTAAACATTCCAGTCTGGTAGAAACAGAACGAAATTTTTAAACACCGGTGACAAATATGTAAAATTCGCTTGTTATTCGTTGCCTGCTTAACATTTTTTCAGGTCACGTGATTGTAGTAATTCAGCATTTCAGCAGTATACGTGGATAGGGACAATAAAAAAGTTTAATAACACTCACACTCACCTTTAGCTGTTTTGAATTCGTCCAAATGGAAAACTCCTTGACGCGCAATAATTTCATGCATGATGATGGCGAATGAGTACATATCTCCTTTTTGTGTTCCTTCGGGAGGTGCGTTCTCGAATCTAAGAATTTCCGGCGCTGTCCAAAGCTGTCCTGAAACTTCGGTTTAAGTAAATGACGTTTTTTATTCCGAAGTCTTACGTTCCCAAAAGCTGTGCGCCTCTTCGGTCTCGTCGCTATCATTTGAGTGTTTTCTTAAAAAATGCAGTCCAAAATCTGTGATTTTCAACACGAATCTACTATCCACTAAACAGTTTGTCGACTTTAAAGCACCATGAGATTTTATCACTGAGTTATGTAAGTAATTCATACCACGAACGATATCCATAATTAGGGACATTTTGAAAGTGGTGTCAATTTGTACATTTTCGTTTTCTAAAATATCTTGCAAACTACCTTTCGGACAATATTCACTTAAAATACAATTCGGAATGTCTAAACAAGCGCCATAAAACTTCACTAAATTGTCATGGGACAAGTCTTTCATTACTTTCAGTTCTATCAACTGTTCGCGGGTTAGTTCGAACTTCACTTCCTGCAGATACTTGACTGCCACCCTGATAGCCTTGTAGAAGCCCACAGTTGTGTACAATTGCCGATCGCCCGCTACACTCATACCATCCATGCCCTCAAATTCGGTCTGCAAAAAAAATTGTTATTACCCGAGCTATAATCTTGTTTACTTCAAAAACACTACAATAGATTCTCTTTGTGTAACGATTCAGATTCTCAACATAAAGCAACTTTATGGTGTTAATTTATCGAAAATACACGTTGTAGCTATTAGCGAGTTTAATAGCTCCAAGGCTATGTTTTAGCGTGAAAATTACTCGTCTTGTGAACACTACACAGCGAATTAGTAACATTCATTTGTTTCGCTGTAATTAAGTACTTCGAACTTACAAAGTGTGAAACAAGATACTCATATTGATTAAAGGTTTCCGACGTAGCTGTGATTAAGATAAGACGAATTATAAATTGGTAATCTATTTTAGGAAAACCGGGCTTGAAAATTCTGCTATACAGGTATCTGCTGAATAAGAAAGAACAATTTTCCAACAAAGAAATTCATTTTCGTAAGCTATTCTTCTTCAAGATTACACAACATCTGGGTTTTGCTTACAGGCATAAATTTATTAACTAACGCAGAAAATTTTGAGATTTTTTATTCTTTTAATCGATGAAAAAGTAGAGATTTTACTGAGATAAACTAACGAGTCTCATAAATTATAGACGACGAGAATCCTCAGTTTCACTAGGAACTAAATTCAAATATCCGACTCATTACTTATTCAACAACCGCCATTAGCTCCACGCATAAAAACGAGCACTTTAGAAGTAACTCTTCTGTACGTTTTTGATTTTATTTTCACAAAAAACAAGACTGCTTCATCTAATTTCCATTTATCTTTGTCGTTTACGCGCGCATTTTGCCAAAAACATTGTTTGAGCCTGATTTACAAGACGAAAAATAGAAATCATAAAATAGGGTTAAAAACAGACAAATTGAGTGGTGTATATCCGGCGCCAACAGCCGACGGCAGGTGAGCGCACAACTGACAAAGCCAAATGAATGCCGTTGATCGGTCGAAAAGTCACGTGCGTCGTTCACTTGTTCGTGAGTCAGTGAAAGAAATTGTGCAGTTGAAAATGACTTCCAACTTTGACAACAATGTGAATCACAGAAAACGGCAATACGACAAACCCGTGACGCTTGGATTGGCAACGCCTACTTGGTTTACTAACGTTTCTTGCCGAATCACTGTGACGTAATAAAAATATATACAGTGCATCGCTTTTCCTGACATTTTCTCTAGTTAGTAAAGGATTGTGCGAGATTTTGGTGTTTGAAGCCAACACCCGGAAGGTTTATTTAATAAAAGCAACATGACTATTTCCCGGACAACTAAAACTTTATCAAAGGCTTTTATATAAGTCGTAATTTATTGCACGAACCTTCCTGCATGTGAAACTTCGCGAAAACATTCCCACCTGACGCTATTCGTTGCCCGTCGGATCTAACAGCATGCAACTTTGAGATATGGCATTCACACAATGTAGACGGAATATCCCGTGTTTCTCCTATTAAGTATTCCTATTATTACTAGTATTGTTAAAGCCTTGGTTGTTCGAGGAAAATAATTAAAGTACAGCCACAATTAGCTGGAGATTAGCCAGTGCAAGTGTTTTATAACATTATAACACTTCAGATAAAATTAGGGAAGGTTATAGAATGAAATCAGTGAATTAAACACAACCATATAAAAAGTAAAGATTAAATTTTATCAACGAAACTCGGTGAATGGAGTAATTTTTTCACTCCGAGCAGCTTTACTTTGACAGTAAAAAGTCATATTTTAACAAAATATACAATTTGTGGCATATGCGATCGACTAGAACCATCTGGTCCATCGCCAATTTCCGGGATGCTTCGAATTTATCGAATTGCCACTGCGTGATTTTTTCACGGTTTTGTAATTTCTATGAATTCGCTCATTGTTGACAATATCGGAAGCCATCTCAGATATAATGTGAACGACACGCACCACCTAAAACTCTCAAAAGTTTGTTTTTACGAACAGAAAAGTTACGTGCTTCACATAAAACTCCTAGAAGACATGTCCGGAGAACTGATTGAGGTATTGAAATTCTGTAAACGGCAGTGTTTTTAGCTTTAATAGGAAAGGATACTTCGGTATACGGCAGAAACGATGACTTTGAGTGCCGCTATCATAAGTTAGTTATTGTATTTGTAAATATCTAGATAAAGAGATTTATATGTCTAGATTGCAGTGTAATCAAAGCGGTTCTTTCCACAAATGAGTAAATGGAAATCTTGGTGAAGTTGTTGGTTAAAGAGAAGCTAAAATTAACGGGAAATGATTCGTTTTTTCGTGTCACATACAAAAGGTGGTCCTACTTTTCTTTCAGTTACAGTACGTAGATGAACTTATCGATTCGGAAAGTTTTCTTTGAGAAGCCGAGGTCTGAATACCTAGATGAAATGGCATTTGGGTTTAAAATAGCCCCTTGGAAAGGTCTGATGCAACGCAGTGTAGCATTCACAAGAGTTACATTTTCATCAAATTTTTCGCGTGTATGAAATACGAGCAAATTTGAATAGTTACGCAACAGCGTTATCTTTCTACGGAACTGTGACCGTGTTCCACTAGTGTAACAAGACTGTGAGTATGTGGGGGTTTCATTTTACAGAAATCAATTTTCATTTCGGCGTTTCGTATTTATTTTGTTTTTTGTACTGTGTCTATTTGTCAATTCCGAGCGAGACTTTCGCATGTAACTGACGTATATTAAAGATGGGAAAAGGATTTAATGAATTTCAAATAAATTTATCAGCTTTATTTCGGAAGTATTGAAATTCATGAAAATGCTAATTAGCTTAAATCGCGCCGCTTTCCCCCACTACCCTAAGTAATCAAGGTAAAAGAAAATTGAAATTTTATACTTAGGTAATAACGTTTAACTTGTTCACTTTAATAAGTAATTGCTAATTTTTCGTGATTGAATTAGAAAAGTTCGCCTTTAATTACAAGCTGGCTTCCCCTTCGAAGAGAAGACGTTGATTGAAAACTACTTCTCGGTTTAATCGGCAGAAGCACGATGTCGTCATAATTGACTTTCCACGCCATGGAATAAATAGCTCTCTTGAGCTTGAAATGCCTAGAAGAATAACGAAAAGTAAAGACCCAAATTCAAACTGGCTATGACATACCTATATAGAATTGTTCCAACGATCAATATACCCAGGCACAACACCAAAATCAGACTAATAAGCAAGATTTTTTCCGTATCCAGGGCTGGAAAATATTATTAAATTACAAACCTGTTATATCATCTGTCAGATTCTGGTCTACTTTTCTTACAACCTGTTTGAATCAACAACGTGATATAAATCTCAGTGTAGATAAATAAACTGATTTTAATCAATAAATACACGGAACTAGTGTGTAATAAAGTATAAAAAATAATTTACAATCGCCATAAACGTAGGTATATAATGAAATCGTAAGTGTCAAAAGTGGATTGGCTTTCGCTCAAATAATAGCTTTCAATACCGCAACCTATATTAACTATTGACTTTCTGCGTATGAAATTTTCTATGGTTGCGTCCAACGCCGTTTTACTGCTGCGGCAAACGAAAAAACTATTTATCTAGGAACAAATGTTTCCATGTCGCATCTACATAAATTAGCTTTTTGGCTTCTCTGGATCAAAACACCCGATAATTATAATTTTGTCCAATCCTTTAATTTTAGGTAAATATTGACTAAACAATGCTAATTGTTATATTACATTTATATCACATAAAAAAAAATGTATCTTATACACTGTGTACACTTTTTTTTCAATAAATGCATCACGTGTTACTGAAATATAAAGAGATTGCATTCGACAGTACAGAGGTTATCTAATCTATAACGTGTTTGATGTCATTCTTACGTGCCGTTTAATCCATCATTAAACTTGGCTTGTTTCAATGAACAAACAAAATCAGAAAGAAGACCCACTATTTAGCCACTTCAAAAAGTCCAGTGAATGAAAACACATTAATAAGCGAATATTTAAAACTACTACCTGTTTAAGCCTTTCCTAATATTTCTTGAACAAATTGTTGTTTTCTTTTGAGCACAATAATAAATTGTATCATGTTACATAACAGTCATTTCAAGTAGACTATTATTGTTCAAGAGATGTTCCTATAGCTACAATTGTTTGAGTTATTATTGGTCCAAATTTTATCTTTTATATTGAAGACACAATAACACCTTACAATCAAGAGTCGTCCAAAATTGTTACTATAATGTGATGCCCCAATTAACTATCTCATTTTCATCACATTATTAGTTTAGAGGAGGATCATATTCTCCCGAACTCAAATTCCGTAAAGGAGACGATTTGGGTTTGTTTCCATCATTTTCTCATAGCTTGTAACGATTCGATATGTTTTTTGGAAAAGGAGTCAATTTTTAAAAGGTAGCATTATAATAGCGTAAAAGTGGTTAATAGTGGTTATCTGAATCGTCTGTTGAATGATACATAAAACAAACTGTCGCTAGTGAGATTAGTGATTAGCGTCAGTAGTTTTGTCTAATTTACAAACTGTCCAGATTTACAACAAAACCAAAATTATTTGTTTAAATATCACCTCAAAAACTTTAAAACAATCAATTTACAATCAATTTACAATCAATTTATCATCTTTGGTTAAAGACTGTGAGTGATAATACATAGTGTTTATGCTTACGCGGACACAATGACATGTCGTAGCCACACGTAGGCGTATCCAGCGGATCCTCATTTAGCCACTGCACGTTCCACGTAGTGATATTTTTAATTTCATTGGTATATTCAGCAGCTATTTCGTACTGGTTCGAAGAGTTCAACTGAAGCATCACATACTTCGCCACTCTTTGTCCGTTACAATTCATAGTAATTTGTCCGTTTTTCCCTACAATAATGTTTAAGTACTTTCACCCCTAACCTACAACTAAAAACCTACCTTCGAACGTCGTTCCCATCATATTCCGAACTATGTCGTACCCCTTTGGCGTTTTCCCATTGGATTCGTTGAGCGCTTTATTGATGGCTGCTGCATAAAGCAACATTCCATCATACAAACCATCAAGATAAATTGAACCTCTTTGTTGTTGTTTTCCAACACTTGCGAAATTGGCTTCGTCATAAGGTGTAAATGTAAATATTGACCGAAACGCTTTTCTTGCCATTTCGTTTCTCTCCTTTGTGTCACTTTCCTCATGCCAGGGTCGCGAAGGACTAAAAAGAGCTTTAGGTAAAGGGAAATCGTCAGCACACTTTGCGAGAACACTTTGTTGGATAACGTACTCTGGACTGTTGTTGTACGTTTCGAAATTGAAGATGGTGTATTCTCCGCTTTCCATCATGTTCATCTTGTAGGCTTCTATCGCAAATTCGCGGATTTTGTCATGACTGGTACATGCAAGAATTACTAGAAAAGAAATTCGGTGCTTGTTATTTATAGTTTAATTTTCGATTAAAAATATCAAATTGGATTTGGTTGGAACATGTGTCCGGTGAGAGCGAAACCGGTCGATAGACTCTTGCATTTTTTAACAAGTCTCTCTTACGAACCTTTCACTGATAGCGTGATTTTTTTCTAAATATAGAAAAGAGAGTGGTACTTGAGGGGTATTATTTACGTTTCGTTAGCCACATAATAGCAAATCAAGTACACGTAATTATGAATACAACGAATGTGGTTCACTTATGAGAATATGTTTAACCAGTTATTCGATAGGTACTTGTGCGGGAGTTCACTTTGCTCATCGTCAGGATCAATCGATAATGAGATGTTCTCCTTTTTTCGTGCGGAGGCTGACGTTACGAGGAAGAGTGTAATAACATATCTCACAAGTTTGCACTAATTAAGGCGAGGAATTTAATTTTCTCACTTACTGCCATAATTAACTCCTACAATTTGTTCCAAGTAGTAATGGTAACTTAGCTGTAACAACACCAAATCTCCATCTTGAAAGTCGAGGTTCTCTACAGATTTCACTTCTTCGATAATGCTCTCCATTATAAATTTACAAGTGTTTTCACCGCCGAGTTCAATTTGTTGATCTTTTTCATACATGAGAGCGATTTTTTTCCATTTATACCTAAATATGCATCAAGTGACTGAATTTATGACAACGCTACTCTTACCTATGCATCATTAACGCAAAAAATTCACCGAAAGATCTAAAGTCCGTGGGACCTGAGTTGATAGTCATGTAATATTCATCCGAACATTTAGTTTTTTCTTGAGAAAATGCAAAAGTGAATCCTCCGGGTGTAATAACCGGCATTCCATAATAACCGATATATTTGGCAACTCGAGAAACACTGGCTGAAATAAAGTAACGATTTTTAAAAACTTTGTAACTCTAAACTTTCCACATTACCTAAGCAGTAATCGCAAATCGGGCCAAAGATAACATGAGCATGGTTGTTACTAGCGGGAATTAAATGCACCGTGGCGTATTCTTGTTTACACTCATCGTTATAAAATTGCGACGTAAAGTTAAATGTCAAATTTCCATCTTGTTTAAGCTGATTCAAAGTATCGTTTACCTGAAAAGTTACTAAATTAAACCTCTTAATTTAACGGCCCGGTTAAATCGTAAAGACCGCATTTTGCGACGTGAAAAAACTTCGTTAGAAGTACTTAGTACATAAATTAACTTTAAGCTCAGTGATCGAGAAAAAATTCGTCTGAAATTTAATGTTAAAAAACCATGTTGGCACCAGCAACGCGTTTCTGCTTAGTTTGACATTTACGGTCAAATAAGTGTCAAATAAATTGTCAAACAACTGCAGTGCCAACATCATTGTTTTAATCGACGAGCTAATAATTATAACAAATATGGAAATATGCTACGTCCAATGCGACGTTTTCCATACACTTCAAAAAATTACGTCACATGTTCTAAGTGACGTCACGGATGCAGCATGTTCATTAGATACTTGCACTTGCACAACGAGAAGTAGCGTGTCCACTAGTAAGTAAAGCAGATAAATCTGGGACACTGGGTATATTTTCCTAGTTTTTTAGCCGCTATTGGTATTTAATGATTTTTTCGTTCCAATAATACGGTTTTATTGCAGCCGCCACCGTCACTGCGCTCCTCAAATCAATACATCGCAAAACATGTAATCACTGTTGAAGGGAAATGAATTGAAGTGTGCAGTTATAGTTATGATCATTCATTTTCTGTCATTTTAAAGATAATTTAGCAAAACGTGCACCCTTTGATGTTTTATCCTAATTTATATATGTATTTTTTAATAAATACATGCTTTGAGATAAGCCAGGATGAAATCTGTTTACAACTAATCTATGATAATTGATTTATGATTCTTTTATCACTTATCCTACACAAAAGTATTTGTAATGAATATTGCTACTGTTGTTTGTTTATCTAATTGCACTACTTACATAATAAAACACTTAAACACCTACCATGAACACTGGGTACTTCAATCATACTTTTTTCGATTTAATGCATATTAAACGTTGACGTTACTTAATCATTTTTGATTTCTGTTATTCTAGTAGAAAGAATGACGAATGATAGCGTGACGACATTTGAATAGGGACACCTCAAATCTATCAAAACAATAGTTTGGGTGAGCCAATCTTCATTTTGGGGGTCCCAAAGTACAAACATCGTTATAAAGTCATAATCGAATAGCAACATTTTAGTAATTATAACTGTTCCAATAAAATTTATTAAGCAGATTTGATTTTGTGGTGTGTAAACCGGATAATTGCTAATAATTGATGGATTTCTGTATCGGACTGAAAATGTTGGCGCTAAAATAAGCAAACAAGGATTACCACACTCATCAATTTTATCAAAGTTATTAAGTTTGGATTTCAGCCATTATTGCGAACCCACGCACACCCAGACAAACGTAACAATGTTTTGAAATATTGTTTGATGTCGAATGGAGCATAAAAGAAGAAAACAAATATAAAGGTATATCGAGTGTCTCAGATGTTTGACTTTATTTTGCTTATTGATATTGAAACTGATATACAGTTAGGTGGATATTAACGCGTTTAGGGAAGTTTGCGAAAGGAAACCGAAGGCCAAGTGTAGCAACGTCATGTACAAAATAAATCATTTTGACATCGGTATAGGGGTATTTTGTACACGAAAGTCACAAGATATATCGATGACTAAGTACATTAAAGGGCACATTTTTAGTGTCAAAATTGACAGAAAAATTGTTGTTCTCTTTATTTTATTAATGTTTATGCTAACTGATGACTCACTAATTGAATTTTGTATAATCTTATGTATTTCTGAAGCCAGTAGTCATTAATATGAGATAAAGACAAGTTCCTGCATTAAATCTGATAACTTTCTACTATTATACAACAGTGTTTGATTATACTAAGCTTGTATCATATGACAATAGATACTGGTGTAAATAAAGTTATGATACATATCGCTTGAAATGCGGAAAATAAATCACTTTGAATTTAAAATTTTAAAATATTTCAGCAACATAGAACAAGTTTGAAGCTAAAAAATAAAATAAAAGAGAGTTTTTGTGGTGAAAAAGACCAAAGTGTGACCGGATTGGATGTTTGTAAGCTTCAACTAAAACAAGACAGAAATGCGGTGATGTTTACAAACACGACACTCTGCTGTTGGTGAAAATAAGGAAAATCAGGAGTATCCAAAAATAAACATTCGTACAAATGAAACAGTTATTCCAAAATTACAAAGGTGACCAATTAGAGGTTGCAAATAAATGATAAAATAATAGCAAACATAGAGACGTGTGATAAAAAATGTACTCCAAATATAATGAGAAAAAATTGCGAATAAAGCTTTATTTGCAAGACAAACAAGGAAATAAATTTATGGTGTCACAGTGGACTAATAAAGTCATTTATGTATTTAATGTATTTACGACACCTTTCCACGATTGTTTTTACTGCGTTTACAAGTGGTTTATTGAGAGATTTCTATGATTCATTGGAAGTAGTCTTTTTGTTCAGAGATTGTTATAGTATCTGAGATAAAGTAGATAATTATGTCGAAGTTTTATTTAGACGATATATTTTTTAAGGATTACAATTTAGATTGTTCTTTAGTACGTGACGATACGAATACTGTGTTTCAGTCTTCAAAATTGCTTAAAAATTTTGGCTATATATAAATTCGTTTAAAGACCAACCTCTTGTATGTTAACCAAGTATCCCTGTTCGTCTTCTTCTGGTAATATAACGGCCACATTAATCGTGCAATTGTCCGGACTATTACAAGTCTCAAAAGGGGTCATGTCAGAAGTTTGAATATCCTGGCCACATTTCTCACTTTGGTTTTCATTCCAAGTGCAGTTCGTTATATTCCAGGGTGGAATTTGAAGACGTGATGTATTCCAGTCGTACGCAAAACCAGCTTCCACAATCAAGAATATTCCAAACAGGAGCATAACTAAAATTCACACCGAAGTGTACAAGACCAAGTTTACGACATAACCACCGGCACAATTAACCCGCACTCAACGCATTTTATGGAAGCGACGAATATACTAAGTTTCGATACTGTTGTCGATAGCAAATATAGATAGTGCCGCCCGCGCAGATAAACAGATAACTTCTATAATAAAAGTGGACTACAGTGTGACATTTCATAATTGATTAAGTACTACAAGTACCGCTAATCAAATTATTACGTACTAGAAAATTTCGAAGAACACGTACTCCCATTTTACTTGTTTTTCGCGTCTAAGATGATGTCAAAACTAGCTTATCGTTTGCGTCCGCTTAATTTGGTACTCGACTGTACATATAGCGAATTTCGGAACAGCTTCTATTGTGGCAAGGATCGTTAAGAGTTGAGGTTTAAAACGTGCCAAATTCAATTCGAGCTTCTCTTTTTGGAGAAACTCCCTCATTGATTGGGGAGGGATCCACCCTGCGAGTTTTATTTCTGTATTCTGCACAATTTATTTCACGTTTTATGGCTGGATTGATTATTTTGGTATAATACTTCGATATTTGAAGTTAATAAAACGGCAATTAGGTGGCATATGGTTTTTAATTATTGTAACATATGGAAAAAGTTATTATTTTTATTATCTTCTCATAAAAGCTACTGCATTTTGGTATAATAAATTATACTCATGAACGAATAATAAAAACTAATTAGATACTTATTAATCATGGAAATTAATGAGTTTACCTTTGTGCGTCATTCATTTAATATGACAAAAGTTTGCCCTAATTCTCGTTTTGTATTTATTATGATTTATAGTATTATCAGATGGCTTTTATTCAAGTATGTTAATCTTTAAGTCCCATCATCGTAAAGCTTACATTCTACAAAGATGTTACAGGACAGAAACAATAAATTCTCTCTTTTATGTACGGCACGTGATCGTCCACACCAATATAAAACTCGGTTTAGGTTTGCCACTAAAAAGTTGAGGTTAACTTTTCTAATTTCTCTATTTAAATATGGTTTTATCACTTTTTAGTAAACACGAACATAAAACATTGGACTGCGGTTATCTGAACAAAACTCCCTCGCCCCTGAAGCATAAACGATCAAACAAATGAGTAGTAGTAAACCACACGTATAAATGAATGTTATTTTATACATTTTAAAGAGAATTTTAACTAAGGAAATACTTCAGATGTTTTATTGTACAATTTCACATTCTAAAAAAATAAGGTTTTACATTTTTAAAAATGATAGCTGGTGCCCCTGACAAGGTTTTACATTTTTAACAATGACAGTTGGAACCCCCGAGGAGGTTTAAAATTCTTGAAAACATATATATTTGGCGCCCCCGAGAAGGTTTTACATTTTTAAAAAAGACAGTTGGGACCCCCGAGAAGGTTTCACATTCTTAAAAAATATATTTGGGGCCTTCGAGAAGGTTTCACATTCTTAAAAAAGACATTTGGTGCCCCCGAGAAGGTTTTACATTTTAAAAAAAGGCACTTGAGACCCCCGAGAAGTAAAAAAACCAATTGGCGCCACCGAGAAGGTTTTACATTAATAAAAAATCTCCCATTTACCGGGCGGGTGCCTTGACCACTAGGCTACAGAGCGGCAGAGTGCCACCACAGTACTACGCCCCCCCCCCCCCCCCCAAGTACAGACTCATCATATTTTGTACATTTTAGATAGGATTTATTCGGCAAACTTTTGAACTGATGTCATTATTTTTTAGGGGGTATGAGCAAATACATCTTGATGATTATTTTGATTTTTTTCCAAAAATCTGGACGTTTCCCGTAAAAACTCAATACGGAATTATAAACTGCATGTGTTATTTCATACAATTTAAAGCTCAATTACTATGTGCAATATAAATACAAAATTTGACAACAATCGGTCCAATACTTTGGGAGATTATGTGTCTAATAAAAATCCGGGACGGCAGACAGACGGACAGACAGGTGGAAACGAGAGACCTATTTCTTCATACTCTGGGTGGGGGGTCATGAAAGGTCGATAAAACGTAAAAGTAGAGAGTCGGACTCGATTACAATACTTCCTGAATGTAACAAAAAAAAATGACAATTGGGACCCCCGAGAAGGTTTCACATTGTTAAAAAAAGAAATTTGGAGCCCCCGGGAAGATCTCACATTCTTACAAAAGACATTTGACGCTCCCGAGAAGGTTTACATTTTTAAAAATGACATTTGGGACCTCCGAGAAAGTTTCATATTCATAAAAAAACATTTGGGGCTCCCGAGAAGGTTTCACAGTAAGAAAAAAGACATTTGGTACCCCCTACAAGGTTTCTCATTCTTAAAAAAATATTTGGCGCCCTCAAGAAGGTTTTACATTTTTAAAAATGACAGCTGGCGCCCCTGAGAAGGTTTTACATTTTTTAAAAATGACAGTTGGGAGCCCCGAGAAGGTTTCACATTCTTACAAAAATATATTTGGCGTCCCCGAGAAGGTTTTACATTAAAAAAAAGACAATTGGGACCCCCGAGAAGGTTTCACATTCTTAAAAAATATATATTTGGCGCCCCGAGAAGGTTTTACATTTTTAAAAAAGACAGTTTGGACCCCCGAGAAGGTTTCATATTCTTAAAAAATATATTTTTGGCGCCCCCGAGAAGGTTTTACATTTTTAAAAAAGACAGTTGGGACCCTCGAGAAGGTTTCACATTCTTAAAAAATATATATTTGGCGCCCCCGAGAAGGTTTTACATTTTTAAAAAAGACAGTTGGGACCCTCGAGAAGGTTTCACATTCTTAAAAAAATATATTTGGGGCCTTCGAAAAGGTTTCACATTCTTAAAAAAGACATTAGGTGCCCCCGAGAAGGTTTTACATTTTAAAAAAAGGCACTTGAGACCCCCGACAAGGTTTCACAATCTAAAAAAACCAATTGGCGCCACCGAGAAGGTTTTACATTAATAAAAAATCTCCCATTTGCCGGGCGGGTGCCTTGACCACTAGGCTACAGAGCGGCTTATCTTTACTTCGCTTATCCAGTTATTATTGTGCCACCACAGTACTACTGAAAATGACAGTTAGGAGCCCCGAGAAGGTTTCACATTCTTACAAAAATATATTTGGCGCCCCCGAGAAGGTTTTACATTAAAAAAAAAGACAATTGGGACCCCCGAGAAGGTTTCACATTCTTAAAAAATATATATTTGGCGCACCCGAGAAGGTTTTACATTTTTAAATAAAGAGGGGCGTATTCTCACCTTTTGGACGGTTAGGGAAAAACTCAAAGCGGATTCGTACACCACACTTTTAGGACTATATTGTTGTGTAACAGTTAAATCAAATAACCTTAGAATTTTTTGAAATGACGTCATCAAATTGTTGGTGGGGATGATTAGACAAATTTTGGTTAGCGTTTAACCATCTACATGATATTTCTAACATACATAGAAAATTTGACAACAATGGGTCCAACAGTTTCGGAGATTACGTGTCAAATAAAAATGGATAGACACCAGACAGGCAGACAGACAGACAGACAGAAACGGGAGACTACTTTTTTCGTACTCTAGGGTCCATGAAACGTCAAGAAAATATAAAAGTGGACATTCATCCGATGGACTCGTTGACTATACTTAAGTAAAAAGTGCAACTAAATGAAAATAAACTACATTCTGTCAAAAATGTCTTGATATAATTTCTTCTTCTCGCGGGAGACATTCTTGCTCCTAATAAGCAAACTTTCATTTGCTCATAACGTTCCTACCTATTACAAAACTAAACTAATTTTGAAAATGTAGATAAAAAATTGCAACTAAATTAAAATAAACTACATTCTGTCAAAAAATGTCCTTATATTATTCCTTCTTCTCGGGAGACATTCTTGCTCCTTTAAGCATATTCGTCCTCGGGATAGGAATGTTAAATGCTACAATATAACGCGTATTCAATCTTGGAACATTAAATCTCATCCCTTTGGAGAAGCTAGTGAAACAAAATTGTGTTTGTAACTTCAGATATTAGTCAGTTTCTCGAGGAGGATAAACACGTTTTATTTATTCAAATCTTAACGGGTAATATTAAAGTAGATCCAAAATCGACCCAGTAGTTCCGGAGATTGTGTAATAAAATCACCAACAGACAGACAGACAGACAGACGGAAACGACAGCCTGAAATTTTCGTTCAGTCCGTGAGAGAATAATAATATAATGAAAATTAATCCTTGTTCAGTTTGACATCTTAAGGAAGGTTTAGAATTACCAAAACACTCATCCACACAATTCACATTACGAATGAAATAATAAACTAATTTAGTGAAACTAATTAGGTCAACAGGTGTATGTCAATTTCCAAGCAACCAATTTTAAAACTAATTAACGTAAATATTTAGTACGGCCACATTAAAATATCGCAATATTTTTACGATGCTTTAGAGATTTGAACTCTCCATGCACCTACCTTGTTTTACATTAAGTAAAATCCATTACGAAATCCAGAATCAACCGCCATTGTGTGCCACATCAAGGTCACGTAAAACATCAAAAAAATATTCCGGTAAAGAGCTATTCGTGAAAACTTAATAACGTTGTCAACGCATGTAGTTAACGAGTCGTAAGAACGTCGCACTGACAATTCAAATTTTTTCTAACGTGCTAATACGACAGCACGCCACAAATAAAGCTTAAGATTAAACAACGCATTCTTTTATTTTTCCCTCTCTGTTAATGTTTTCAAAAAACATGACGTGTCAGCTTTGGGTTGATCTTGAGCGGAAAACACACAGGTTTCTGGTCTCTGCATCCACAGTTAATCCCGCTGAATCACTGATATATTTATTTTTTGCTGGCAAACAAACAAATGGCGGTGTAATTTTGATGAAAATATTGACGGATCAGCTTATTCGCAGTAACGTATCGAGCGAATTTGAGGCATATTTCGAAAACAAACCACGGCTAACGAAGTAATACCTACCAATTTTCAAGTAAGTGGCACGCGCGAGTAAACAGGAAAACATGCGAGCGTAGCGAGCTACTACCAGCTAACAAAATTTATATTTTCATTACCTAGTTTCAAAGTATGGACGGAATTTTTGATGAATGTTTTTGTGTTAAAATATCTCCGATCAGGCGACTTCCGCTGCAAATTGTTTGAAACACAACCTGACGCACCATATTTACACACATTTAAAGCTACAAAACAGAAATAAGTAGGTAAATACTTTGAATTTGCGAACGTAGGTGCTTTCAGAAAACATTATTTATTTAGGACGGGCGGAAACTCACAGTAAGATTTTCTAATGGAAGGACCACATGAGATCCCGCGTTCAATAATACAGCCCTTCCTAAAACAGATCTTTTTTTTCTTCAGTGTGCGTAGAGAGATAAGAAAATGTTTTATCAAAGCGCGTTTTATCATCAGTGGCGTAATACATAATGATTGGAAAAACGATGTTCCGTGAGTACGTTAAGTCCCCCGTCACTTTTATTTTTGTTGGAAGCTATGTTATCTTCCGAATTGTCAGTCCGATAAACATGTCATGTCAGAAGTGTCGGAGCGAGAGGTGAATATTCCTTTTAAATTCTGAACGCAGTTTTCCGAGAAGATATCCAATTTGCTTTGTTAAGTTGCAGTCATTCGTACCAGACCCGTCCTTCATAAACGAACTTCCTCTGCTCCTCTCTTCTTTAGTTGCGCTTGCAATAAAAATGAGGGACTGATTGAAACGTACATACTTTACAAAGAGTTCTGGAGTGACGAAGGAAAATTGCAACTTTTATTCCCTGCGTAATTGAAATAGATATTAAGATGAGCGAAGTGAATACCTAACGAGCTCAGCCTGCTCGACTTATTACACCGAGACACAAAAATAAAGAGAGAATTTAATTTATTTCAGAAAGTGAGAGCGCGTGACATTCATTTGTTAAATCATTCTTCGTTCGTTCACAATGTGATTCGTTTTTCACACAGAGTCTCAGTCTGAAATCCTGAGTTAGAGACTAACTTGAATTGTAAGCGTGATATTGTCGTAAAACGAAATCATGGTGTAAATTTTAGCGACCTCTATGGTCGCCCAGTACAACTTAAATTCGGATTACTATAGGTTTCTTTTAAATTGTAGCGGCAAATCTACAGAAGTCTGTGATATTTGAATTCAAAATAGTTTCAAAAAGACGAAAACCATATTTTTGAAAAACGCATGGCCACAGTTTGTACTAAAACACGTAATTTTCTGCATATGTTGTTTCTGCCGGGGAAAAAATCGTGCAAAACTTTGTCAAGTGCTTTTAATACACCATCTAAGACTAGCGTTAAATTCAAAATATTTGAGTATATAACAAACATTTATTAAATAATTTCACATTTACAATCAACAAAATGGACAACTTTACAATTTCTTCGGTTTTGGTTTTCTTTTCACGGCATTAATGCTTTGTACAATCTGATCTATATCATCGTTGTCCCCAGGGTAGTCACTCGTGGGAGACTTCTTAGTCGCTGAACTTAGAAAATCGGTAACATAACCTCCCAACATTTCCTTGAGGAAGTAGCTAACTTTATCTATATTATACACTGCAAACATAATAGCAAAGATCAGAACAAGAGTCCAAACTGACGTTCGTTTGATATCCTGTTCAACCATGCTACTTTTTACAATGAAGTCCAGTTCTACATACTTAAATGAGGAGTTGGCCACAAATATCTGCGGCTCGGGTTCAAGTTTATTGTTTAAGTTTGACTCTAAGTGAACAGAGTATGTTCTCCCATCTAGTGGTAGCGGTGGAATGTGGATTAACACCCCTTGATTGTAGTCGGGTGTAATAGCGACTGATGACGTATCCACCCTTCCTGTATAAACTATACCAGACGAAGACGACTCACATATAACCTTGAGCCGCAAACTTTTATAATGTTCAGGGTTCTTTGCATAGACTTTCACTAGCAAATCCATGTGAGACACAGGCCGGAATATCACGAGTTGTAAACCGTTGACGTCTTGGTTTACTTTTTCCAAGTGGATTACTTTAGGAACACTTCTTTCAATAGCGTATTTTCCGGCAATAGTGTTTCTAACTGTGACATCGTAAGAACAGTAGGGCTGCAGACCCCGGATTCGAAATTGTCCATAAATTTCGGAAGTCGATTCTTCGGAGAAGTGGCTACAGTTACTTATACCTTGGGCAACAACAACTATATTTTCTTCGGGTTCGCCGTTAAGCGAGGTTACTTGACCGTAAGCACTATAGGCCACTCTTTTACCGCTAAAATGAACAACATATATACTAAAGAATATACAAATATAGAGTTTTACGTCAACTGAACGTTGACAGTTTGGCCTTCATTAACTGTAATTATTTTTGACGTTGGTTCAAAACTGTATTCCTTCATCATCGGTCGTAGAAAATATTCTCCCGGACTCAAGGAGTGGAAAGTAATTTTTCCATTTTCGTTTGTTTGTAGATTGCTTCTATAGCTATCGCCACCCGATAATGACAAAAGGGCGCCCTGAAACTCATTTATTCTAGTCGTGTTTATTGAACTCCATAATTACCTGTAATGGCGCCTTGTCATTTTTATCTACAACTTCTATAACAATCTCTGCTAACTTTTGTGCGAGAAAATCTCCATCATTGTTGGGTCCTACAAGAACATATGAATCTTTTTTGGCCGCAATTTTGTAAGCTTTGCTTTTATCTAAAGGTGGAAATTTGTAAACGCCATTTTCGTCTGTTTCCGCCATTAAAGTGTCAGAGTTTTCGGTCTCTACGGTTACTAAGACGCCGGGAAGAGGTGGAATAATTTTACCTTGGAAGACAACTCCTAAGACTGCTTTAAATTTCGAACCCAAGTTATCACAGTCAGTGTTTCCATTGATTGATAAAATTGGAGGGGTAAAATATAGGATATCGGACTGTGGGACAATGACCGCGGTTTCACTGGGACTGAGTAACAACTGAATTTCATAACCATTATTAACAAAAGGTAGTGGTGGTGTTGGATTTTTAACACCATCTATATTAATAGTTGCAGTCACATCACCATGTTTTTTGTCCGTTTCAATAGTAAGAGTGACTGTATGTTTCTGAGCATTTAGAAATATCTCGTTGACTGGAGCATCCGTACTGTAAGTTATAACATTCGATTCGTAGCTGTGGCAACTACTAATTTGGAAAGTATAACTGCCAGATTTACCTAAACAATATGGCAGTTTTCCTTTATTTATTTTTATTGTGTTTTCTTTTTGGTCGACTGCGTTTTTATACGACACCTGGAAAAGTAGGCCAGAAATTAGAACTACGTCATCAACTTGTATCAACCAATCACGATTTATTACCTGTGTGTTATGCGACGACACAAAAACGACCGAATAACCCGACTGTACAAAAGTCGGTACTTCAACATTAATGTTGTTGATATTCACCACTTGTTTATTAGTTTTCCAACAAAGCTTGTTATCGCTTAATGTTATTTCGTAAATTCCGGGATAGATGTCCGAAATTTTGTAAGAATCATCTGTGAACGAATAAAATTAGTGCGCAAACTCCGATAAAACAATGACCAATCACGTAACGTAACTTACCTAAAATGTTTATAATCACTTCATTCCTTTCCGATGATTCGCTAGTCGGTTTTAAAATAACCTTCAAACCGATGCAGTCGTTTTTATGGATACATTTGATTTTCCCAGAGACTGTGGCTTTTAATTGTGAAAAAATTATAGTGCCGGTTTGTTCCGAGTCCACTTCGATACTCTGAACTTTGGGGAAGAATCTTAAAACGAAGATATTTAACTGTCAAATGTGGGTGAAGTTCGCGCCTTACTGCATTCCTTTTTGTGAATCAGCACTGTCAACCACAACCTGCACGTGGTATTTTCCAGGAGTTAAATATTCGCAAAACTGACCCGAATTCATGTCTGACAACGTTGTAACTACTTTCGTGCTCCCTATTTGCGAAAAAGTAATAGTTTGTGATTTATCGCTAACTACGGAACCGCAAATTTGGTAAGCCATTGGCATCAAGTCCGGGATTTTGCTATTTGGATTCATCTTCACTGCGACTTCTTTGAAGAGAAAGCCCTCTGACAAAGAAGACAGACAAATGCACATATTTATCACACTATTTTTAGGTTACCTGCAGCTGCTTGTAGAGTGTAAGTACCCGCCTTAAGTTTTTCAAGTTTGTAACCACCATCGTTGTTAGTTTGCGTTATATGTTTACCATTTAGGTAGATTTTGGCATGAGCTAGTGGCTTTCCATTTAGGGATTTTAAGACACGCCCATTTATATTAAAACCAATGATCTAAAAAGAAATTGTTAGATCTAGTTTTGCGCACGCTTTCACAAACCTCAAAACTCTCTTTCAATTTGACACTGTTGTGTTCAACAGTGAACGGTAGCGAATTCGGTTGGTAATAAATGTTTTGTTCGTTGTAATATGGCGCAATAAAATATTTTCCAAATGGTACGGCCCCGAAAGTAAAAACTCCTTGGTCGTTTGTTTTAACATGACATATAGGCTTGTTGTTGGTTTTCAAACCAGACAAAGGAGTGGTATCACACCCATAAACACGAATATCATTATTCTAAAACATATTCCAGGATGAAATCTGCGTGTTTCAAATTTATTGGTTATGTGACACCAAAATAAAATTGTAAAAAAATCTAAATACTAACAGGCTTCTCCGCAAATAGAACAATAGTGGCATCTTTAATAGGTTCCCCTTCATCTTTAACAACACCAGTAACATCATAACCTTGAATTATCAGACTTTTGGCGGGTAACTCGGTATTCCCCTCTGCTACAACTACATTAACACTATCTTTCCATACTTTCCACCTACAATATGACGTCATGATCAGTTTTTTATTAAAATGGTCAGACTATAAAACATTTTCATCAAATTAGCATTGGGTCAAGTGACATTTGATCTCATTTTTAAAATGTGACATCACCAATCTGATAAAAAGGTGATCATCTGACTACCGAAAATATGTACTTGGAATTAGATATTCGAACGACATAATTGCCAGGATACACTGGTGTGAAAAAGAAGCTTCCACCTATACTGGTAATGGTTTTTCTAACTTCTGCGCCTGATTTTAGTTCGACTTCAATACCGTCAGGGCCGACGTTAGTGCCTAAACTTTCAACCTATAATGACATCTGTGTATATTTGAAGTAACTTTTTAGTGGAATACCTGGCCGGTTATTCCAAAACCTTTAAAATTGAAATCTATATCTTTTCCTTGACTGCATAAGTCGGACACACCATCAACTACTAAATCCACTCTTGTAGGGGTAAAACTCCAGCCGGGTGGCGGCTCCAACTAGAACAACAATGAATAAACAAAACTCAACAAGTGACGTTGACCTAACCTCCAAAATGTATTCTCCTTTATCGTACAACGGGACGAAGTAATAGCCATTATTAGGAGCACAGTTAATTTTATCTTTCAGAATTCCTTGTTTTGTTAATCTGGAAGCCACAATATCGAAATTTTTGGATCTTCTCACAATGGATACTCACAGTTTTACTTCTACTTTAGAAAAATCGATGGGAACGTGACTTTTGACGAAACCTCCGCACCCCAAAATATTCTCCGACGTTACCTTTGTTACAATATTAATTAAAATAAACAAAATTACATATATTTCATTCATTTTTGACGATTCTGTTTAATTTAAAGTATGCATTCACCACTTTGACAAGACGTAGCCTTTTCGAGAATTGTAACTAAATTTAGTGTATTTCGTTTTATAGTTGGCGCGCTGGTTGGCGGTTCGCGTATAAATTTCAAAGGTGTCGAACCTCCAAAGTCGTAAAGTTTTCGAACAAAGACGTCATTAGCAAGTCATTTGATACGGATTAGTTGTAGTTAATATTTGTTAACTAATTGTTTATTGTTTCAGCTGATTAGTCACACGTCCATGTGAAACTAGGCAGTTAGGTGCATGGAGTTTCAGGTCATGGGTGAACTCGTTTGTGATAAGAAATAAATTTAAACCTGTTACTCAATACGTTCTTAATGTCAAAGATATCAACACGAAGTTAGTCTTCAGATTTGGGTAAGTGTCGCCGAAAGTCATGACCTTAACAAAGTTAAGTGCATATTTGAGATCACCTAGCAATAGGCATTTTTATCACATTTGTACTTAGTACCTGCGCACATTTATCATGTTCACACTTATTACTTATTAATTTTTAAACGAGCGTCAAATCGCCGGAATCCGTAAAATCTCATTTGACCAATTTAGCGTTAAACGAGACCCTAAGACATTTCTCATCGCAATTGAATTTTTATTAGTTAACGCCAGATGGTTCAAAGTTTTACGATTTTTTCATTCCGCTGTAGTTTCTTTGAAATTTTTGTACCAGCAACGTGGTATATTCGACCTATTCGACTGTAGATAAAGTTACTTAAGTAGGAACGCAAAACTGACTGTGATTGGTTAGTTTACCTCGCTATAAAGCAAATAGGTGTTAAACTGCATGCACGCGCCAACGATGTGTTAATAATCGCTTGTTAAACAAAATAGGGAAACAATTTTTTATATAATTATATGTGTAAATGCGAACGGCTGTTTTTATTGCAACGTTAGATAAACTCACGGTGTTAGCGTTCTTGCGGCTAAGCGGACTTCAATTTTTATTGTGTAGTTAAAGAATTCGTATTTCAGATTTTTAATCAATTACGGTTGACAATGGCATTGCAACAACACAATGGTAAGTACAACTTTTTTTTACAAAAATAACACAATATGTTAGTAATTTTTTGTACCACAAAGGTGCATATGAATTATTTTTGTCTGTAATATACAGCTTTCCAGGAAGAGTAACTTGAAAACACCAAATCCAGTCTAACACAAAAAAGTAAATAATCATAACGTTTCGTTCGTTTGCAAGTGGTATATTAGTGATATTAATGATTCAACCTTTGTATTATGTAATAAGTTTGTTTGTTTCCAAGTAGAAGATAATTAAACCTAAGATAAACTGTTAAGTTAAAGTAATGTCATAACTTTGCTAACGATTTTAAATTCTGTTGGTATAACTGGACTAATTTTCAATAGATATATTAACACTGGGTGTTATACTCAGATGAGATTATTTCTTCCGATGGCTTAGTGCCCCTTTCCAAAGTAAGACGTACGTCTTAGCACACTTCGCGCTTTCTTATTACATATGGCATGGCAAATAGGCCTTTTAGCTCTCGAACGATTCACTTCTAATTCAATTTTCTATGGATTTCGTATGACGTTGGACATAAACTCAAAACACGCAAGTTTCTATCAGAATAAAGGCGCTAACGACCCATGTAATGATGTTTTTACTCTTTATGACTTATTTTGTAATAAAATTTACTGGACTATTGACAAAACAATGAAATTTTAAATTATTCACTATTCAAAGTCGACGAGCATTGATTTTCATACTAATACGATTTGATTGTTCCTCATTAACACCACTGAATGCTGGTAGTGATTTCGCAAAAACGGTGTTAAATGTTTCATATTTTTAAAGTAGTGAAGAGTTCTAACTTATGTAGGTCTCCACTTCAGGGAAGTATATTTTTACTGCTTTTTCCAACGGATATCATCCATGAATATTTATAAAAATTCTTATCATTTACACGTCGTTTTTATTTTTCTGTTTTGTTATTTAAATATTAATGGAAACGTTTATGATACGAACTTAGACTTGGGGTTATGCTACATTTAATATTTCTTCTATTCTAAAATTACTTTATTCAAGTACCCCTGAAAGTTGATGACGTCATTTGACAAAAGCGTTGACGCTTGTGTTGCTCATTCTTCACTATGATACTTAAATATTTTTACTTAACAAAATTTTGAGTTAGTGTTATCAAAGTGTTGGCATTTTACCATCTACACGATAGTTCTAATGTTTACATTTCACAACAATGATCCAATAATTTCAGAAATTATGTGTGTAAAAACGTGCTAGAATGGCGCACACGCTTATGTAGATCGCGAAGAAAAAATTGTTGACGTCATTTCAAATTAATGTCATAAGTCTTAAAAAAATAAGTTTAAACCAACTAACGTCGTAGATTACGTACGACGTACGACAGAAGTTGTCATTTATCTGTATATTATGTGATTAAAAACGTAAGATAAAAATGTAATTTATACCACATATAAAATTTGATAATTTGATGAAAAACAAGACCATACAGATTGTTTACATTGAAAATAAAAAGAGTTACTATAATCGTGGCTTATAAAGTATGAATTGTTGCAAATTTTTTTAAATAATGCAACTTTGAAATAAACAAAGCAGTTTTAATAGGCGTGCAAGTAAATGACTTAAGTATTGATAACAAGTTTAAAGTTGGACTATTTTTATGAACCTGTATAACTTTATAGATAATTATGTTGTTTCATTTATTAGTAACTTTTACTGAGATCGCTTGGTAAATTAATGTGCTATGACTCTAACTACCAACTTCGAAGTGTAAAATTTGTTGCACTTATAACAAATAAAAAAAATAATAGAAGTAAATTACAAACATTGCTTTGTGTACAACAATGTAAACATAATTACACGTAGACGTAAAGTTCAAAGTCGGTGTACGCGTAACAGATAATTGAAGGGGCAAATTTTTCTTTGACGCTTCTGATATTTTGTTACAAACACTCAGTATAAAAGTAACCGAAATTAGACCCGTTACTTTTGTTATTATTTGTGTATCAATTTGACGCTCGTTGAAACCATTATCAGTGTTTCATGAAATAATTTTCACAAGTGATCGATATTTATTACGGTTGTTAATTATTCGCTGATTACTCTGACAAGAGCTGCGTTATAAAAAAATTAGTCATTTGTTTGTTTTGCACGCCGAAAATCCAATGGTAATTAAAATACGGAAATTAACACATTAATTAGTTAATTAATTAAGCCCACTCTCCCCTAGCCAAAAATCATTTGTTAAATTAGTCACAGTGTATAAACAAACGAGGAAAATTTATTGCACCGACTATAATACAGATGCGTTTATAAACAAAAAGCATAATGTTCTATTTTTCGGTTGACACGTAGCTATTTACCACAATCGCGATACAAATAAGAGCGATAAGAAACTTACGTGATTAGAGTTTTACGAGTCATGATAGTACTGATTCTACCAGTTTACACGATACAAATCAATGAATCACTCTAATAATTCAGGTCCAGATCAAATCGTACCTTCCGAACACATTGTGACTACGAGGGCAGATGGACGTATCAATCTTCGCATTCCCGAAAGTGGAAAAGCTATCGAAACCACACCGCCAATCTCAGTTCCTGGACTACTGAAACGCACAGCTGACAACAGTCCCGATTGTCCAGCACTCGCATATAAAGAAGACGGAAAATGGAAGCAGATCACTTACAAGTAATTATTTCGTTTGTTAGTACCGGGTAATCAAGGTGGAATTTTAGGGAGTACTATGATCAAGTGAGGATTTGTGCTAAGGCGTTTATTAAACTAGGACTCAAAAGGCATCACGGTGTTTGCATACTAGGGTTCAACAGTCCAGAATGGTTCATCTCCGATCTTGCTGCGATATTTGCAGGGTGCGTATTCATGCAATAAGTAAATGGTACCTTTTTATTGATACATCAACTTTACTAGACGAGCATAAGTGTTTGTTTACAATGATAATGCGTGATAACCATCCGGCTTTCAAGCATGCTGCACACTGTTTACATATAGCGCTTAAACACCTGAACACCACAAAACAATTTCAACGAAAATCGTAACAAAAAAACGAAATCAGTACATCTACGTTAGTATTTTCTAAAATGGGAACTTAGTTTAGTCTTGGAACTTGTACGCGTCTATCACCTTCTCGGAAAAGATAGTTTTCCAGGTTTTGAAGATACGCGGTATGATGACTCTAACTCGTACTGATGATAATAATAATCAAAAATATCTATTTCGTACCTCGAAGTTCAATAAGACTCGTCTGACGTCTCAAAGCGAAGTCCAAAACTTGTACTCCTGATTATCGTCTGCATCTCGCGTCGGTCTGGACTTTAATCAAATTCGAGCCTCATCGATGTCCACGGTACAATGTCATTCATGTTTTTTACTTTAAGTACAAAGGTAAACATATGATCTATAGGATTAAAAAATAGGCGACTTGATTCAGCGATAAGTCTAAGCTGTGGGCGATCTGCAATCGATAGTGGCTAATGATTCAATTCGAGTGACTGATAAGAACCTTTAAAGGCGGCTAGGAAAAACGCGACCTTGTCAACATTTTGCTTGTCTAGGACGTCCTTAACCTCGATAATGATTTTTCTCGTTTCGTTTTCCATTGATTGTACGATTTTAGCTCTTCTTCGAAACCACTAATGTGGTGAACGCTAACTAGTCAATGAGGACGCGGCATTGTGCCAAAAATTTTGACCGACCACAAAACTTTCCGATGTGTTTTCAAACCAAACAAAGTTTTTTGTTTATTTTAGGGGAATAGCTGTTGGTATTTATACTACGAATTCAAGCGAAGCTTGCTACCACTGCGCCAATTACACCAAAGCTAATATAATCGTCGTTCAAGACCAGAAACAACTAGACAAAATTCTTGCCATAAAATCGCGTTTGCCAGATTTGAAAGCCATTGTTCAGTATGAAGGAGAACCAACAAGTCCAGATGTATTGAGTGTAAGTAGAACACAACTGCTTTTTAGTTTTGTTCACGCTCTAGATTCTTCTAGTGGTCCGAGCTTCTGACGATCGGAAAAGATCAAGGGGATGAAGAGTTGGAACGGGTCCTCAAAACCATCGCCGTCAACGAATGTTGTACCATCGTCTTCACAGTATGCTATCTCTGGTATAAACAAGTATTAACTCTATAGTGTCGTTTCTAGTCCGGTACCATCGGAAAACCCAAAGCCGCTATGCTAAGTCACGACAATCTCACATGGGACGCTTTGACAATATCCGAACGGTTAGAAGTAAAAAAACGTGGAGAGGTCCTCGTGAGTTATTTGCCTCTGAGTCATGTGGCAGCTCAAGTCGTTGATATTTACATCGTCATGATAAATTCGGCCTGCACCTACTTTGCCGACGCGAATGCGTTAAAAGGTACCCTAGTGGACACACTAAAAGAAGCGCAACCAACGAAATTCTTGGGTGTCCCGCGAGTGTGGGAAAAGATGCACGAAAAAATGATGGAAGTGGCAGCTCAAAATGGCGGAATAAAACAAGCGATAGCGTCATGGGCCAAAAACCAAGCTCTGGAGCATCATCTCAACAAAATCCAAGGGTAAAACGAAACGCGAATTTAATCAAATCTAACCCATTGGGATTTTAGGGTCAATTCAAATAGTTGGGGTTACTGCATTGCCAGCGCTGTGATATTTAAAAAAATTAAGCAAGCTCTTGGTTTCAATCGTTGCACGTTGTATGCGTCAGCAGCGGCCCCTCTAGCGGCAGACATCAAACGATATTTCTTAAGTCTAGACATACCGATTATGGAGGCTTTCGGTATGTCGGAGGCAGCCGGAGCTCACACCTTATGCACCATGGATTCCTTCGGTTTAGACACAATAGGTATGGGTCTACCAGGAACCAAGACGAAAATCGTTAACCCGGAAGACGGTCAAGGCGAAATATGCATGTACGGCCGACACATCTTCATGGGGTACTTAAATGATCAAGAAAAAACGGACGAAGCGGTGGATTCTGAAGGCTGGCTACACTCTGGAGATTTAGGTCGCATAGACCAAAAGAACTTTGTGTATATAACAGGTCGACTGAAGGAACTTATCATTACGGCGGGTGGTGAGAATATCGCACCCGTACCCATCGAACAGCTTGTGAAGGCCGAGTTGCCCCACATCAGTAACGTATTCCTTGTCGGGGATAAGAAAAAATTTTTGTCGGTTTTGCTCACGTTTAAAACGGAGGTGGAGCCGGAGAGTGGGAGACCTTTAGATATACTAATTCCAAACGTTCAAGAGTGGCTGAAAAGTTTAGGTTGTCCAGCTAAATCAGTGAGTGAAGTTTTGCGAGCCGGGCCCGACCCCGCATTGCTGCATGCTCTTCAAGATGGGATTGACAGAGTTAACCAACAAGCTGTATCCAACGCTCAAAGGATTCAGAAATTGTCGATACTTCCGGTTGACTTTTCTATGGCAACGGGAGAATTAGGTAATAACTTACTACATATTTTTTTAAGTTGATTCAAATGGTTTATTTTAGGACCAACTCTGAAGGTGAAAAGGAACATCGTAGCCGCCAAATATTCCGATATTATTGAAAGAATGTATGCTTGAAGCCGTCGTTGTTTTGAAATTTTGGTGGTCTAGTTGTAGTTCGATTACAAAAACGCTATTGTCAAAATATTCTTTACTTAAAAATAATATAAATAATACCTTGAGTATAATTTAAAGTTAGATCCATCTTACATCATCTCTTTAAATAAATAAGTGAATATGGTAAGTATACATATATGCAATATAAACATATTTTACATAATTTTCTTAAATGGTAACAAAATGCTAGCTACTGGGGCACGGTTCTGCCTCGGCACTACTGTCGCTACTGTCTGAATCCTTACAACATCGACACTGTTGACGTCGTTTACATTTCGATCGGTGACACTTACTACATTTAGGTCTATATACAGGGGCAACTAATTCTACCTTAATATTAGCAGTGGCGGTTACTTTGGTTGTGTAAGGGCCACTAGAACTGGATTCTGGACTACTGTACTCTACAGTAACTTGTGGCTCGACTACGATACTCTGGTTGCAGCTCTCTTCCGTTATAGTTGTAAGACTAGGCTCACGGGTGGCCTTGACAGAAGTGCTACGACGAGAAGATTTCGGATAGGTTGGCGTTCGAATGGGTGGGGGTGGTGGAGGGGGAGGCGTAGGAGTAGAAATTCGCTCGTTATGTTCTAAATGGTACAATTCGGCTTTGGGACCAGCGATTAACAAAAGAAGGGGAAAGAAAACTAGAGAATTGATGGTTGAACTGCATAGCGATACAACTAAGGCGGTAAAAAAATAACATTGTATAAACTCGAACTGGGAGGTTATTAATACTGAGATGCATACTAATAGTCCAAAATCACCTTTCACGATAGGTTCGGCGTACAATTCCAACGACATTTTCAATCTCCGTTCACAACTTCCTAAAGCGCTTAAAAAACCTGTCAATACAAGGAAAATATTTCGACTCACTATGATAAAATGGAGCGCACCTATTGTTCCACTTAAAGCGTTTACATTCACCAAACACATCAACAACATACATATAACTACGCTTAGTACAAAACACCAAAGTTTTGTCCACTGTACAAGAACACATGCTACTAGAACAGCTGACAGTAGTGTGAGTAAAAACTGAACAGCTAACAAACGATCTAGTAGTAGGAACTGATTAAAATATGCGAATATAAGTCCAATAGGATAATTCTTTAATCCGCGTTGATTGAACTCTTCCGAGATTTCTTTAATTTGTTTTAAAGTTTCTATGATTTTTCCAGTACTTTTCAGATTCTTGAGGTAGAATGGCATTTGAGTATAAACAAGAGGTCGCGACTTTGGAATTTTTAATTCAAGTTCAGCCTTAGAACTATAGTGCTGAGAAGGCTTAGGGGTAAGATTCGCCCGAGAGCTTGTATATGACATTTGATCGTTACTATTCCACGCAGATAAATAATTGTAAAAGGCTTTGGGATCTATAATACCGTTGGTTACCAACTGTTTCTTAAAAATCTGACTTTTGTCGACCGGATACTCGACAATACCTGTTTGAGCTAACAATTTAAAAGCTAATACTGCTTTCTCGGTGGCATTCGGGAACCATGTTTCGTTATTAAGAAAATTATTTTTCCGGTTATTATCGAATTCTTCCTGTAAGTCAATTAAAAAATCGCGGAAATTTGCTAACCAAAAATCGTGCATATTCAAGCCTCCGTTGGAATCTTTCAAAACATGAGGTACATTAGTTAACGAAGAGTGGTATTCATACAAGAGCGGTTGGTTCAGAGGGTACTCCAACTCGGTTGTCACTAAATAAAAATTATAAAAACCAAAGAATTTATTTTGAGCTTCTAAATATTTGTACTCCTGCGTGTTCTTTGGTAAAAATGTCGATAACCTTACGTCGAATTCTAGTTTCAGTCCATTAAAAACGCAAAAAATTATCAACACAGCGTACGTTAAACACAAAATCACCTTCACGAAAGGTTTAATCAACACTGAAGTGAAGTAACGATTCACTAACCACGTTAGGAAATTTTTCTTCTGTTGACAAATCACCTCCGCCGTGAGCAAGCTTTCGCCGTGTTCCTGTAACAAAAGAAATCGGTAAAAATATGAAGGCAACGGACATTAATAACGACTTTAAAATATGCAAAATGCTACTAATGACATGTTACACAATGCAGAACGGTGGAACATCCTACAAAAACAACACGCACTGTAAATCCCTACTTTATTTTTTTGCAAATAATCTATTAATACAACTTTCGGATTATATATATATATATATCAATATGTCGTTGAAATATTACCACACGCTACGATAAGCTGATCATTAAAAAATACTTATTAATTAGTAAGTAATTACTTTACATATGTAGGATTTAAAAAGTCTACTTGTCACAAATATTAATCTTTAAACTTATCCACTTAAACTCATTAATAAAAATTTATAAATCTTGATAAGTTTAATTGATCCAATTGCTACTCGGTAAGATCAGATTTGTTGCAAGAGAAATGTAGGTCTTTAATATTTATGATCCGATGACATATAAATATCTTACTTAGTACTACCAGAGCAAGTAGTGAAGTGAGGGCTCGACGTTGAATGAAAATGACCCTTAACGACCACCCACCCTGATTGCAATCACCGTCGTCTGACTCACAAAATTATTATCAACACTAAATTTCAACCACAACAACTTCTTTAATTTCAACTTTCATTATTTCATAATTAAAATGAAATAGTTACCACTATAAAATAAGCATCTGCATCGTACTAATTACTCGGTAACCGTATAACCTCATTCTTTCTACACTTTGACTTAATTAGGAGATGCAGCTATTGTATTTTACGCGACTGGGAAGAGCGGCGAATTGTTAATTAAAATCCATTACTAAGCAACTTCATTTTTAATACTTAAAAACTTGAAAAATACTGTAAAATAAATATTACTGTGCCACAATTTACAAATTGCGTTTAATAACAGGCAATAATTCGCTGATTAGTGGTGATATTAGTTTGCGATTGCAACCAAGGTTAATGACACATTTAACTGTATCCAAGAATTAAATAAAACAAAAAGGGTGACGTGGACCTGATACGTCTATACGTACTTTTGTTTAAATTACAACTAATAATGTCACAAATTTTATTATAAATGGTTGTGATAAAGTACAATAATTCTTAATTACGTTATCGCAACTTCGTGCTCTTACTGATTAGCTAGTACAATGTGAAGTTTTGCACCTACGTTTATATCAAAAGGCATATCCAGGTCTAAATAAAAATTTCTATAAATGATCGTCGTATCGCAGCATTCACAGCAAGCGTTGCCTTTTGCCGCCTTGTCGCAATAGGAAACGTACGTCTCATGCCAGTTTATACTAATTTAAATGGTCATTCAGATACAGATACAGATTTACGAAAGCTGCTGTGATAAATTAGCTTATAACTGGATCTCGTTCCATTTTTTGTGGATGATAAACATTTTAATTTTACAATTTTATGTAAATTTACGAGCGAAATTTAATTGCGGCGAGAGTGGAATGCACTGGCTAGTATTATTGACAGCTGTGATTATCATCGAAACAAAATTGGTATCACACATGAAATATTACTACGCGTACGCGTAACGAACCCACATTTGGAAGGTGGAAGATCGTAAAATTTATTTTAGCGCCAGTAAAATGACACGCTTTCCATTCGCGATTTTATCTCGCCTTCGTCTCGCTACAAAAATTGTCGAGTATTCAGTTTTAGCCAGAACATAAGGGTGGATCCCCACACTGAATAATAAGTTTAAAATTTGTTGAGAAGTTTCGTCATTTTGACACACGTTGTTAATCAATATGCACTGCACATAAATATCACTTGCCGTCAGCCTTAAATGTTAAATAATTCAAACGTTGGTTTAGATGTTTTTTATCTTGGTAGCCCTCTCGTAAAGTACACATGTACGAAGAAGAAAAGACTGGTTATAATTAATTTAACGCCACTTAAATGATAAGTTATGTGGATTCTTCTTTATAATAACTTTAAAATAAAAGCTGCTATAAAAATACTGTGACGTTATATTTTTAAGTGAATTTTATTTATTTATTTTTTTTTCGGAACGACTATTTAGTTGCTAAATTACACATTATAAATTGAAGGTTAAGTGAGTTTTTTTTAATTTCATCGATGTAATGTTAGTCTCCCGTTTCCGTCTGGCTGTCGCCTGTCGCCGTTTGTCTGGAGACATCATTAGACCGATAATCTAATAGACTGGTGGACTGACCACACTCAAATTTTAGATGCAGTTTAAGATTATTGTGAAAATAAAAATTTCCCCTCCATAAATTTAAATAATAGTGCTCATTTTTTGTGGCATTTATGTGCTAATAAAGTGCAAGTTACCCTCCATAAGTTATTTATAGAATGGTTTACCGATTTCACAGTCACTACTTCGTCATCTGATCCGGATTATTAAAGTCATACACAATAAGAATAATGTTCTCTACTAAAGTCAAAAACGACATACGTGACTTTTATGAAATTTTAGGGACACAATATCGTTATTAGTGTTACGGGTCAAAATTTATATATTTAAACATGTAGTACTTCTCTGGAATCTTGGTAACTCATTAGGTCAAAAAAACACAAATATACAGTATGGAACTGGGCAAATATTTCGAAAACTATCTGGTGCAAGCATTTAACTGACACGTGTAATCACCGCTTTAGGACGGGTCAGTGTGCGTGTCGGACGCGCAATGGCGCAAATGAGATAAATATCTTTGACGTTCGTGTTTTAGCAATAATAATTCTGTGGCTTACTTTTACTTAGTGACGAAATACTTAGATTACATTCGTGTTTGAAATATGTTCATTTTGAGAACTTCTGAATGAAAACTAGGTAAATTTCCAAAGGATGTAATAAAAGAATGATGTTGTGTACTTGTATTAAAAAAAAAAAAAATTATAATGAATTGTAATTATGGATGGAATCATTATAAGATGTGAGTTGTTGTTGTTGTATATAATAAATATTTTTACTTGTGTTTATCATAGCATTGGTATGGCGGGTATGCTGTAAGTTAATTACCGCGAAGTCGAAAAAAGTAAAGAATTTAAAATATTTTCACTCGACCTAAACAAATTAAGTAACAGAGATTAAAGTTCCACGGCCGAAGTAAAATAGATGCGCAGTAAAAAAGAGGTAGAAAAAGGCCAATAACGGTGTCGTAAAGGCATCGGCAAATGATGTTGGCTAGTCGAGCAAACTCTTAATAACAATCTAAGTGAATTGCAAACCATAATACGATAAAAAGCAAAGTTAATAGACACACATCAGTGTAGGCGAATTGCCGTATAAAGTTTCAAGTTTTTTCGGTAAATTCCGACATGGTCGAACACCGAGGAAAAACTTACCGGATCATTGTTGTTGTTCGTGGGAGGCTTGGGCTTGGTCTCGTTCCGGAAACACGGTACGTCAGTCTTTCGACACCGCTGTTCGAGGGCCAAGAGCGAAGGGAACACAATAAGCAGTGCGGCACAATGGAATATAACTAGTACCGCACATTGTAAACAAAAAACACGTAACGCCGGTACGGGTAGTACGGCAGCCGCTAAGAACGCGCCGGAATTCACTAATGCCGCCGAGATGATGCTAGGACCCGTCCTTTGTAGCACTTCCGGCGGCGACAAATTCCTCATATCCGACGATAAAATAAGGAACATTTCTCTCATTGCGAGTCCAACAGTAACGAAAGGTAACACATGCGTGCTGAGGAGGTTCATCGGCAGGCCGATGATGCTGCACGCTCCTAACGCAGCGGCCGCCGAGCTCGCCAGAACTATCACTCCCAGCGCGGCGAGGCGAGATTGCACCACCAACCCGTACACCGCCGCCACCCCCAGCACCACCCCCAGCTTCACCAGGTCGGTCTTGGACGCCTCGTTCAGCATCTTGTTCAAATTCGCGGTCGAGAACGTCACGAAGAGGTACGACGACGACTTCTTGAGCTTCGTCAGGCGCTCGACCTCCTGAAAAACACCGAATCAGTCCACGCGTTCGCTACGGACGTTAAATCAACCCACCTGAGCAAACTTCTTCTGCCAGGCGTTGAGTACGGTAGTTGCCTTTTCTTGGTTCCAGCCGATGTGGTGGACCTTGTAATGCCCGGACCAATATTCGAATAACTCGTGCTCTCCCATTAATTGTACAACAGTTTGTAAAGCTTTGGCATGTTTTATATGACCAGATTTATTTTTAATTACGCCGCCGACGAGCAAGTCTTCAGGCCAGTGCATGTATTTTGCGGCAAGACCGTAACAACCACCGGTAAGTTCGGCACCAATATCCAGATTTTGAGTCGAATTGTAGTTCGGTGCCGTCACTGGACAGTCGGGATCACGAGGGTTCAAACATGGTTTTTCTTGATATCCAGAGGTTATACCAGCACGTTTGAAATAATCTTCTAAGAAATTGTAATCGAACTGGGATTCTTTTGGCTTAATTTCGGATATGAATTGACTGGGGTTGAGATTTGTCCATTTGGTTTGGTTGCTTGTTCCAAATCTAAAAATACAGATTTAACGGTAAATTGGCGAACTGACATATGGCGGAATATAGATTCATTTTTATTGACGTTGTTGTCACGCCCATTTAAGACAGTTCGACTTGACATACTCATACTGTGTAACTATGCCTTTACTCGCTAATCTTCAACCCTAATAGAAATCATCCGCTCAATTGTAGTAAATTACACACACGTAAAATTCAGTGACACATAAGCAAAAAAGTTGTAATTTTAACCTGGCCAAGGTCACCAACTTGATCATTTGCTATAATCTGATTAAGTTATAAAACATATTTTATCGCAATGAAACTTTATTGCATTTATCTTATTTCCGCATTACAGTGCACGCAGTATGCGTTAGTTTGGACTAAAAATACAGAAACATTCTTTTTCTTAGCGTTAAAAGCGTTGATGTAATAACTCCGACCGGGCCAGTAAAAAAAAGTTTCATAAATATAGCCTTCATATTTTTTTCCTTACGTAACGCATTCCATGATTTTAATCTTTCTTCTGGCGTTGACTTCATTTGACAAACTGAGGTACATTTTGCACCATCACGGCCAGAATTTTTATTAAGATGCATACAATACGCAATGGATTATTATTTATTATTGTGGTTTTCGAAAGCGAGAAAGTGATTTCAATTAAAAACAGTTTAAATCGTTCGCCGTAACGTTTATTAGCTTTTGGGAAAAAGTTCCATAAAAAAGGCCAATCAGAATTCGTAAAAATAGATAGGGTTGTCCAAAAAATATCATACATTTTTAATCTCTATGCGAAAGAATCTAGATCTATTACTTCCTATTCACAATTTAGTAATAGTAAGTGACAAAAAAAGGAACCGAGAATTCTGGTTGTTACTTTTAAAACTATACCAACATCAACGTTATTTACGTCTTCGTCTTCATATCGTGTGTAGTAAAAAATTAAACTGTAGTAAAAAAAGATCGATGACGTCATAATTTTGACATATCAATCAATTTGGCCAGCCGCGTGTTTTTGTCGAATTCCATTCATGAATTTTTTATTGAATTTGTGCCATAATATGCGGACACGCTGTATAATTATTCGGTTCTTTAATAATAACCTGCCAGTTGCAATTAAGTTAATTAGTGTTCAATGTAAGTTCCATTTTTTCTTTTGCATCTTACCGGTTCGTAAAATTTGATCAAGTGCATGAGCAAATGTTCAACTTTTTTTAGACGGAGGGTCAAAAAAAAACGGTAGTGGTGCTTGAAAAAATTCTTCCTATTATTATTGTTAGTGTGTTTTTGTGATGTGCGCGTTTCTTTGAATCCTCCTCGTCCGGCATTCTGCGTACGCTTGCGGTAGGTAGGAATTCGGTCTCGCTTATAAAAGGGCAGATGTTCGTTTGTGTGGACCCTAGTGGCCGCAGGCGATTTCGGAACTTACGGTATATGGACAGGATAATCGGGTCCGAGCAGCTTGGAGCCTTCCCAAAAGCAGTCGAGCGCCGTGACGATGGAACACGGCATCACGTGCTCGAAGATTTGCTCGATGTAATGTGCGTCGAAATTGGGAATGCTCGGCGCTTGGCAGAAGTCCTTCAGCTGCCAGGTGACGTCGAACATCGTGACGGTGACCTGCGTGGCGTTCTGCACGAGCGCCAGATGCTCGAGAAGGCCGTGCGGGTGCAGGAGGTCGACGTCGGGATCGACGGCCGTCTGCACGATCATCTGGTGCGTGGAGAGCATCTCCTGCGGCGTCGCCTCCACACCGGAGGACGGCTCGGCCCACAGCAGCTCGATGTCCGAGTGGATGTCCATGCCCTTCAGGCCGACGGAGAGGCTGACGATGACCAGCGCGCTGACGAAGAGGAAGATGCCGGCGTGCGTGTCGAGGATGCGGCCCAGGGACCGCAGCTGGCGCTGAATTCGGCCGCGGACCCACAGAATGCCGCGGTCTCCGCTCGCTTTGCCCTGCAACAGAGTGTACCATGCAATGGACCACCCAAGAAGCGGCCTGACGTCACGCGGACCACCCAAGTAGCATACATATGGATACGGCAATCTCCGCCGCACTTCACCGCATAGACTGTCCTTCTAGGAAGGATCGTCCAGCGCTAGTGAGACTACCTACAGGCCAAGCCATTACTTCGATCACGGCTCCGATTCAACAATATTGCCAATCACTTGTCATACTCGACAGATACCAAGCGCTATTCCATATTTCACGGCTGTCATCCGCACCGCATCCCGCACACCGCGAACACGACCACGCAACCCCAAAAAGACGACTTTTCTCGTACGAAAAAGACTGCAAAACACGCAACCAAAACATCGTTCAAATCTTACTCCTTCATTGATTGCGACTTTTGGGACGGACTATATAGTCCTCCGCGCCACTTAATTACATTTCCCGACTATAGCCGTGATGTAACAGCGTCGTTTAAAAGGCTCCTGTAGTCTGCGATACAAATTATTTAAATGTCACACACATTTTGCCAAGATATACTACTTCTACCTCGTTCAATACACCATATTGACAAAAACTTTTTTTAATGTCACTCTCTGACCACATAAGCAATTCAATACTATTTTCACGCTTCCCGTAAACCTCACTAAGAACAGCCTTATTTAATGATTTAATTTAACCGAATAATGCAACTATGTCAAAAATTATTGCAGTCATAGCAGATCTTATCTCTAAGATTTGAAACCATTTTTTAAATTTTGGATACTGATTTACATACGCTTTCTCGACGATAAATACGTATGATAATTTTATCTTTGAAGTTTTCATAACACAAGTTTAAAAGTATGTAAGGCCATTATCAGCATATTACACGTTAATAGGCAAATCGAACATTCATTAAAACAGTTATAAACAGTTGTTTTTTTCATGTCAAGAACTGATAATACAAGGTTAACCGATTCACGCCACTGCAAAAAATGATGACGATTGCAGAAATGAAAACACCAAAGTTAAAAAAACGAAGTTACTTTTGAAATTTTTAAATTAGTTTAATAACTAGGTTGCACGACATACGTATTACTTTTAAAATTTGCATAAGCATTATAACGTGATAGCGTCATATTAAAGTAATGTTTAAATTTGTATAGATCTGATCTTATAATCTGTGCATTGTAATAAGCACTGAATTAGTTTGTTTTTGTTTCATTAACATATTACAATCGTTTATTTTTTTTAGATAAGTACAATTACAGTTGTTTGCAATTCTTAAAAAGGATAACGTGTCGTACATTATAACATTATTCTTTATGGAACTGTCACAGATGTTCGTATTTGTAAATTATTATGTACATATTTATTCCACCTAATATTTATGCAGCTCACACCTGACGATATCCGTCATATTCATTTATATCAAAGACATACAATATGCACCTTAATTTATAATTCTTAAAATTAACGACAATCGTATTTACGTTGCCGTTGTCCATATTAAATACTAGCTCATAACTGCTATATTTTGAACTGTAGCAGATACACATTTAATAAAACCTTAAACTACTAATTTAAAAATGGAAATTTTGTTTTGAAACTACATATACGTTTACGTCAAATTAACCCAAGATTATTATTGGCCTACTATGACCTTGCAAAATATCAAAATGAGAATATTTTGTTTCCAACTAACTGCCAAGTTTCGCAGAAAAACAGACTGCGCAACTTGCAAGTTGTTTATGTTACTTGATACCGAAGCACAAAAAATTATTAAATAAAGCACTCTTTAATAATAATAAACAAAATTTCTTTCAAGTTCACGACTGAAACGTTTTCAAGGAGAGTAAAACATTAAACCATAATTTTAAAAAATACAAACTCAATTTTACAATGAGACATACTGTACATTTGATTTTGACTGTTGTTTGTTAAATTTACTTTTAAAATTAATTTATTAGAATGATGTCAGCTACTTACATTTGTATTTTTAATACAATCATATCTGTTCTTATTTTTAACACTCTCGACAATCTTATCTAAAATAGTATTCATCTCTGAACAAACGCCGAGTTAAAACTGCATGACGCATGATTTTTAAATTGACATTCTAATTAATACATTATTCAATTATCATTGTATTTGAATGATAAAAGTCATTGTCTTAGTTTTAATTTTTAATTAGCTGAATAAATCACAGCACTACAAACACGAGAAAAATAATAATTTATTTTACCAACAGTTGGACTGCTGCCAAAAGTAACAGGTGAAAAAATATTTTCTTGATGAATTTAACTCACGATTTTAACAAATTAATCTTGCCAACGTCGGGTCAAAAAAGACAAAGGGCTTCATAAATTTAACAGTCGCGTAAAACAAAAAACGACACACTTTTTTTAGTTTTTACAAGTGAATTTTGCTTAAATTAGCCTTAAATAGCGATCTTCTATTTTTCGAAATTTGGCATGACGTCAACTAATTTGGCTCAATTTCGTGCACCCGGCGCGTAGTTTATGAAATTATAATGGCCAGTGTCGATTAACCTCAGTTACGTACTATGCAACACTTTATTCAGTAGAAAATTTTGGTTGTACCGGAACTAATAAAAATGACGTATTTTGCGAAAGTGTGGAATATTTCTGTTAAAAGAGTACACATTTTGTGAAAAACTTATAAATGAAGACATGATTGTCGAACGGAAGTGTCTCCGCAGGGGTCATCAATGCAACCATTTTTAAACATCTAGTATCCCGATAAAAACTTAAAAGAGGAAAGTTTATCGGCCGGTAATAAATTCCTCGCTGTATCTGCAATTTGTTCAAAATAAAAATTCTAAATCTTCTGATTACGTTTACGTTTCCAGGAAGAAGTCTTCAGGTGTAGCCAACTTCACCTAAAATATCGTCAAGTGACGTCACCCGTTTCATTGAAAAATGATCCTACAGCTTTAATGTGTGCGAAAAACATCAAAACAACAATAATTTGCCTTCGCATTTGTAAATAAACAACCTTCGAGGTGACGAGTACAAACTTCTTTAGTGTATCGTGTAACGCGTTCGGCTTCTTTTGCATAATCTTATTTACATAAATAATTTCGCGCAAATCTTTGCTGAATGTCGTTGTGTCATATTAACAACACGCCGAACAGGAAGATTATGGAAGTTTTAATACATAGTTGTAGGAAGTCGAAAGTTTAGTGTTAAAAGATTCAATGGCTGTAATGATCGTTAATCGGGTAACGACCACGGTCTTACTAATACGGTCGGCTCTTTTGAAACTGACTTATCATGGGCGTAGGGGAAACTGCCATCATGGGAGCAATAATGCCCGTCTGGTTGATAAATTCCAAGGTCAAGTTTTCTATAAGGCCGTCGCAAAATTGAGAAATTGGGGAAAATGTTTGAAAAGTTACCACCTAGTGGCGGCTGTGAAAGCCGTATTGTCAAGACATAAGACACGGTTGAAAAATGTTTGTAAGATATCTTTTCGGCTGAGGGTCAGTTTCTTTGGCTAAAGCACAATCCCTTCAGGTAGGTAGTATCTGATTGCTTGGGTTTTTTGGGTGCGTTATTAGGTCGTACTTGTTTTTTCGGGGTAATAATAGTAAAATGATAACGAGGGAAGTAGTTGTCAACATGATTTTGATTTTTTTCTATTCTTTGAAAATGTGGAGACGGACGTGACAATTACAAATTGTCGTGTTATATTCAGCCGCAAAAAATAAAACGTCGAGTTTATAATTTGACAGTACGTTGACCGCTCCAGAAATAAATATAATAGAAACAGATTTCGTAAAAAAATAAGTATTGGGTATAGTTTTTTTGATTGACGCGTACGCTTATGATTTGGGAGCAGAGCGTATGCACTTAAATGGAAAAACGTAATTTAGAAGTAATGAATGTCTGGTGTTTTAAACGAGAGGTAAATGCATTTCCTTTTAAACCGTGCATCGTGAATAAAGAATTGTTCCAATTCCATAAACGTAACAGAGTGTTCGGAATATTAATCGAGTATGAGTTGTCTGCGCTAGACACGTTGTAAGATTTTTAAGTGTCGGTTATAATTAATTGTGTAGGTCATAAGATTCGGAGCGAGATTTGGATGAGTGACCTGCCGATGCCGATGCCGCTGCCGGCGGGATTATTTCTGATTGAGGTTGTGTATTATTAGTCCGCGTGGAAGTGCGTGAGTGCATGTATGTAGTAGTCGTAGCGCGGCATAAGGGTAGTTAGTTCCGGAAACAGATAAGCGATGAGCAGAATAAGGGAGGGGGCGGTTGGGGGAGCCGCAGGGGCGCGGTCGTGCGCGGGGTGCGGGCAGGTAAGCTAAGCAGCTAAGCTAGCTGCGGACCACACACGCTGCTAACCCGGTGGTCCCACCAAGGCTAGCGTAACACGGCACATCGCCCACCAGACCGCAATCAGGTCTGGCCCAAATCATCTATCACACCTGATTCGGGCGGCGCCGGCGCCTCGGCGCCGCCTCCGTCGCCGGCCGGCGTCCGCCCGAGTCCGGAGCGCGGGCCAGCCCGGCGCGCTATCGTCCTCACCTGGTCCAGCTGGTCCAGCGCGACGGCGGCGTCGACCCATCCGGGCCGGGTGTACAGGTCCGACTCGTGGCGCTCTTTCTCCAGGTCCGGCGACTCCGGCGGCGCCGTGGAAGCCATCCTCGGGTCAGGCCCGCGCTCGGGCCCTCGCCAAAACGGGCATTTCACAGAGCACGGCACTGGGCGGCAGCTGCGCCCATGGCAAGCACCCTCGCGAGCCACCCTATAGTCCTAGCGCGTATTTCGGGCATGGTGCAACATCTGCCGCCAGAAACCTCTTCCGGAGGGGGTCGAAACGTCGAACTCGACTCGCGACTTCACTGCACCAACACACAACGGCGGACCAAAAGACATTTAACGTGGTGTAAATAAACAACAAGGTGACACGCAGCTCAACGAGCAACAGCAACAGCGCCTCGTAAACTGTTGGTACTCGAGTGCTCGTACACTGAGGAGCCGACTGCTAAGCTGTTGGCCGTTCATTGTAATCGCAATGCCTTGGGTCGCTCTCTACAGGCGACCGGCGTCGAGTTTCTCCGAACGAAGACCACCCACAGTATATGTTTAGAATGTAAATTCTCCAAATTACATTACTTATGTTTTTTTTTGTCACCATCATAGGATACGGCCGTGGTAATAGACTTCATCCATCTACCCGGACCGATAAACTTCGACCGACGACACTTTACCCTTTACAAATCAAAAAATCATCTCTTCGACACCACCCCGTATAAAACCATTCAAAATGCTGCTAATTCCTCACGTACTTAACTCGCGGACGTAATTAATCTGCTAATATATTCAAGTGTTTTATTTCATTATGCAGTGATTGTAATGACGATTTACCTCACACAGACTGATGTTTGCTCTTCGTTTAGAATGAAAATATAAAACTGTTTAAAGCGTTAATAAATTAACATAATATTGACGACGACGGCAACTTTCAAAAGAATCCCGATAATTAGTATGACTTCCGCTTGCAATCATCTCTTGACATACTAATTTCACACAATTCTAAATTATCGTCAACCACTTCTGCTAAAGTCATTTCACCAAACCACTCAAAATAACCACACGTTTTTTAGCTCATTTTTGCATTAGCTTTAGACCATCGTTGAAATCACCACTCTCACCGTTTCGAAAATTTACATCATCAAATAAATTCCCTCTAGGATTGTTTTCTACGATAATCTCCATCCTCAACACTTATTAGTAATGCGATTACGCACATTTTCCCCCTCGTTAGTGTAACTAGAAAGCGCGTTAACGTAATTTTTATCTTCACGCAGCAAATCAAGAATTCCGCGCTCTGTATTTTTCATTTTTCATTATCAAAATTAAACTGTAAAATTTCAAATCACCCAAAAACCAAATTTTTCTTATTACTTTCTGAACGACAGCCCTACCAACCCGCAAAAATCAATCAAATTATCACTTAACCCCTAAAAACTTTAACCAAAATAAACAAACCAACTACAACAATCTGTAAAATTAAACCCAAATAGAAAAATGCGAGTATCATGTTTTTATTTTTTCTGAACATACAGTCAATAACACTGCAATTACTGGCGCAGTTATGATTCATTTGTCTTTCGATAAGTACAATGTAAACTGTAAACCGCTACAGCTATAAAGAGAAAGTGTAAATGATCAACACTCATTGTTCTTAACATTTGTTGATAACCAAATGGACCTAAAATGACTAAAAACAATCATGTCAAGTAAAAATGTTCGAGCATTATTATAAAAAATGCACGTAGGAGTTTTTGTGAAAAATTGTGTCGCGGTCATAAAAACCGACCTAACGTGTACGAATCAAATGCATACTTCGAGTGCAATTCGCAGAGCTGTTACTGTCGAGTCGTGTTTGACGGGGTTATATAATGAGTAAAAAAAAACACTTTGTAGTTTATACGACTGTTAGTTCTGTCATCTACGTTGAGCTCTGAATTTTTGGTTGCATACCATCCAACACACTATTAAAATTGACGATTTTTGTAAACTCGGATATGTACGAAAATACTTCTGTAACCACCAGCTCATTTTTTTTAATAGGACCATCATCCGATATACTTATTGTACGCATTTGTATAATTAAATTATAAATAAATTATGATTCGAAATTTTTAATTAACGATTCCTGTCAAAACATGTTAAATTTAAAACAACTCGTTCGTTGGTCTCTCGAGTTTTGAAATACTTCCACTGTGATCAAAGAACTGCCTTTTTTGTAGAGTAAGTTCGTGTGATTTTCTTTCTAAGGTAAGTAGCTTATATTTAATACGTACATTTTGAAATATTAACTGGTGTGCTATCGAAATTCGAGTTGGCCTCTGATGTCAACGTCTTTTTGAAGAAACTGTCGTTAGATGTCGCTTTCTACTTTGACGTTTGTTTGTTTGAAAATCAGTTCACGGGTTTACTTTAAAAATCATCAAGAATGATTGAAATGAGTAGCGAGAAGTATTTTATTGTCCAAAATATATTTATTATTGTTGGAAAAATATCAGAAGATAAGATACTATCCATGGTGTCCCACTTTCCTCTACTACCATATATTAAAACTGTCGCAACTTCAGGGCCCTTGCTTATTTTGTAGTTGCCGTACTGTTAAATAAAAATAAAATAATACGAGAGTTATAATATTTAACTAGTATTATTTTATTATCGTTTTTATGAGGCGGAATAAATATTAGCAAAATTCCAATAAACAAATGTCCTTATAAAAACAGATATACATACTGAAAATTTACAGTAAAAAAATAATTTAAATGCGTAATAAAATTTTCGTTATTAATGAAAATATTTGATCAACGTTAGTACATACACCTTAAACAAATAAAAAGGCGTTGACGTACTCATAAGAATACAAGTGATTTATTACAAGTGAATTAAGGTTTATTTGTTTAATACAAAGGCCATAAGCAGTATCAGGTTGACAAAGTATGGCCGCTGATAACGCACGATACAAATAATAAAGTTACATAAATGAAAACTAAAATTTTGAAATAAGTTTTGAAAATGGTTTGAAATTTAGACTATTTATTTAAATCGAAGAAGTGCTTCACAATACATATTTTACAAAAGCAAGCAAAATTAATGCACAATTGTTCCCAAATTATCACTATCTAATAAAATTGAGAAGCCAATTAGTAACAAAATATTTTGTCTAAAAATATATGGTTTTTCGATTATTCAATACATGTTAACAGAAATATTCCTTTTTTTTTCAACAAAGATAGTAAACAATGAGTCTTTTATAAAAATTAAATTTGTTTTTCCAGTACTAGTTACTTCTAGGAAGCTGTGCACCATAAAAAAATTCAATTTGCTCTAATTTCCTCGATCCCTAAAAATATATACAATTCAAATTCTATTAAAGTGAGTGTACAATGCTGTATGTTCATCATAGATATTCATTGGACGTATCAAGCACTGACGTTTGTCATTTAAAGAAGTTATTAAATAATCAGCCACACAAATTGAATGAATTGACGCAACACAAATTTTAGGTGAAACATGAAAGGCTGAGAAATTTCTTATATCTATTCAGTCTTGAGTTACATAAAGGTATTTTTGGTAATATCTACTAAGTTGCAAAAAAAATCAAATTAGAAAATGTAATAAATATATGTATTTGAACATAATTGAGTTTTGAAATCAATTTAAAATAAATGAACAGATATCACCTAAAATTGTCAGTTTCATCGTCTATGGATTTAAATAAATAATAACTATGTTGGTATGCATACATGTAAAGAACACGAAGTTTTTAACGCTCACTTTTAAGTTTTAAATGCAGCAACAATATTTTACAATATAAAACAATGAATGTTAATACATAATACAATTGAATTTATTTACAGAATATGTGAGGTATTCTTCGAGGACTTGTGAATATCACAACCATCCTACGGACATAGGCAGTTGGAATGTGTATTGACACGAATTCGTTTCCTGAAGAATCTCCTCTAAACTAATGAAATAGCGCTCCATTGCAGTCATGTACTAAAACGAATGTGTGCTGGGGTGCTATAACTTGTGGTTGCTCGTGAGCCATGTGAGGCCTTCGTATAGGCCGTCCCCAGTAGTGGCACAAGCGGGCTGCACATACCAATTCCGGTCCCTGATTCGGGTCAGCCCTAGCTTCTCCTGGATCTCGTGGGGCTTCATTGCCTCCGGCAGGTCCTGCTTGTTGGCGAAAATGAGTATTATTGCGTCGCGCATTTCGCGGTCGTTGATGATCCGATGAAGCTCCTGGCGAGCCTCGTCGATGCGGTCGCGGTCCGCACAGTCCACCACGAAAATCAACCCCTGAGTCCCCGTGTAATAGTGCCGCCACAAGGGCCTGATCTTGTCCTGCCCCCCGACGTCCCACACATTGAACTTCACGTTTTTATAGGTCACAGTCTCCACGTTGAAGCCCACCGTGGGGATGGTGGTCACGGACTGGCCCAACTTCAGCTTGTACAGGATGGTGGTCTTGCCCGCCGCGTCCAGGCCCAGCATCAGGATCCGCATCTCCTTGTTCCCGAAGATCTTCGACAGTAGCTTCCCCATGGTACCGGAGGGCCTCGCACCGCTCACCACCTACAACTAAGACGACCTTTTTTTTGCTAGGGTCGAACAAGTGGCGCCCGAGGGGGTGGCTAGTGGTGCGATATAAACGACGACTACTCGGTGACCGTTGCGATCGGGACACACCTACGGGATACAGCAACCCTCGCATGCACCCGCAAGGGATGCTCTGGGCCACGCTTCCCCGAGAATAGTTTTTCAAACAATGATGGAACAAGTCTTCAGGGAAGTACGGCGACAGGACCCCTTTATTGTCTACTTCCGCGATCAAGTGCCGGGAATTTAACCGCGGATCCCTTTTAACCAACCAGGCAGATAATTTTGACTACATATTGAAAAAAATTACAATGGATTTGGAAAGGTATACACGTAAGCTGGGCTTCTGGTCAAGTAAATGCCTCAAATCTGTGTACGCTGGTACATAGTGAAACAAACGTGTGCAAAAGCTTGGGTTTTATAGGTGATCACTTCGAAAGGTACTTACTCCGAAGGTTATTTTATGTAGTGTCCATGTGTGTGTCTAGATGCGGGAAAGCTTCTTTTGTGTGTAATAATGTAACAGAAGGATGATAAAGACGTAGAGATTAAGCGCCTTAATCAAAACATATTCCTCAAATTTTGAATCCCTGGTATGCGGATGAATGCATCTTGTATAAGTGAGAAGGTTATGGTAAGAAGAAGAGTTTGTACATGAAAAGGGTTAAGTGTTTTAAGTTTCATACCTTACGCGAATTAAACTTATCTTGGATTTCCCAAAGCCAAACTTACGTATAATAATTAAGGTGATCACTAAGGTGGCGTTGGTTGGATTCACAATTTAGAAACGCGGGGTTTTTCTGGGTTAAAAACGGGTTGAAACGGGTCCCACTCTAAAAACGGCACTTGTCCCTAACCCCTAAAATGCGGGATGGACGGTCACCTTACCTATAATAGCGTGAGTTACCCGGACTGCCACCCCCAAGGTAACGGTGGGGCCTTTCGCAATCACACATGTCATCGGCTAATTCACAGGCGGCTTGATTCGTGCCGAAATTTGACAGGAAAGGCCGACATAGGCGTGTAAGCACTTAACTATGGCGGGTCACCTAACGGAATTAATCGATGCACCGCACTAGCTCTCATCCCACAGCACGCCCTCTCACAAATACCTACCATCAAACATTTACAATTTCTACAAAACCGAGCCCATTCGACACTTCGCACACCAATTTTGCTCCATATTGCCTCGCCGGCCGCTGCACAGGGGCTGCGCGTTGCAGTGGTTGTCTCGTCGGAATTTTAAACGTCAACTCCAACGTGACACGTCCTCTCGCCTGTCGCTCTCGCACTCGCGTCGCCCGCGTACGCGCGTCTCTGTCTACCAGGCAAACCTACTGTGACGTCAGCGAATCGCGGAAATTTTATTCTTGCAAAATTTACCAACCCATCAAATTTTTAAAACAAATAAAACGAGTTAATCACCTCGTTATACACTTTCTACTCATCCGTTTGTTCGTGTGGTGTCTTGCCAAGGAGCCGTTTACTACGGATTTTCGTACAAACAAATCGGTGCACCTGTGTCAGTCAGTAGATTATTTTCTTTTTGGTACTTTTACATCATTTTCGCCTTTATCGTTCACTTAATCCACGCAGAATTATTTCATTTGCTATCATCACTGGAAATTATTATTAGAAATGTTGCCGAGAATCATTATCAAATTGATAAGCCCACGCGTCTACAATGAAATTCCTTCGACTATGTACTTGAACTGCAAAAATTATTGTAGAAATATCCCACAGTTTCACAATCACATCTATTAAATTTTGGTACATTAATGGAATGCGTGCGACTGACGCTACTTTCACTCACATACTCGAAACAATATCTTCTTAAAACATTAAAACTTGTTAGCTGCTTTTATGAAACCGACACAATACAGAATTTCTCTATTTACAAGTTGTGTCTTCACTATGCGATTTTAATTTTCGCAACACATTTAAATCTTTACGACTTCCCGCTGCTTGCCCACTCATCGACTCTGTATACTCCATTCCAAATCAACATACCTAACTCGTCGGTTCGTTATTTTGTTTACGCATAGTTTTACTCGAGTGCTTTTGACACCTAACAAAATAAACACTCATATCACTGAGCATTTAAAATTAAGGAAAATCACGTTGATTTGAAACGGGAAATTCAATACTGCCCTCTGTACAACGCGCCAAAAACTATAAAATCAGTTCAATATTTTGAAAACTGTACTGCGACTTCTGAGAACTTACTACTCTATTTGCATAATGTGTAGTTTTTGAAATACAACTAATTATGTTTTAGTTTTGTCTCTAACTGAAATTCTAGTTTAGTAGAGCAGCTGACGTTAATTAATACGATGTGTTAATAGTTTTAGTTGTTTGATCGTTTTCTGAACAACAAATATGGTCATGTTGGTACGCATAGCGACTATTAGAGGGCACTGAAGGCGATAAAACGTCATTTTTTCACCTTTAAAAAAGTCATCTGTAGTTAATTACTGACATAAAAAGTAGGTAGTAGTTTCATGTAAACAAAGGCAGAAAACAATAGCACGTTTTAAGTAAATGTAATTTGCAATTAATCGGTGATAATATTTTTTAATTAGTACGAAAACGAAACGAAATTGAGCATTTGATTGATACGAAATTATAAGTAGACTTAAAAAAATGAGATAAGAGTTTCAGTAAAATGACTTAATTTTATGTTGTAATTTTTACTGTACAATTCAAATTCATACGAAAATTATTGATTTTTAGTTAAAACATTCTAGAAAATTTCTTGATAACGCTACGAGTATTTTAATCTATCTTCGATCACCAGAATGTCAAATAGTCATTTCTATTTAGTTTTAAATTCAGTTTTTGTATAAGGGTCACAGTGACATATAAATTAAAACGTCGTTTTCACCGGTTCCATACTTTTGGGCAACGTTGTACTCTCCTACGAAAACCATTTCCTTAAAATAAAAATCCTTGCATAAAGAAACAAAAATCTTTATATAACAAATAACAACAAGTAGTACCAAAAAAAATTTATTTTTGTTTACAAATACATAATTTACATTAAATTAGCAACTATAAATAGTTATGAATAATTAATCTTGGACAAACATCGCCACTTAATGTTGACGGATGTTATATATACATTATTTTTAATTCAAGTCTATTGTTTCCAACCGAACAATAAAAAAAACACCACGTAACAAAAGTGTGGAATCGAGTACCTCTACTTTGAAAATTATTGAATATTTGGAGTCGTGTAATTAATTTTTTATCCCAGTTATCACCTGGTGACAAATTTATGGACCTTATTTCTAAATCACTACACTGAGTGTGCTTTTATTTGATCGTTGTCTCTTTGTTTATAGTTTTACATTCTCTAGGAACTGCGTTATGGTTATCTCACTTAGATAGCGTTTAAGTTCTACACACGTCTAATTTTAGGATAGAGAGCTTTTTTTTACAGAAATCTCAGTCGAAACAATATGTAAGTCAAATTTCGCGCCAAATAACTAAAACGGTAATTATTCTTGCGTCAAAAGTGATATGTGGGACAATATTTTTCACTTATATTGTGTATCAAGAATATATTTTAAATTTGACTGAATTTATTGTTTAATAGTTAAGCCCTGTTCAGTCCACATTAAAACTCATTTTTTACAATAGTGTTTCGCAAAACTTTATAGCACGAAAAGGAAAATAATATGAGGTGTTAGCATGCTCGGAATAATCGCGAAAATATTGGGACTTTTATTCACAGACTATTGTAATGACATTTTAATGTTTTGACTCAACCACCAGCTGCAATGATTTTTTTTTAACAAAAAATTGTTAATTTACGATTATATTTTATATCAGTCTTATTTGCAATAAATATGAATAAAATATCTGTGGCTGCGTCTACGGAAGTACTTCTATAGTGACATTTCACTTACTCGCGCCCTTTTTTAAAATTGGAAATTATCATGCAGAAGACATTTCATTTGTTTTGGATTTAAAAAACCATACAACACTGAACATATTTTAATCCACTTTACACACAACTATTTTTATAAAAATTCTCTTTTTCTATAATTTACCTTAAAACAGTATAAATTTTAGTCGGCTTAATTTTCTTCTTTGTCGCAGAGACAGGAATAACAAAAAAATTTTGTTCAGTTTTTAAAAAGAACAATTTCGTTAATTTTACGCCAACGGGAAAAGAACCAAAATAAGCGTATCGAGAAAGTTTATACTGTTACATTTTATTTAGTAAACTAGAGAAAAACGACATTTTGAAAATCAAAACACCTTGTATAATTGGATTAAAATGGTAATCAATGTTTTATGCTTTTTTCGCACGAAGGCAAATCAAAAGTTTTGTGTGGAATGATAATCTTCCATATTTAAAAATGGCGACAATATTTTTTCAATATCACCGATAAAAGTGCAAATATCTTCAGAATTATCGTCCAGAGAGTGCTGATAACCTCGTATTGTTTTTTATCTTTACTGAGAACGATCTAATATGGAAAAATTTAGGGAATGTTTCAAATGAAACACAGCTTTTAGATTACACACTTAAATTGTCACTTCAAAATCGATAAAATTAAAATTGTACTTCACCACACGAGTGTGTAGAAGAATTTTGTGTTCATTGTGTTACATAACAGAAATTCCTGTGTGATACGAGGAATTAGGTACATTAAATATCCAAGGTACATGAATTACATGACAATTATAACAGTACGCATGCGCACTATCAAAAATATAGAACACTGTTTTCTTACCTGTAATGAAGTTGGTCTATTTAAGTACAAAATTACCTTGACAAAACTTAACCTGACTTTTCATTTTCTTCGGAATTCTACGATGTTGGTGGACTTACCTTATGAACACAATTATAAAAAAAATGTTATGAACAAGTCATGAATTTTTTAATACAGGTTCTGTTCTGTTAAAAAACACTAGATTTTCCACACTTTTGTTATACCCTGTACAACCACAAACATTGCTAATATCATCACAAAACATATTAAGCATTAGTCAGATCTTCACACAATGTAAAGTGATCATATGACCAAAAGTTGCATAAACCCACATCACACAGGAAAAATGGTTGACAGCAATTATCACAAATAAAATAAATGCAAATAAATAAGTAAACACAAAGAAATTGTTGAATTGCACTATTTTGTTTTTTAACAGCTGTTTCACGTGTGATTTTGATTATGAAAAATTTGTACTTTAAATTTAGCCACAGCTTTTGGGCTTTTTTTGAAATAGTTGGCAAACTGAGGTTAGGAGATTTTTTAAGATAGCAGATTGCTGCACAATGGTTTGGCTGCCATTGAGTTCAATAGTGGGAATAAACTTAACTGAAGGAATAAGGGAATGTGTCCTTTCTCCATAGGCTTTTAAAAGAGCGGTTCCACGGTCACCGTTGGCGCATTCGCCAATTGGAGTATACTCAATTTTTAATTCTTGTCCACACTGTAAACATCAAGTTAGATAAAACATACAACAAAATTGTGAACATACTTTTTCTCCTGCATCATCTGGTATCATGTTATCTTTAATCATACACTCTATATATTTTGCTGTGAGAAGAGGATCCTCCACTAAATCAATAACACAAGCATGAATCTTATTAGCAAAACATTCAACGGCATCATGCTGACAGTAAAACATAATCTTTCCATCACTTTCCACAGTCTGAAAATTAAGTAATATTATTGGGTTTATAAAACTATAAAACTAACCTTTGCTTTTCCATATGGTACAAAATCAAGTGTTATATAATCTTTCAAATCGTTATAAACGGGTAGGAGCTGATGAACGATGAAAAACTTTGAATCTGGACATAGCGCTTCATAATACACTGACACTTTCACTTTTTGGATTGTTTCAATATCGGCGTAAATTTCATTCTCTTCGTCAGATGAAAAGATTGCGAAGTGTTGAAAACATTTATAAATGATAACAACTATTAAAAATAGGAATAATAATCTATATTTCCCATTCATTCTTTTGTCACAGCATAATCTGAGTATTGTAATGACCACGTAATATCGCACTCCTACAAATAAAAATTAGTGGTATGTTAAAAACCATGAACTATTTATTGGGAGGGCGAAATTTAAACAGTACAACGAGAGCAAAGACGGTGATAACCTCAACCATACTCACTTAGTAATCACCAAAGACTTTCAAAGAATATAATTGACGTTAGAAAATCTTGTCAATAATTACACTATTACTGTATCAAGCAGTAATTATTAATTTACACAGACTTTTGTAATCTCTCGAATTATCTTTAAATATTGTGAGGTTATGGACGTTGACGTGTGTTTGACAAGTCCGACTTAAACCCGCCTAATTTGAATCAGCGGCGTTAAATTCGTGATTTTCACTTAAAATCGATTAGTGTTATTTGTACAACACAGTAACGTTGTTGGATAATCACAAAGTAATGACGCTTTTGATTCTCAGTCATGTTAAATTTAAAACGATAATCCAAATTTTGTAGGTTAGGTGGTGCTGGTTTGACAAGATGTACAGAACAATATTTAATTAAAAAACAATCCTTAATACATTTTTCATAAATGAAATCGAACTTTCGTTTAATGTAGAAACCATAACAATGCATAAAAAACTATAAATCGAAATTTTTATATAGATTAATATAACACCAAAATAATGATTTTAAAATATACTTTCGTGTTTTTAACACTGTTCTTGATGACTTTTGGCTACTTCGGGAATGTAGTGGACGATGACTGTTTTTGCCAGGTAAGCCCTTCTCCTTTTGTAATTAAAATTAATTTTGTTTGAAGCTTCACGGTAAAATAGACGACTGTACGTGCAATGTAGATACAGTAGACCATTTTAACAACGTAAAAATTTATCCGAGACTTCGTAGTCTGCTTCATAAAGGGTATTTTCGTTTTTATAAAGTAAATCTGAGACGACCATGCCCCTTCTGGTCTGATGATAGTCGGTGTGCAATCAGATATTGCCATGTGGAGACCTGTGAAGAGGAAGATATTCCCGTGGGATTGAAGGGAAGCTTGCTGTCATCACCAACGAAAAACCAAAACTCAGATTTGGTATGTTTTTGTTTGTTGTGTTAAAAAAAGCATCGTTGTAGGTTGTGCAAACAACGGTGGCAAAAGTTACGTCAATCAAATTTTTGCAGCATGTGACACAAAGTTGTAAGGATGACCACAACACCGAACTCGGGTACTTGAACACCACTATTAGTGCAAAAGTGCAAGAAGATATAGTTCTTTGGAGCGCTTATGATGACGCACAAGATAATTTTTGCGCTATAGAAGACAACGATAATGAATCCGAGTACGTTGATTTGCTGCTCAATCTTGAAAGATATACTGGTTACAGAGGAGAATCTGCACATCGAATCTGGCGGAGTATTTACATGGAAAATTGCTTCAGAAACACCAAAAGCGACAATCCCTATATTCATAGTTCAAAATTAAATAACATGTGTTTGGAGGAGCGGGCTTTCTATAGAGCGATTTCTGGTCTCCATACTAGTATCAATATTCACTTGTGTGCCCAATATTTACTCGCTGATGGTCTAACTGAACCTAATGGAAAATGGGGACCGAATTTGAACGAATTCCAAAACAGATTTTCCAAAGAAAATACACACGGGGAAGGTCCGCACTGGTTGCGGAATTTGTATTTCGTGTACTTGTTAGAACTGCGGGCTTTAAATAAGGCGGCTCGTTATTTATCAAAAGAAGAGTTTTATACAGGGAATGAATCAGAAGATTGGGATACGCAGCTTGCAGTGGTCGACCTTTTGAACGTTGTTAAGAAATTCCCGGATCACTTTAATGAAAGTAGCATGTTTACAGGGAGCGACCAAGCTGAAAAATTGAAGTATGAATTCAAGCAACATTTTAGAAATGTTTCGAAAATTATGGACTGTGTGGGCTGCGATAAATGCAAATTGTGGGGAAAGTTACAAGTAAGGAAGTTGAATTGTGGGTAGGTAATACTAATACATAAATATTTATATATTTTTTTAGATACAGGGTTTAGGAACTGCGCTAAAAATCCTGTTCTCGGGAAAGTTTGACGAAAGTTCCGACTTGACATCACTCGATAAAAGAAAATTTCAGTTGCAGAGGAGCGAAATAGTTTCTTTGGTTAACAGTATAGGGCGGTAGGAAAATATACCAAATAAGTATAATCGTTTAACTTGAACATTATTATAGACTGTCTACCAGTATCTACGAACTAGATGAATTTCGTCAAATGTTGCGATGACGACGACACTAATTTTATACCAAGTTGATTTACTGCGCAAGCGCATGTGGGACCACTTGTCAAATTGACTCCACCCTTCCGTTCCCCGGTGACGTGTCAATTTAAAAAGAACTGATGTTTGTGTTTACAGTTTTGCTCTATTTGTGAATTAGGCAAATATACCTTATTTTTAAAAAAGATTTTTATTAACGTATCTGCAAAATGTAAATTTAATTTGACAACTGACAAAAGTTCATCAACCAGTGCGAGATAACAAGTACAAAATTATTGTCTGCGATATCGTCGGCATCTCCATCTTTCACTTTCGTCATGGTGTATCGCTTGATGATGTCAGTTTCGCTTTGGGACACTGGCGTTGTAGACCTTGGTGTCGCCACCATCGCGTGGTATTGTTCACCAGTCCGTTTTCTCACAAACTCAGCAAAGAACTGTATCTCAGAACTCAGTTCCCGCTTATACGAGAACAAAACTTCCCCGTTTATATTCCTCATCGTGTAAAAAATCTCGCAAGCTAGAAACGTCATCAGCGCCTCTACCGAATTCTTGACAACGGTATAATCCAACTGCGAAATAGCAGAAGTCGAACCCGAAAATTCCGACATGTCATAGTGTAGGAAAGAACTCAATTTTTCGTTAGGCAAATCGTCGCTTCGTTGCAAGTAAACCATAAAACCGGTATAGGGTTCATACACCGCTGTACAATGCTCGAAGATTGTCCCTAAACTCTTAATTTTAATTTCGTCGTTGAGCTCCGTTAACGAAATCTGACGAAGTTTTGGTGCTGCGCTGGGTGTGGTCGGAGATAACTACAACAAATTGTTACAAAACAACTCGGGAGGATGCACTTAATACCTGATTGAGAGCTTTACACAAGTAATCCGCTAAACACAAAATGGCGCCGTATGTTAACTTGGATGTAATTGGTAGTTCAAATCGTGGCACGCTGAAATCATTATCAACCAATAGGGTGATCTGTTCCAATAAATGTTGGGTGTTGAATTGCGCAACTGGGTCGGGTTTGGTCTTCCTCAGACAGCTAGAACTCCAATAAATTATCTCCATTATTCTAAAAATTGAAATTAACTAAAGTGCAACTATATTGGGTTTGAATTTACTTATTTAACACCGACACTAGTAAATCCGTGGATGGCGAACTTATAATGTGTAAATCTTTCTGGTCTACGCGCTTATAAAAATTGATTTTTTTGTAACCTAAAATTGATAGAATGCACGCGTTTACTGAAATTTTAACGCCGTCCTGAAACACAGTACTTGTAGTCGTTGCAGTACGTTGTGAAAGTACTTACCATTACCGCCTCGTACGAACTTGGATGCTCTACGCACCAATGTGGTACTATGTGCAAAATAATATATACTAACTTTAAGGCTTCACAAACTAGAGTTAAGGCAGTCATATCGACTGTAAACTTTGTCAGAGTAATTATTTCTCTCAATAACTGGTCGTGTTCGGTGATGAAAGTAAAACAAGTTTGGAAAATTCCACCCCCGATTTTTTCTAGAAGAGTGCGGTTGAGTTTAACTATGGTAATACAAATCAGCCACCACTCTCGTAAAAATACGGGGACTCCGCGCTGAAACAAAAACGAATGACGTCACAAATTGCTGAACAACGAAACTACTACTGCTTTACCGAAAGTGCTTCCGCTACACTGGTGGTAAGCTGTGGTGGCCGTACTTTGTAGTAAAAAGTGAATAAATCAACTTTTAAAAAATCTGTAACTAGGGGTGACTCTGCATACGTGATCATAAAATCAATCGCCAATTTGGCGAATGGTAAAGTCGATTTGTGTTGTAACATATATCCGGCACTTTCCATGACTCGTGCCAAAAACATCCGATAATTAAACCACACAGCTATTTCTTGGACATTATTAAGCTCCATGAGAGAATTCCCAATAAAAATGATAATCAACCAAGGTCGTAAATGTCTAACTTTTTCTAGTTCGTCTTTAACTAACCAACCTTCGGCGACTAAATATTCGTACTCTGTGTCGATTAAACTACCAACACAATATATAAAACTAACTAAACTGCTAGTATTCGTACTGAAGTAGCTTTTCATATCAACCACAGTTCTATAAATGAGACATAAAACAATCTCTTTTACTTTCGGCGAAAGATACTTATAATAAACGTTCAACGAACGCACAAACGTCATTAATTTATTTAAAACGCTGCTTTGCTGCTTTTCATGAATCCGCCATGTTGTCGTCAACATCAAGAAAAACTGCGACCACAAATAAATAGATTCGATGTTATTGAAACCACCTTCGGGGATATTAATTCCGTTTAAACACGAGTGGATTAAAGCGGATTTAATATCGTCGTCGAAACTTCGCACCATAACTTTCTTCGTCACGACTAGAAACTCCATCCAGGCACTTAGTAAGTCAAGATTGTTCTTCGCGTTGGACTCGGTCGAACGAAGCACAAACGCGATCCACTTCTTAATTCTCTCTTTGTCTTTCAAAAACTTGTCGATTGTCTTCACTAAATTATCTTCAACGCTGTCTATATTAACCCCTACCTCTATATTGATTATCTTAAGTATAGTGGTGTAAACTTCGACGTCTTGGACGAAATCACAGAAGAAAGGATCGACCATCACGGGCCAAAAGTCCTTCAAGTTGGCGATGTTATCAATCAAGTTTTCGCGGTGGTTTAACCATAAGTTGTGCAAAAGGCGAAGAATGCCGAGTTGTAGAGGGTTTTTGAAGTACTCGTGGGACTGGAATTTGACCAAAAGCACGAATTATACAATGTAATTATCGAAGGTACGTGAAAAAAGCGGGTGGGGCCTTGACCACTAGACCACGAAGCCGAAAACCGATGACGTACCTTTTTGATGTTTTGTAAATAGTCGACCATGAAATCACTGACGCTGTCGCCGCTGAACAGATCGTCGTCCGTGCCATCCCAATACATAAAACATTTTAGATTGAAAAAAGCAGCTGTCATGCCATTTTGGTGCGACACACACGTGTTTATTAAGTCAATAATGGCAATTTTGACAGTTTCTTCTTCCAACGGGTCTCTCAATCTTTCTAGAAACAGCGACTGGACTTGATAATGGTCTAGTTCTAATAACGCTAATAACGGAATATATCTGTCCTAAAATAATTTTACAGTGTATACACACAGTTAACAGTGTAACTAACCTGAGCCAACTTTTCCAAAAACCTGCACGACAATTCTGCTATGACAGGACTGTAAGAATTGGTGAAATACGACGCCACTGGTTTAACAACAAACTGTAATTTGTCGTTCAAGGCACACTTTGCAACAGTTTTTCTTTGGTTCATGATTAATAACAATAGGGCCAACTGCATTCGAATGCACTTGAGTCGGTCTAAAGACGGCCCGGCAATCCAGTTCGACTCGCGCTCCATTAAAAAAATCAAATGATACTTTTCTTTAACAAACAAATGCAAAAATGATTCTATTATGTAAATATTGTTTAAAAATGCGTGTTGGCAAAGATAAAAAATTTTGCGCTCGGCTTCATTCAAATCATTAACGTCTTTCTGCAACACGTAGTGGAAAATATTTAAACACCCTAGTGTGATTTGGGTTTTTTGGTTTTCATCATTGTAAGCCCACGTTTGGTGTTGTATAAAAACAAAATTTAACAAGTAGGCGATTCCGGATAATTGGAAATTGCGGAATTGTAACTTAACCTAAAAACGACAATTAATATAATTAAATTCAATTAAATTAAAATCGTACTTTTATGATGTTGTGTAAAATCTTGATATAGGTTAAGAGTAAAGTGTGATCTTCTTTAAATTCTTCTTCTTGGAACAACTTCATGAAAATCGTGTCCTCAAATATGTATTGATTGAATAATAGTTTTTTAACGTCAACGATACACTCGACTCGTAGTTTCGGGAAAAATATTTTCCAAACTATTTCTGGACAAATTTCAAAAAACGTGCTTTGTCGGTACAACATCATCGCGTTTTGTACGTCAAAGTACAACTTTACTAAATTAATATGTAACAACGGACCGTCTAAGTGGAGTAACATTTTGTCCAGTTTTTGAATGACCCTCTCCAAGCCTACTATTTTCAAATCCATGTCAATGCAGCACATCACCCCTTGTACTACAACCCCATAGCCCGCAATCACTTTCCTGACTAACTCTTCATCAAACTTTCGTTGCGCGACGCCAACTGTCAATAAACAGTTCACTAAATATTCTAAGTAAAGAAAATAACTGTAAGACGCTCTATACTGAACCAAAGTTTGCCCAAATATCCCGTATGACCTTACTATTGTATTTGGTTGAAAGATGATTAAATCGCTATCAGTAAAAGCAGGCTGACTCTTCCGCAGTATCGAAATTTCGTCTTTGGCAATCGTCCACGTCATCTCGGATAAAAACGACGGAACGTTATTCAACAGGTGGACAGTCTAACAAACACAAAAATGAACATTGTTATAAATAAATTAAAAAAAAGTTACTTGTTTGTATTGGCTGTGCTGACCAAGCAAAGAGTGAGCGATTGTAGTAAATGAAAAAAAATCAAACGGGAAGGCTTCAATTGCGATTTCCACCAAAGTATCAAGTCCGTTTCTTGTTTTCAAACACAAATCAGCCAATTTTGACACTTTCAAAATTTCACCCAGTATACCTATTACTCCATTTTCTTCATAAAAAGCTTTGCGGTCGTCGTACATTAAACAAAACTCGTCTAACATTTTGTGCACCGCGGTTAAAACAACGTCTCCAACTGAGCAGTTCTAAAAAAAAATATTTAAACAAAAGTACACTTCAATTTTTTTTTACCTTAAAAACGTTGCTTGATACAAGTGAACGCAATAAAACAAAAGGTTGCATTGTCATTACTTCTACAATACTTTGACTGTCTTGATCATCATGTAATGACTTAAACTTTAAAACTAGCCATGTGAGCATGATTATAGTGTGTGCAGGTTTGAAATGTAGACCAGTTAAACAGTCATCGAGTTCCTTTGTTGTTGAATTTTTCCAAAAGTCAGTCAAGTCCTTGTCCCTACAATACAACAATTAACACTGCTTTTACAACCCAGAAACTCACCAATAATTTTCCAAAATCACAAAATAACACCCAATTTCTGTAAACATCAGTTCTTCTAAATCCCTCTTTGATAGATATTGGCGTAATTCATAGACAGGTGGCGTTGTGCTAAAATTATTCTGAACAAACAACATAACAAGTTGAGTTAGTTGCGCCACAGTTAACTTTTTTTGCTCTATTGTAAGTATAATAATGGACAGAATTTCACACTGCTCCCTAATATTACGACACAACCAATTCTCCAAGTGCGGACTTTTGTCATCTAAATGTTTTGAGCTAAATTCACCAATAACTATCTCAAATTGTTTGATTAAATTGTTTTGTAGCTCCTCCATTTTAATACCGCGCACAAATTCCTGATACTGTTGAGCAAATTCATAATCTTTATTTACAAATTCAAAGACATGTCGCCACGTTTTTAAAAGAAACATTCTTTCAGCTGTGTAAAAATTCCAAATGCTTTCTTTTAAATGAATTGTGGTTCCTATTCTAGTGATCTGCCAAAACTCTTTAATTTTGCCGTAATACTCAAACATGAGGTAGTTGCACATGATCATGTAAGCAAGGTTGGTGTCTAAATTCTATAAAAAAATAAATAAGTAAGTAAGAAAAGTGACAAGTGAACACTTACAAGATCCTGACTTAAGTCATGCACAAACTCCTTCATGTAGCTGCTCACGTTCGAGTTCGCAATCCAATCGTCGTAGCCCTGTCTCGTGTACGATTTATAAGTAAGCAAACCTTCCAATAACTCATTTTTAGATAGCTTTAGTATTTCAGCAACAATATCTTCTGTTATGTTGTTACTATACCCAGAAACTGTTTGGTGTATTTTTTTCCAAAACCTGTACAAAAATCGTCATTTCGAGCCAATACGAACGTGCAAACTTACGGTGTCGTGCTCATTTTTATTAAATAACCAAACAACCATTTAAAACATTTAAAACAAAAACTTGTCACAAAGTGAGGTTAAAAAGCCGTTGCTGCTTTCGCTGTAGGGGATTTGTTTTCCCGGCGTTGTAGCCCGTTTAACTCGACGCAATCCTTGCGTAATGATGACGCTCGCTACTCACTTGTGTAACTACACTCGTCAACGTAAAACCACCAAAATCCCCTAGCTTGCTACGTGTTTATGCAAACGTCAATTTTCACTTGTCTCAATGTGGAGGTGTAATTAAAGTAAATATTTTTTGAATAAAACTGTGCCGGTTGGGGTTATTTGGACACTATTTGTATTCATGGAGTAATCTTGGTTGATTTTTAGCCTAATAATAACTGCTTTTATGGGTTTAAACAACTGTTTTGTGTGAAGTGGACATAACCCTAAAGACACGTCAGCTACACATATTTGCGAATTTTTTAAAATGTTGACGAAATTTGAGACGAAATCGGCCCGTGTGAAGGGGCTGTCGTTCCATCCGAAGCGTCCGTGGATTCTAGCCAGGTGAGCGCTTGTTTGGTTTTTCTAATAAGTTAGGTTAAAACCACCTAGATTTTCATTTTAAATTATTATGGTCAATTTTTAAATGGGTACACATTATGTGCCCGGAGCACAATGGATCAGAAGAGAATTGTTGTTCATTTACTTTAGACCAGTTTGCCAACTTTTACTTTCATGTAAGAAGTGCTCGATAAATAATGATTAATTATATGTTTTTTTATGAAGAGACGTTTCTGGTACAAGGTCGGGTTTAAGGATTTTTTGTGCCCTTGGATGAGAACGTTTTCAAAATTTTTAGGCTATGAAACGACCCTTATTTTCGATTTCGTGCATTATATTATTTTTAGAGTGATGGTCACATTATAGAAATATGTTGGTAAATTTAAGGAAGAAAGTGAGAGTAATCACAATCACTAATGTTGAAATATGGAACAATTTGAAATATTACCTTTCAATTGTGTTTTGTGGTGAACGATAAAATCGGAATTATGATTTTTCAGAGAAGTCGGATTTATTTGGCTGCACTTCAGGGCGAGGGAAGTTCTGTTTACATTCTTAAAAGAGGGACATTTGGTGTATCACAAATTGTCCCAAAAATGAAACTAAAAGTCTCAAGATTGTCCTAAACTCTTCCAAAAATGCAGAACCCGCGTTTTCCAAAATTATACCGAAAATAAAACACTAGGATCCCTCAAGATATTTTCCAATTCTTAAAAAAAGACACTTGGACTCCAAAGGTACCATCAAACTCCTCAAAAAACACCAGGAGCTTCCAGAGATTATTTCACATTCTTAAAAAACGACATCAAGGATCCCAAAAATTTTGAAAAGTGTAACGTTTTTCCAAACTTTTTTTTTTCCAGAAGGTATGTCATTTTCCAAAATCAGTCTTATCCTATTAAATGCTAGCCCCGCCCACCCGCCCGTTTTTTTCCAGAGGATAAGTCATTTGCCAAAATCAGTCTTATCTTATCAAGTACTAGCCCCGCCCACCCGCCCCCTATTTTTTCAGAGGATATGTCATTTGCCAAAATCAGTCTTATCCTATTAAATACTAGCCCCGCCCACCCGCCCGGTTTTTTCCAGAGGATAAGTCATTTGCCAAAATCAGTCTTATCTTATCAAGTACTAGCCCCGCCCACCCGCCCCCTATTTTTTTCAGAGGATATGTCATTTGCCAAAATCAGTCTTATCTTATGGAAGCACTAGCCCCGCCCCCTATTTTCTCGGAGGATATGTCATTTGCCAATAAGTTTTACCTTAACAAGTACTACTTACATCTTGCCTTTTTGTTTTAATATGTGTAGACTTCCTTTCACAACACGAAATTTTAAACATGTTTAAACTGGAAATTTTGTGTAAGGAAATATCGATTTTGTAATTAGGCTCCGCCCCATAATTGCAAAATTCATATTTTCTTGCAAAAATGTACCATTTAACCGTGTTTTAAGTTTCTTGTTGTAAAAAGATGGCTGTGTATATTAAGAAATAAATGGCAAAATATAAGCCCCGCCCTATGTCAATTCTGATGATTTTTTTATTCATCGTCCGACGAGGGGCGGAGCCTAATTGCAAAATCGATACTTTCCTACAAAAATTTCCCATTTTAAAGATATTATACCTTTCTAAGAATAAAAAAAAATATCACAATTGAAGTGGGGTGGGTGGGCGGGGTTTATATTTTGTCTTTTTTTTCTTACTATACATAGTATTCTTCGAACAACACGGTATTCAAAAACATGTCTTTAATTTCTTGCAAGAAATAAGTATTATGCAGTTAAGCCACGCCCCCTTGTTTCTCGGCGAATAAAAAAAAATCATCACAATTGAGATAGGGTGGGTGGGCGGGCGTACATTTTGCCTTTTTGTTTTAATATGTGTAGATTTTTTTTTCACAATATGAAACTTAAAACATGTTGAAAGTGGAAAATTTGTATAAAGAAATATCGATTTTGCAATAATTGCAAAATCCATATTTCCTTGCAAAAATGTACCATTTATACTTGTTCTAAGTTTGTTGTTGTGAAAAGATGGCTATGTATATTAAGAAAAAAAGCAAAATATCAACCCCGCCCACCCAATAAATTTATGAGGATGTATGAAATTTATTGTTAAAAAATGTGTTGGAATCTGTCAAACGATGAGTCGGTAAATTGTCGGCGTGTTTGAGCAGCTACGCTGTCTGAGACTATTCAGGGAAAAGTAGGAAGTAAAGCTAAATTACATTTCAACCTCAAGTTTATTTATATGTATAAATAATTGTGATAAAAATCAAGGCGGCTTTATAAACCACGAGTATATGGAACGTCGAGAAACCCTAAAAACCGCGATTCGCCGGATGGATCCTATTACAATACTTCCTTAGGTTACGCTCGGGAAAATGAAATCTTAAAATTTGCAGACATTTTACAATTATCGTAAATCCTATTAATGTGTGTAAACTATTTTAGCATATTTTTTTTTATAAAATCGGGTCATTTCCGAGGATGAGGAAAATTCATTCTAAACTCTTTTGATCGATTTTAAAACTTCCCTAGCGTAAGCTAAGAAAGTATTGTAATTGTAATATTTCATGTCGGTGTCTGTAAAAAAAACTACTGGATCGATTGTCAATTTTTTTCTAACCATGCCCACCAACCAAAAAATGACGTCATCTTCAAAATTACCATAGTAAGAACTGTTTAAATTTTATAAAATAAAATACTCTTGTATTCGTAGTTTATGAATCCGTGTTGAGTTTTTATTACCGAATAAATGTTGTTTTTGAATTTTGTCGAATTAGATTTGCTTATACAGTGATTGAAAAAAATTAATGAATCAGTCGAACGACCCCATTTTCTCTAAAATGTGAGAATACGCTCGCCTGTATAACAATAAAATAATGATAAGGTAAGAATTCAAATCCAACAAATGTCTACGTGACATTCTTCCGATGTATAAACATCAACATTCTAAACACTACGCATATTGCTCAGATACCATTATTCCCGTTCATAATGTGCTGTAAATATAGTTTACAATGTCCGTACTTGTGTAGAGACGGTTTATACGGATATGCTTGTGATGCTGGACCATCAGGCCCCCGAAGTTAAGCGACCACTTCTAGCCTAAATGTTACGGAAAATACAATTTATGTCATAATTTTGTTAAAAAAATACTATCTAAATTGTGCAACATATAATGAGTCTATACTTGTGCATACTTTTCTAAACAGCAAGAGTGAAAGTAGAAACTATATTGATTATCAAGTTCATCGTTTGTAAATATTTTGCAGCGTGCATTTAAAAGTCAACAATCAGTACATGATATTTTTTGTTTTTTTAGACTTTTGTTAACATTGTATCCCTGTAATACCATTTAATCGAAAAAAATTCTAGCAAGCCGTGCTATTCATTTTTAAGATAATGATGTTGGCAACAAATTGCACGGCCTACTGGATGAGTTTTGATCGATCCTATGGTATAAGAGGTTAATGTAAATGTTAATCAAATCAGTGAATTAGCGAAATTGTTGTTAAGAAAAAACACAATAGTTTAGTGATATTTATTGAGCCACAGTAGAAATTCCAATTGAATTAATTTTAAATTACCTAAACAATTTTATTTTAATGAGTATCATTTAACATAAATATTCTATTCCTTACATACTGAATATAGCTTCGGTTGATTTTTTAAACATTAGTTTTTATTAGTTTGTTAGGAACTTTTAACGAATGCAGAAATGTCGATTCAATGATGGTTAGCCGCAGATCACTTCGATTGTGTCATGGGAAACTTTGGTAACCTTAATATTCTACAATTATTGTCTAAACAAATAAACAAATTGATAATTTATTTTATTCTACTAAATCCCTTCATTTTACACTTGAGTCGTGGTTTCGACAGTTGTAGCTTCCTCATTGGAAGCCGTGGACTTCTCTTCACCGGTTGATGAGCTTTCGGTCGATTTAGTTTCAGCGGCAGTTTCCGTAGTACTACTAGCTTGTGGCGCTTCAGAAACCGTAGTGGATTCACTCGTCTCATTCGCTTTGATAATATTATCAACATCGTTGATCACGACTTTCGCGTTGACAACACTCTCAGCAGCCTGGGCTTCCTCCGGAGCAGCCGTAGTGGTCGTCGTCGTCACATTACTCGTACCATTCGCGATTTTCAGCGCCACGTCCAACGGAACAGTCGCCGCCGGGAAATTGCTGTAAAAATTAACAATCCCCGGCGTCAAAGTTTCAAAGATCTTCTGGAAGTCCACCGGCTGCAGCACGCTTTGGATTTTCTCTCCCGCGTCGGGTACTGCATTCACGTCGATGATGTCGGACGCCAAACTCCTCGCTTTCCCGACGGGCGACTCCAGCACATTCTTGCGGAAGTTGGGGAAGTCCTTGAAGTTGCGCAGGCTTTCGGCTTCGGCACCTGTGACGTAAAACACGGTGGCACTGCCCCCGTTTTGGAAGTCGGTGCGGTAACCGAAACCACGGAACTCGGATGAGGGGGCGGAGGGTATGTTGTAAGTGACTGAAGCTGCGGAAGTGCTGCCGGCTTGACTTTGCGGTAGGGTGTAAGCGAGTGGTGACACGGCGGGAAGTGCTGGCAGGTAGGGTTGGGGGAAGTACGGCGAGATTTGAGTGAGGGGGGTGTAATGTGAATAGTAAAATTGAGATTGCGCTGGGGCGATCCAAACGCAACATGCACTCACCAGCTGAAAAAAAAAACAAAATTAGTTCAAGGGGTATTGGTTTTTGGAATTTCAAGATGGCGGCCGGGGATTTTTTCGAACAGATTGTTTTAAGTAGAGCGCACACATACATTGGTTTGTGTTTTTGCCTTCTTTTTTTATTTTTTATATGGGTGTATCCGGGAAAGGCCCGCTATAATTGGTACCAAAAAACGACAAAGGTTGGTGCACTTGTTGCAGCTTAAGCTCCCACTGGTACACTTTTTACTGAACTAGTTTCGTCGAAAAGTGTCTCAAGGTTTATTAAAGCGCACCGAAACCAACACAAAAACAAAAAGTATAATTATTTATTAGCGTTTTTCTTTTTTTTTTTTTTTTTTCTCTTTTTTTTATAATCTGATTGCGTTGTTGCTACGCGTGCTTTATTATCCTCACCCGCTGTTCGCCGATATCGCAAGTGGAAAAACTAGTTTTAAGAGCATTGTTCTGTTCGGTTCCTCCACTTTTCGAAATACAAAGACGAAAGTACCACCGTTTGACGCAATCCTAAGACAATAATTGCCTGAAATTTACGTTGATCCAGTTCAAAATCGTAATTAAATTTAAAATGTCAACAACCAAACAAGACCCGCCTCGTTCTTTCTTCATTAACAGATGAAATTCAAGGTTGTCGAAATATCAACGAAGGCCACTGTCGGTATTTTCCCGTGTCGTAAGTACTTATTTTCAATTTTGGATAAGTCATCGGGTACTTTTTTTAAATCGACGATGATGTTTTGCGATGTCGCTACAGTTTTTGCAGCAATTATTTTAAACGGAATTATTAAAGCCGCTTATGGGTAATGTTCTTTTAATTTTTAAATTGGGATGGGCGTGTCAACCAAAAACTGAAGTTAAATGTCATGATGTGTTATTTTTCCGTATCGAAAATAATGAATATTAATAATTGCACAACGAGTAGGTAATTGAATTTAAGTGCCTAATAATTATTTGTTTACTATGGATTAAAATTGCGACTAAAATTTTAATATAAATGGACAACGTTACAATTTTTAATTAGTTTTTTGTAGTTTTGTAGCAATTAGAATTAATTTAATTTTCCGTTAACTGTTTTCACTTTTACATACCAAATTTTAAGTATGGTTATTATTACTATTATTTAAGAAAAGTAAATGTCTTAGATGGAAAAATTGATTTCAGTCTTTGAAGCTATTCTCTTTTTGAAATATTTTATTAAGGTACAGTGTGCGTCTAAAGGCTGGAACCATGTTTTAATAATTGGCATTATTTTTATTTTGTATTGACTTTTTTGATTTTTTTGAAATTAGTACTATGAAAGTTTGTTTTTCCAGAGAAGATATTAACAGTACAAAAGAAATACATGAATGAGTTAACTTATTTTGAAGACTGATGGCCGTTCCAATGGAATATTCCTCCATGGAGCAATGTAGAAAACATTAGTTTATTAAATTTTTGATGGGTAGTTCCATAAAAAAAATAGGGTGGTAGGGATACCTCACAAAAATAAACGCATCAATAGTGGTTACCGATTGTAACTCGATCCCGTCATTATACTAAACCCCGCTAATACAATAAAAATGCGTAATCTCGTGCCGTTTCTTCATGCAAATTTCTTCGATAATTAGGGGTTACCCTTTAATTATAGTAATAGTTTGAACCTTGAAGCACCAATTTAAGATCGAACCCGAGTGATACGATTGACGGTTATAATCTAACACTAGTCGCAATTAGGTACTATCCAATAAGAAAAGAATAATTAGTCTTAAAATCACTCAACACTTACGAGGTAGTACACCTTCATGATGGGGTCAGCCACTTAACTTAACGCGACAACGAAGTCGGCAATGTGTAACAACTGGTTAATATTTGGGAATCGACTTGGAATTTATAGCATCGGATCTTGTTTCCCCCGTCCTCAATAACGTGCTCCAAATTAGAGGGTACCAATGTATGTGTGAAGTACACCGGCTTATTCAGATTGTAGACGAAACCAGTGTGGATCTAAAATTAGTCATCGGACAGGGTGGTACCCGGGTGCCACTAAGTGAGCAATTTATATGCGTATTTCGAAATTCATTATCATATCCTGATAAGAGATAGAAAAAGTGGGCAATCCTGTTTGGATTCGACGGCATGGAAAGTACCCCGGTGTCGGATGTACCCCGAACTGACCTTAGTTGGGGTGAATGAAGATTGCGTCAAAGCATAATTAATTTAGCGTGTAATTATAATGAGCGTAATGTTTTGTGTGTTGTAAATATATTTCCGTTGATTTATCGTTGCTCTATAATTTTTAACTATCTAATAAGCAGTCAAAGTCGTTTAAACAACTGATATTTCTTAGACGACTTATCTATTGATCTTTTTTTATTGCTACCATGCTTTTTTATTTTTTCTTTATTGTTGTTTGTAATTTATGTAGTTTTAAGCAATTGGTGTCTGGAAAAGAAGGTGAACAACAATTCATTGAATGTTCTTTTTTATTGCGGGTGTTCAAATACCACTTTTAGGGCGGTTAACTTGTATTGTAGTGACATTTACATTGGTGTTTAATTTGAAGAGGTGCATACGAATTCGGAGAAATTCACGTGACCTTTAAGGCCTTTCCCTCTCAGTCACATAGGACAACCAGTTGACCAGTTGATGCCTACGAGATGGGAAACGCCCAAACCACATCTCTAATACCAGATTCTGTTTGGCAATTTAGTGTTTAGATAATGAACAATGTGATCTACATTTTATATATCCTCTTGCCACATAAATCATCGCGTTACTAAATTCGACCTTTACGTATTAGCCACAATTAACTATTTTGCAATTGTTAAAATAATAATTAATAACTGTTTATCATTTAGCTTGCATAATGGATCCATTCAACTTTGGGACTATCGCATGTGCACTCTGCTCGAAAAGTTTGACGAACACGATGGTCCAGTCAGAGGCATTTGTTTCCACAACCAGCAACCCTTGTTCGTCTCAGGGGGTGACGACTATAAAATTAAAGTAGGCGAAACTCGTTTAACGTTTCTGTTGTAAATGTCACGACGGGCTGCAAGCTCCCAATAAATATCTAGCGTGGTTCGATGTCGCTTTAACTCATTTGATTTTGCAACGACAGACACCTATAGACACATCCATTAAACCCGATCGGAGAAATACCGCCCAAAAATTGACATTTACCAACAGAAACGAGTCACTTTTTCTACAACACGCGTTATCCTAGGTCTGGAACTACAAACAAAAACGTTGCATTTTCACTTTGTTGGGTCATCTCGATTACATTCGTACTACCATGTTCCACCATGAGTACCCTTGGATCGTGTCAGCCTCTGACGATCAAACTATCCGCATCTGGAACTGGCAAAGTCGTACCTGCATTTGCGTTCTGACAGGTCACAACCATTACGTAATGTGTGCGATGTTTCACCCGTCGGAGGACCTATTGGTGTCTGCGTCACTCGATTCCACGGTCCGAGTCTGGGACATCTCCGGTACTTTTCCAAACCCTCTCTCTCTATCGCTCTAATCGTCCAGTTTTAAGGCTTACGCAAGAAAAACGTCGCCCCGGGTCCCGGAGGGTTAGAAGAGCATTTGAAAAATCCCGGTACTACCGACCTGTTCGGGCAAGCCGACGCCGTCGTGAAACATGTTCTTGAAGGCCACGATCGTGGGGTAAACTGGGCTTGTTTCCACCCCACTTTACCTTTGATCGTGTCGGGTGCCGATGATCGACAAATCAAACTGTGGCGCATGAACGATTCCAAAGCATGGGAAGTGGATACCTGCCGCGGACACTACAACAACGTTTCGTGCGTTCTGTTCCACCCTCGCCAGGAACTACTCCTTTCCAACAGCGAAGACAAAAGTATCCGGATATGGGACATGGCGAAGCGCAATTACTTGCACACTTTCCGCAGAGAACACGACCGTTTTTGGGTTTTGACCGCGCACCCGAATTTGAATTTGTTTGCCGCCGGACACGACACAGGCATGATAATATTCAAATTAGAGCGCGAACGGCCTGCGTACACCGTCCATGGTAACTTCTTGTACTACGTCAAGGACCGCCATTTACGGAAACTCGACTTTACGACTTCGAAGGATATCCCGGTTATCCAGATTAGAGGCGGAGGGAAGACCCCCGTTTTTAGAATGTCGTTCAATCCTGCCGAAAATGCAGTTTTGTTGTCGATTCGGTCCTCGAATGTGGACAACAGCACGTACGATTTGTACACCATAGCTAAGGAATCGGAGCGGGAGGACCAGGTTCCCGAAGCCGAAAGCAAAAGGTCTTCGGGTTTGACCGCATTGTGGGTCGCCCGGAATAGGTTTGCGGTATTGGATAGGTCGCATCAACTCGTCATCAAAAATTTGAAGAACGAAGTGACCAAGAAGGTCCAGACACCACCTTGCGATGAGGTGTTCTACGCCGGGACTGGGATGCTGTTGCTACGGGACCCGGAACATGTGACGTTGTTCGACGTTCAACGTAAACGGACGCTGGATCAGGGTGAGTTCGTTGGATTTATAGAATAGAAACCGAGATTAGTACTGGACTAGAATCGTATTACGTGAAAATGTCAGGTTACTCATATAGAATTGTTAACGATATGGGTGGATTTCCCGAGTTGCGACTTTTGGTGTAGGTAACGAAGTCAAGGTTTTGCGAAAACAAATGAACAAGTCTCGGTCGAATCGAGGTGACGGGTCACCGTACCTTGGTTGCTCAAGTCGCGACATTATCAGAAGTCGTACCTCTGTCCCAACCAACCAAATTTACGTTTCCTTATTTTTAGTCAAAATAAACAAATGCCGGTACGTCGTGTGGTCCCAGGACATGAATTTCATAGCTTTGTTAGCTAAGCACTCTGTCACAGTTTGTAACAGAAAATTGGAAGTGTTGTGTTCTCTTCACGAGAATACAAGAGTCAAATCGGGAGCTTGGGATGATTCTGGAGTTTTCATTTATACCACCAGTAATCACATCAAGTATACTTTGATTCACGGGTAACTAGTTTTAGGATGACGTTAACCGAATTTAATCGAGTTTTTCTTTAGCGATCATGGCATAATTCGCACTCTTGATTTGCCAATTTACATCACAAGGGTCAAGGGAAAGCACGTCTTTTGTCTAGACAGGGAGTGTAAGCCTCGGGTCCTGACCATCGACCCTACCGAATACAAATTCAAGTTATCCCTGATCCACCACCGTTACGACGAAGTCCTATACATGGTTAAGAACTCCAGACTTGTAGGTCAAGCTATCATTTCTTACTTGCAGCAGAAAGGTTACCCAGAAGTAGCACTACACTTCGTCAAGGATGACAAGACTCGTTTTACTTTGGCTTTGGAGTGTGGTAACATCGAAATAGCGCTAGATGCAGCCAAAGCTTTGAACGACAAAATGTGCTGGGAACAGTTAGCCCAAACTGCTTTGTGGCACGGCAACCACCAAGTAGTCGAAATGTGCTACCAACGCACCAAGAGCTTCGAAAAACTGTCGTTCCTATACCTAATCACCGGAAACCTAGACAAGCTACGAAAGATGACCAAAATCGCTGAAATCCGAAAAGCTAGATCTTCGCAGTACCACGGCGCGTTGCTCCTTGGTGACGTCCAAGAACGCATACGAGTACTGAAAGCCTCAAACCTAACGTCGCTTGCGTACTTGACCGCGGCGACTCACGGCTACGAGGAAGAAGCAGAAGAACTGAAGGGTTTAATCGGCAACGAGAAGAAGGTCCCTGATGTTGATCCCAACGCCAAATTCTTCATCCCTCCGCCTCCAATCCAGCAAGCCGAAAGCAACTGGCCTTTGCTCACGGTGAGCCGCAGCTTCTTCGAAACCAACGCTATGGTTCAAGCCGCTTCTAAGAGCTTGATGGTGGAACCAATCGCCGAACCTTTGGACGAAGACGTCGCGGGTTGGGGCGACGACGACGAAGAGCTTGACGTGGATACTGAGAGAAAGTACGATGATGCGGCACCTGCGGATAGCGAAGGTGGATGGGATGTGGAGGATGCGGATTTGGAGATCCCCGATTTGGGGACGTCGCAGCCGCAACAGTCAGCTGACAACTTCGTGCACTTGCCGACGCAAGGACCCAACGCGACTTTGACGTGGACGAAGAACTCGCAACTCGCCGCTGACCACATAATGGCGGGTTCCTTCGAGTCTGCGTGCAGGTTGTTGCACGACCAACTCGGTATAGTGAATTTCGAGCCCTACGAGAGCGCATTCATTGGTTTATATGGCGGGTCGAGGACCATCACGACTTGGCAAGCTAACGTACCGTCGAACTTTACTTATCCGTTGCGGAATTGGAAGGACGCCGGACCCAAAGGAGGACTGCCTGTAGCAGGGATCAAGCAAAACGATTTGGTTCAAAAACTACAGGTATTGTCGTGTGTTTTTGTAGCAGTAATTGTATTTAGTGATTTGTAGGTTTGCTATCAGTTGACGACGGGTGGCAAATTCAGTGAAGCGATCGAAAAGTTCCGCGGGCTACTTCTTCAAATTTCGCTTTTGGTGGTAGACAACAAGCAGGAGATTTCGGAAGCCGAGCAGTTGTTGAGATTGTGTAGGGAATACATTTGTGGGCTTCAAATGGAAACTCTGCGCAAGAGTTTACCGAAAACGTCCCTAGAAGAACAGAAGCGTCAATGTGAGATGGCGGCTTATTTCACCCATTGTAATTTGCAGTCGGTCCATCAGATATTGACGCTACGTACTGCTTTGAACATGTTTTTCAAACTAAAGAACTATAAAACTGCCGCTTCTTTTGCAAGGAGGTTGTTGGAATTAGGTCCCAGACAGGATGTGGCGTCCCAAGCGAGGAAGATCTTACAGGCTTGCGATTCTAATCTTTCAGATGAATTGCAGTTGCACTATGACGAACATAACCCCTTTAATTTGTGTGGTTATTCCTATACTCCTATTTATAGAGGTAAACCGGAGGAAAAGTGTCCGTTCTGTGGTACTTCGTATCTTCCGAAATATAAGGGATGCGTCTGCAGTGTTTGCACGGTGGCAGAAATTGGCAAAGATAGTATTGGACTGCGTATTAGTGTTCATCAGTTTAGATAAATGTTACTCCACTTAATAATATATTACAATGTGATTAAAATAAACGTTATTTAAGGTGTAATGATTTTTATTAGTTTCAAATGTTAAGAGTGGAGGAGTACTAACATGCATTTCTAGAACTACGAGTGCAGAAAAATGTAATTTCCGTAAATTTGTGTAGTTTGATGTTCAAAGTACTTCTAAATATGGATGGATTTGAATTCGTAAAGCGTTGTTTCTAGTACGAAATACAATTGTTTTGTTCACAATGGTACTTTAGTTGTTGAAACAACGGTTCGCGAACACGTTCTAAGTTGGCTTAATTCTAATACAAATCATACTTTGTAATGAAGCTGCTATTCGAGATGTAATGACCTTTATTAAGCTTCAAGTGTTTAATAACAGAGGAATAGGTACTAACATGCAATGCTAGAACTATGTATGTAAAAAAATTTCTAGTAACTATATCCCCAAAAATTTGTTAGAAACTACGAATTATTTTGTACCATTTAAGAACAAAACTGTGATCCAAATAGCGCGTGTACGTTTACTAATCCCCCCCTCCTTATCAGTTAGGACAAATTAAGATAACCTAAGTCGCCCGTTTTCTCGCTGTAAGCTTTATTTCAATATCATATCACAATCGTTCCTAATCTAAAAGAAACACAGTACATAACAACGACAGTAGTGGTTAAAACAAAAACCTTGTAAGGGCTTCAATCAAGGAACCATTGTGTAATGAAAGAGCCCGTCAAAAGGCACGATTACATTAAGGTGCATTCAGACCAAGGGAGCACCGGCGAATGATGTTCGGACTGGTTTAGATACACCTTCTTTACAACAAAAAGCACAATTCTTGGTGCTGGTAATTTTAAATTACAACAATTTAAAAATTCCTCCACTGGTCCGTAAATCAAGTTGAAAACAAATGGCGCAGTGACGAGGATTTTTTATCACAATGAAATTGCACAACAAAAGTACAGTTAAAAGAAATACACAAAAACGGCTTGAAAAAAACCGAGTAGAAAGATAATCACCATAATCTCAATGTAACTAGGACTACTACGAGATTTCATATTAGATTCCAATACACGGTTTATGTTCCTCTGTAACTGACTAATTTTTTCGCCATGTTCTTGAAGACTTTGCTCCAGGTCATGAATTGCCAACATAATGCTACAAATAACAACAACAGTGGTATAAACATGTCGCCGAAAATCGACATACAACCTTGAGTTTGTCGCCGCTAAAGGCATCTTCTTCACAGACTGAGTCGAGTCGGAATGAAATTCTTCGGAAGTTGTAGCACTATCATTGACGTCCGCGTCAGACGAAACTTGCTTGGGCGCCATTTTTCGTTTGGCGACTTTCAAAGTTGAAGAACGAGTGTCTCCTTGTTGCGGCTCCACACTTATTATACTGGCAGTACGAATCATGGGAGTATGATGTTTTGTTCTTGTTTGTATAAGATAGTTAAACTCATACTGATATAAATCATTCCGAGGATCCCAAGGTCGTAAATCTGAGTGCTTATAAACCCACTGCCCCGTTTTTAAATCTTGTTGAAAATGTATAGGAACCCAGTCCTCACATTTTGCTTTACGCTCTTTCGAACGTGCTGCAAACAAACGTGAACATGTTGCACAACACTGAAAAACATTTACGCATTTACCTCTTTGTGCTTCCTCTAAGACGGTTTTTTCTTCCGTGGCTGCGTTCATATCATCTCTTAATATCGCGGCTGATACGTGCTGCCACAGCCTCTCTGATTCATACTCTTCTTGATGATCTACAGGAACTGTGTATCGTGTTAACCGATGTCGGCGAACATTGGATGTAGGACACCAGAACGTTTGTTGTTCGCCTGTTCTTTTATCCTTAATGTAAATAGTACCATCCCAGTACCCGTCAATAGTTGCTAGAGTTTCTTTCCCGAGTCTCAATCGACCCGAAATACAATTCGTCTGCTCAGCTCCACCAAGAAAAGGCTACAAATGTCTACTTTATTAACCAACCGAGTCACATCTTTCATCATCATTACTTTGAGTTTAAATTCGATTTCTGTAAAATATCCGGTTTTTTCGCAATCTATTGATACCTTCCCACCTAACTCCATAGTGAGTGTACCCATTAAAATACCCTTACAGTGTGCATACGGGACGGTAATTGTGTAATCTTCCCCTCTCGGTAGGAAAGTTAAAACTGCTGTACCATCCAAGATGGCCGAGGTTGAGTTTCCGTAAAACTTCGACCTTGCCAAAATACTGGCACTTATCGAGAAACCATCTTGTCGATTAGTAACGTAAAACGCCGACACCTAATTCGACCAATCAAAATCTTACATAGCCAAAGTGTCTCAAACTTACAGGTGGGTGATGCGAAACCTGCTCAGCCAGATAAAACGTTTTCGAACCGTTAGGGTTCATCCAATAGCACCGAAAAGTTTCACCCAAAATAGGGTTATATGGTTTTTTCAAACCTTTCGGTTTTTTGTATAAACCAGAGAGATACCACTTCACCACCATTTTCATGCGGGTAAAGGCATCGTCTTCCAGAACAGCCCTAACGCGACGATTAACACACAACTTATATGGTATTTAGTGATTAGTGATTACTTACCCTGATAGAATATCAACGTGGTAGTACGAATCTGTTAATTTATCTAAAAATGAGCGTGGCTCTAGGATAAAAGTCGGCAGTACTACTTTACTTAAGTCCATCCCCGGCCGCACTTGCTTAACCAAGTACCATATCAAAGATTTGTGTTCCTCTGCTAGTTCTTCTACTTGAGCGCCGGCCTACGTTTATTATTAAGAAATACTCTGTGATTGATAATACTTACGTCGCCAAATTCTTCTTCGCTGTTTGGGACATACGGTGTCTCTGGAGGGTCCTCATCCACATCTTCTTCCTTCGCCGACATGTCCGAATCTGAATCAGTCATTTCACCGTCGCCTGTACTAAGTTGAGCTCCGTTATCAGGCTGACTAACGTCATCTAAATCTAAAAATGGACGATAAAACGACTGTTCAAACAGTACCGGCACACTAACCATGGTCAAAATGTTTTTCGTAATCGGCTTCATTCCATTGTGTCTCATGATTTGTGCTTCCTGAAGCTGACTTATTGCTAACTGAGCGTACTAAAGCTGAGTCGTTTCTTATAGAGATTTCTAAAGCGTCCAACCAACACATTCCAGACGCTTGTGATGGAGCACGGAATATCGAGTAGGAACTAGGCAACGGCTGCACCACAGCCCCGATCGTTTCATTTTCGGGCCCGCGAGGCGCCCAAATTGACTGATCTAAAGGATTGTAAAGCTTGAAACAAAAACCGTCTTTTTTACTGGGTCGTTCGATCACTTTGCACGAATTCAGCAAAATCGTTCCCACCCAGTGACTGCTCTGTAAAGGGCAAGGGTTAGTCAAGTTCGGAAAAAGGTGTCCCAACCGTTTTTCGGGCAACAAAATTCAAACACAACAAAGGTTTTTCACTGACTAGCAACACTATGACGTATGGCGATAAAACCAACGCGTGCCGTTTGTATAACAATGCACTGATTAATTGTCCAAACAAGATAAGTATTGTTTTGGTTAATATGGTAAACGACACAATTTTCGAACCATCATCTTCTTGCTCTCACACGAGTGATCACGACGTCTCCGGGGGAAGTGTTGTAATTCTGCGATGGCCGTTTTTATTTGGCACACTTGGGCCATTATGTCAATTACGTGATTTTGAACCTTCTCAGACACACCTCTTCCTACCCTATTGAAAGACTTGTCCAATTTTTACTATTTCATCATAATTAATGAAATTTTAGAATAGTTCAACTGTTGATATATACAGTTGATTAAGTAGCGTCTAAATTTGCCTATTTTGCAATTTAAAGTGAGTTCTATGACGTCACTTCTTGAAAAACAGACATACAAGGTGTGATGGTTCAGTTCTTGGGTTATCTTTTGTAATTATTCATTACCCATTATTGTCAAAAGCATGATTCATACAAACCATACTTTAGTTGAGTCACTACTCCTAAATAATAATTATAATAAAAACATGAAAACAATACATGGACAAATTGGGACACCTATTTAATAAGTTTAAAAAGAATACTTTGGCTTTGGGGCTCTTGTAAAGCAGCAGCAATCCCGGCTTCAACACGCACCACAACTTAGTCCATGACTTTAGGGTGCCCCTGATTTTTAGCCAGTCGGCTAAAACCACAACGGAAGGATCTTTGAGGGAGTTCAGTAATTCATTAGTGACGCGTTTTTTCTCTTTCCTGTAATTTTTGCGTTGTGCTTTGTATGACTCCTTCCTTGTCAGTTTGGAGCAGGTTTCGGGGGACTAAAAATTGCACTAAGCGTGGATAAAGGGGTTATGTTTGGGACTTACCCGGTCGGTGATGACGTCTGGCTTTTCGATGTGGCTGGCGACACCTGCAAGAGCAACTGAACTGTAAAAGGGCCACATCGTCAGCGTGAAATTACCAGGACTTGCAGGTCCGGGACTATTGCTTAGAGAATCACTCGAAGGAAGCTTTGGTAAAATATTAAGTAACGTTCTGGACTTTTTCTCCTCCGGTTTAGCAGTTTTGGCCGAAGGAGAGGTCACTGGTTGCGTGTGTATTTCGTGAATTGAGTGTGTACTTAAGTTAGATGTGTTTGTGGACATGTTTCTTATTTACCGAAATTGACAACTTAACCTTTTAATGGGTTACACCTACCCACCGTAACATTTCTTTAAAGCTATTTGTTTTAAATTGGCAAGCGACACTTAGCATATTAAATACTCAGTTAAGGAACCTTCGTGTTTATTCCATCTATTACTAGAAATTATCAATGTAATTGATAATAAAAACAATCGACTACCATGACTGACATTCGGTTTTTTTGGTATCAATCACATCATCGTTTATCAATTTTTGATAACTCGAAAACACTTCATATTATTGTAAACATTTCAGATGTTGTTTTAATGTTTATATTATTAAAAACACTGACGTTAACATCGCTATTTGCGAACACGCACCCATTGCGAAGCAAAATGTCACTGGTCGCACGACTAGGCCATTTTTAGTTCAGTTGCCGGATGCATTCGCTGGCACGGGCTATACCATGGTAATTTGCATTCCTCATGACGTAACATAATTCGGGTATTTTTCCATATACTACCGCCAACTTCGCTCTAAAATTCAACCGTCTGTAATAATTCTACTTTTATTCATAATCAATAAATTTCACTTACACTGATTTCTCGCACTCATAAAATTTTGCATATGCGTGATGGAAGTCGGCGAAGTATTGTGGTACAATGAACAGAAAATAAGAAAGGTAGTGGAAAATGGAATCTGACTCCATGCTAATAATTATAAACAACTGCGTTTAACGCGATGTTGTGCATCTTGCCTTGAAGACAAGGCTGTCTAAATTGGTTTAATTTTGTTATCTTATCAGCGTTTATTGTACCTACAAATTTTAACGTTCATTTCATGTTTTATGTTGTTTAAAGCAGGGGGAGAAAGCATTAACAAAAAATCAATTGCTGACCTTGGAGTATGGTAATCTTTTTTGCGCAGTTCGAGTTAATAACAAATTCATGTTTTTATTTATAGAAATCAATACATGCAATTAAGTAATTATTAAAATGTACGTACTTGGACGGATACGAAAGATGTCATTAAAGTTAAATGATCTTTTTTCTTGATAGCTGTTTTGACGTAAGTACATAACGTGTAGTAAAAAATGTATTAAAATTTAACTTTATAGTTAAGCAGCGGCGGCTCGTGAATTAAACAAGTGTCAACTCAAGAAACCAAACGAAGAAAAACTCAGTCCGGATCAATATATCTGTATTTAAGTTGGTTTACAATTTTCTGGAATTATTTTGCGTGTGTAAGCAGTTTTGGCGACGATAATTAAACGTGAACTAAAGTGAAGGAAACGGACATGAATGTTTGGTTTATTTTTCAGCTTCCAAACAGAAACGTCAAATATGACATGAATATTTTCGCACGGAACTACAATTACAAAGTAAAAATAAACGTAGTGAAGTGAACAAATATACAAACTATACCTACCTACCTTGGTTTTTCAAACACATATTTTAAACAAAGACGGTGTTAATATTTTTCTGTATACCTATAAAACCGTAGCAACAAATAAATGACAAGATGAAGGCAAAAATCCCAAACTTTTAAAACTTGAAGACAGCCTAGGTATACCTAAGTCATCTAATTTGTAGTCGGGGTACCTATGCGGACGCAAATTCTCTCAGGTTTCAGCTTTTTCAAACGACGGTTTAAATTTTCCGAAACCCGACGGAAACGGAAACGCTGAGGAAATGCTTAAATCGAACTTACGCTCACTCTTTTCTTTAGAATTGAGCTACGTAGCAGCAAGTTCTTCCTCTTCTGAGTCTGTTCGATTGATTTAGCCTCGCGTAAATTGCGTCACATATTGAAAAGGAGACGATTTCGTTAGTTTCCAACGTCCGACGGCTGCAGTTTTACAACTTAAGTTTTTTTTTTTTTTTCAAACTCCAGGTACCTGTAAATGGCTGAAATCTTTAAAGTTCCAAGACTGGGTTTACACTAAATCGTCTCAGATCCTAAAATTTTGGCCAAAAATGTTTTCTTTTAGTTTCTGATTTAAGAACCAAGATACACAAAAATGTTCCGCTTTTTATGTAAATGGGACACCAAGATCTGCTATAGCATAAAGTATTAACTTGTGGAAAAAACCAAGGACCACCTTGTAAAAAGTTCATAACCTCTATATTTAATTATTAATATAATTTCTACAAAAGGATTATTCGTTCGTTATAAAATTCACAAACAATTTCACTGTTTATTATTTCATTTGAAAAAACTTTGATGTGCAGTAAATAGGTCATTTCGAGAACCCTCACGTAAATCTCTATCTAATTGACTCGGAACTACTCAGTCATCAGATTTCTTTTTTCAAATACAGGCCGCGTAATCGATTCCACGTAGCCTCCAGAGTGCAAACAGGTTTTTCATTAAGTTCTTAACAAAATAAAAGGGTGCTTCACCGATCCAGCTTGAAAACTGTCATTGAGTATAGATTTTAAAAGAGCGGTAACCAGGTCTCATCTTTAAATTCATAGCCGGTCGAATCGTTCCTTGAGCGCTTTCCTAGTTTTGCGCTCGATTTTCAGTGCGGGTTATTAATTTCAGCAAAACAACACAATAGTTATGAATGGGTTAGCGATTAAGTTGATTGCAGTAATTTAGAGATGTATTCTGCAGGCAAAGAACACCATGAAATATGCGGAAGCATTTGAGTGACAGGGTAATCGATCAGTGACACGGACCAAGTTCGTTTATAAATGACCAGTGATCACCACATGCAAATACATGTAAATGTGACCAAGCGAATAAAGAAGCACCCCCATGTCCAGTCGACAATGGACAGCGTGGAAGCGCACTGGAACGTTCTGTTTAAATCACCCTTTTCATTATCTCAAATCACAACCATTAGAAAAGATTAAATCGGGCTATGATTAAAATACTCTTAAATTACAAACGTAATATTATGATAATGGGCACAATTAAGCTGTGGCACGAAAGACAAGATGGACTTCAACATGAGTCGTTAGTGTGACCACAAGTCAGGCTCACCATTACTTTTATGGTAGTGCGTAGCCGACTTGCAATATCATCTATATTTTAGAATTGTTTATACTGCAAATCAAAGAAGCAGCTTTATATAAAGTTCTTTAACAGCAGGGATCACCGAGCGCGGTTACTTTGTGCGGCGGACAAAATATATTGATCTCGAGATAAAAGAAAGCGTTTTAAACTGTAATTCGAACTATTAAAAAGTCATTGAAACCAAAATCGGTTAAAACCCGTTAACACACTGAAGAGTTTCTGGTTATAATTATGTGTATTAAAAGATTTTTTATTGAGGATTGTCTATTCATATTTTACAAGTAAATGCAACTCGGAACAAAATAATTTTTTATGAATCATGCAGTTTTCCTTGTTTAAATGAAGCATACTAAAGCAGTCATTAATAAATGACCACAACATTTCCATCCCAGTCCACCTACCAATAATTACTTATTGTCTGAGTATTTAAAACAGTGCCCTTGGCGGATCAGAGTCGGCGATCCCTGGGACCGCAAATCTGGGACATCGTTTTCAGCGACGACCGCGGATAAATCCCGAATCCAGTACCTTCCTTTTGGTACCCGGGGTCAAAACAAACAACTGGAACCAAGTATTGAGTAGTCCGAACTAGTTGGTGGCAATTTGAAACAAATGAGGGTTTGCCCTGAACGGACCAAAGTCTGCGGCTCAAAATTTAGGACCTCGTTTTGGACAGCCCGTTGTCTAAGGTGTAAGCAAGTAGAACCCCAATGGAAGGACAAATATATACAGGACTTTCCTCGTAGTATATATATATATATAGAGCAGGGGTCCTACAGCTTCTGCCGCATCCCGCATTTCGACCTCCACCTCTTTCGGTCTGTCCATTCTTCCTCTTCAATGGCTCTGTCTTCCATTATTTTCCGGATACCTTCTCTCCATTCTAGTGTTGGTCTACCTCTTCTTCTTTTGTTCCCTGGTACATACTGTATAGCTCGTTTTGGCCATCGTTCATCTCCCATTCTCATTACGTGGCCGTACCATAAAAGTTGTTTCGATTCTACTGTATCTACCGTGTTGTAAATTCTTCCAGTCTTTCTACGGATTTCTGTATTTGGGATATGTTCTAGTTTGGATATCCGACACGCCCTTCGGAGATAGTCCATTTCTACTACTTCCAGCTGTCTTTTGCTTTTTTCCGTCATTTGCCAACATTCTGAGCCATATGTTAAAATCGTTTCTACAACTGCCGTGTAGAGTGTCATTTTTGTTTGTAGTTTGATTTACGGCGACCAGAGTAGAGAATTTAGTGTTTGAGTTATTTTTCGACCCTGTTGTACTTTGTTTCTTATATCTCTTTGTGATGTCCCTTCTTTGGTTATTACGCTACCTAGATATTTAAATTCATCACATTTCTTTATTTTCGTGATCGACAGTTGGTCATCTTTTTCTTCGTCTTTTATTTTTAGGTACTCGGTCTTGTTTAAGTTGATAGTGAGTCCCCATTCCTCATATTCTGCTGTTAGTTTTCGAATCATGTAGTCCATGTCTTCCTCATCGTTTGCTATAATTACTTGATCATCTGCGAAAAAGACACTCGTTAGGTAACTATTTCCTATTTTTATTCCCATTTGTGTGCATTTTCTCCTCCAGTTTGTTAATGCTTCTTGTATATATATTTTAAATAGTGTTGGAGACAACGAACATCCTTGTCTCAAGCCTTTTGTAACTGGAAAAGGGTCTGAGATAGTATTCCGCATTTTGATGGCGCCTTTTGCATTTCTATACATATTCATTATAGCTTCAATGTAAATCTTACTTAGGTCTGCCTTCGTCAGTGTCTCAAAGAGTGTTTTTAAGGGCACAGTATCGTAGGCCTTCTCTAAGTCTATAAATACTATATGGGTAGGTAGATTTCTGGATGTTCGTTTTTCTATAATTTGTTGGAGAACGAATATATTGTCTATGCAAGACCTTCCCGCTCGAAAACCGCTTTGATCTTCCATTTCTCTATATTGATCCTCAATTCTCTTCTTTATTAATCGACCGTACAACCTTCCCATCGAAGCTTTAGCTCCGGATACTACGAGGACTGAAACAACAGTCCTCGTAGTATCCGGAGCTAAAACTAAAGGCTGGGACCAAATGTTGAGTGGTTCAAGAAAGTTTATGGGGAAGATTTATCCACACAGGGTTGACCAAGGGTAGTCTTCTCTGTTAAACACAGCTTTATCGGATAAGTGAATCACATATAACGCCTCTTTCTGCGAATTTCAATACATAACAGTGGTCACAAGGTTCAAAGAGCACATGACTCAGTAAAGTTCGGTATTACTGTGATAACATCTGGGCGGGGTTTTACTTGGACCCTTCAGGTAGGTACATGAAATACCAAAAATGCAAATATTTACCCACAGTTTAGTTTTATCTGAAATATGGGACTCCAAATATTGCACCACTTCCCTCTCTCTATGCTTTATAGATCCTCAAATCTATTGTAAGTTGAAACAACGTACACATTTTTTGTTTTGTGTGGAATATAACAAAGTTGCAGTTCCTGATTAGTTTGGCGCTATATTGGTCCCGGCACTAAAAGCACCTATAATTGCACTTTTTATTGTCTTTGTTGTGTGTTTATATTTCTGGTTCAGTAGTTAAAACCCAACTGCCATCACAAAATAAATGAATTTTGAAACCCCGGCCATAACTATCCCAATCAGTTGCGAACCTCATTCTGACTTCTTGCATAAATTAAACAATTTCATTAGCAACTTGCCACTCTAAATAACGTTTATGCGTATTTTCCATTAGCTTTTTACGGGTTTAATTGTATTTCGTTTAATGAAAATGCGGACAGGTAGGGAGGAAATGTTGTCCGGTCTATAAATTAAATAGCGTTCCACAAAGCTACGAAACGACCAATTCGTATAAATTGTACTCGATCATAAACTGGAATGTTCGAATTGGATTGCTGAGCGCGTTATCTTGGCGAGCATAACAATTCGAAAGTTTAATTGCGGAGTTAACTACTGCTGTGTCCATTACTACCGTTTAATGATGAGGTGCACGCTAGATAGATGTCTCTTTATACCAAACCTAAACTGACAAGGAAAACCTACATTAAACTTCTCACCGTTATGCCATGTAAACATTATTACGTATAATGTTTAAAGTAAAAAGTCGTTATTAATTTGACATGGTTTGAAATCAAAGTGTCATCACTGGCGATAATCCCGTGGAGTTTCTGTAATCGTTTATTTCAGCGATTAAACCTAAGTTTCATGACAGAGTGGACATTACTGATTAAATTTGATGAGCTATTAGCTGCAGTTAAGCACTTTTTATTGCTCGGCCAAGTTATGACTGCCAGGGTTATTAACAAAGCATTATAACTTAAAAAGAATGGGTTTTCGCAGCTTTTTACTTACATGTTATAAGAATTATATTGTGCTATAGACATTTTAGTGCTTTATTTTATTCTTTAGGCTTTAGTAGACACATAACAAATAAAACAACATTTTGTTCCCCACACTCCAACCGCTTTAGGCAAAAGTGGTCTAGAACCCGCACTACGTAACGCAGTTGTCACATTTATGAAGAACATAATTTAGTAGTTTTTAATATTGATATGAATATTTTGTAAGATGAGTATTGCGGAAATATTATTAAGCCACCCGATATTCAATAATTCACTACGTAATCTGTCAGACACTGGAACCAATTGTTATTACCTGATTAATAATATTTTCATCGACGGATCGAGGGTTCCGTCTAGCGGTCAGATCACCCACTTCGAGTCAGCTTTGCGTTTCGTCCGTAAGATGGCCTTAGGTGTCGGCCGTCCACCTAGCAAAATTCGGTCGTAATAAAAGCTGCAGGTTCAATATTTCATGGGCGAAATTTGCGATAAAATGTTTGTGCGATTATGGTGCAGTCAGTTTAATTTTCACTGAAATGAGTGCTATTGCGTATCCCCTCGAGGGCAAAAAATGCGTTCCAATTAAGGGTTGGGCCCAAATCAAGTTTATTACACATATTTAAAACATGCACATACGTGTATGTCCCCGGTATTAACGTCAACTTAATTTCAAGGATAATCACCGTTACTAGCTGAGTTTAACGAATATTTCTAATACGTTTAGGGCTTCATTTTAACTTAATCGCTAAGTTCTGCCGCAGGGGAAAGAGTTTAATGTTTTTAATCTGATAAAATAGGGCATATATGAAAGTCGAGCGACGGTGCGCGCACCGCACATAATTGCAAACCCCAAAGAGTTTAATCAACTTTCAACTAAGCTTCCAGGAAATTTGCTTGATCGTTATTATTACCACTACGCAACATCGACGGTGATTATCTCGTTGACCCTTCTTGAAATTATGACCGGTCTCCTAATACAGGTGTGCTGAGTACTGCCTGAATGATAATCTGGGGCATATTATGAACCAATATATTTTTTATCGTGGGGACTCAACATTTCGTGATGAAACTTTGAAAGTAGGCCAAAAATATCACAATTAACGAGTGTAGTTTGTGTTTATCAAAAGATAACTCGAAAATAGTTACAACTCGGAAGATTTAGTGTGATTCGAAGTTTTAACGGGAAATATAAAAATTTTCTTTGTCATCGTAGTATTTCTTGTAAGATACATGGAGAACCATATTTCAATAATGATATTTATGTAGATGGCGCCACCGTACCGAAAAGAACTGTCAGTTTTGACGTTCCTAATAAGATTACTAAAAACCACACTAACTGGATCTAGAAGATAAGATGATGTTGCAAGCACTATGCTACTTGGGTTTAACCTTGGATTGGAAGTGGTTATCAAAAATGAAATCTAGATTCCTAAGCCATCATAACAGCAGTGATAGAGTATTGAAAAGAAAAATCTTGTTCGTAGAAGAAAAAATAGGAAAACAATGTGAAAAAGGAAATTTCATGATGAAACTGCTGCGTTATAGCGATCGTGTAGAGAAGGGCGAGCGATGAGAAGTGTTAAAAATTTGAAAAAGTCAAAATTTAATGTGTAAATAAAACTCAGCTAGCCGCTTAATAATCCGAACAGCGGGATTGTTGGCACCAGCATCGAATTGGGAAGCTGAACGGAATAATAACTCGTTATGAAATGCGATTGCTACAGATCTGCACCGTAAATTTTAATGATACCGTTCTAATAAAATGGAAATTCGAAAAAAATTGAGTTAGAGCTGCAATGTGTTTTAGTGCTCCGCGAACTTTATTGACAATTAGCGGAAGAAATGGCGAAATTTCAAAGACGAGTCAATTCCTCTTTAATTCAATGTTTATTAGGTTCAATAGCTCCTTTGATTAAAAGGGGAAGCGCACTTTTATTTTCCAGGAAAGCTATAAGACCGAAATTGAACTGATTAGATCATTGCGAGTAGGTATCGATTTTGATTTAAAAATAGTGCATGGTAATTAGTTCCCTCTCCTTTTGAAAGTTTTCGCTTTGCGCAAAATTTTGTTATAGAAACGGATCGATGGATGAAGCTTGATTGAAGTGAATTTGCATTAGGCCTTAATTAAAAAGAGGTTGGGCTGTTGTGTTGTTTTTGCAGCATCGCATTCAATATAGTCCTGTTGAGTCAATAACTGTTGTGCTCAACTAAACATCGAAAAGCGCTGTGTTAATCAGATCAAAATCAATATTAGTGTATGAAACTGCGAAAATAAAACTTATTCGTGGCAGGCATTAATTTTCCCTTGGAACAAATTGTCGCTTCATTATCCGACTCCCCTACTTTTATTGGTTAGCACTGATGTAATTAACAAACCAATTAGCTAGTCGGTATTGTCCTCAACTAACACCGACATTTCGAACACCTGGGTCGGGAAATTCGATCACTGTCAATAATAACTAATTATTAAGCCTGCATTGTTACTTTTTAACAGCCACGTATTTCACAGAAGCGCGCTTTTATTACTTCCTTTTTAGTCGCGTGGTTTGAAAATATTTTAAAACAATTTATATTTCATGGTATTTTAGGTAAACGTTGCGGTGGCCATCTATCCTCACATTACCATTCCATTATAAATAGTTTTAATGGCCCATAAACAAACTTAAAACCCATCTAAAAAATGAAATAAAATACAAATCGTTCCGAACTTCCTTTTATTAGGTATTGCCTGTTAAATTAGATATGGACTATAACAACTTATACTAATGCTACATTGTTAGAGCGTGTCTTAACTGGTTTTATTACCTTTTATTTACGGAAGATGCAACAATGTATGTGAGAAACTACCAAACTCGCAACGATTATACCTCTTATTTATGACCAAATCGCAATAACTCTAACGGTCCAAAAATTGTTACCCTCGTATCCTCTACCATCATGACTCACACGATAATCAACGTGAACTGTATTACGAGCTACTTTAAATCTACACTTTGTATCGCCGAATAAAATACGAAATTACAAACATAATAACATCGCGAGCGCCATCTTTACATAAATCGTTACATCAACGTCACGGATGAGTTCTCTATACATTTTTAAACCACAAAAGTTTTGAGTTTATTGATATATTACCTGTATCAGGTGGTGTCTCAATTTTTATGGAAAATTTAAAAGACAGAGTATGCTGAATTAGGAAAAATTACTATCCAAGGGGATACAAGATAACACCAGGAATGTCCACTTTTCCGTCACGAATGCGCCATGATTCAAACTTTCCGCTAAAAAGTGATCTTACATGGCGACAAGAAGACTAAAGAACTTGTATTACTATTGTTACATAAAATCTGGGATATCTAAGAAAAGAGTACCAAATTTAAACAGGTTGAGTATACCCAATTACGAGTCATATCAACTGAATGCTTCTATGGTCCGTTTACCGAACAGATGGAGTAATCATGCGCATCACGTACCTACAAAGTGAAAGTCTAAGACATGAATGAAAACACGACATCTCTCGACCAATAGTATTAAGGTTTAAAAAGATCACGTGAAGATAATGTACTTTTACAAATCCTTCGGTTCGGTGATTTTGATTGCGATTCAACGAGGACCAAGAGGATTCAACACCTTTAACTTCTTCAACTTTCTATTATACTCAACATAAATCAGTATATGTAATAGACGAAGAATTCGATGCGTGGTTCTATCATGAAAATAAAGTACCAAAAGTGCCTCTGAAGTAAATTGTAAAAATTTTGGGGATCTCTTGTGTTTTATGTGAAAGAATCTCGGAAACCACCTGTGAGTCTCGTTTTTGAAGTAATTTGAAAGAATCTCTTGTTTTTCAAGTAGTTTCAACAAATATCGGGCTTGGCTGTTTTTGAAGTAATTTGAAAGAATTTCTGTGACTCCTTGTGTTTGTTTTGTTTTTGAAGTAGTTTGAAAGAATCTCGGGCGAATCCCTTGTCTTGTTGTTGAAGTAATTTAAAGAATTTCCGGGACCTCTCTGTTTGTGTTGTTTTTGAAGTAGTTTGAAAGAATTTCGGAGACTCTCTGTATTTTGTTTTTGAAGTCGTTTGAAAGAAAGTCGGGGATCCCTTGTCTTGCTTTTGAAATAATGTGAAAAAATCTCAGGGACCGCTTGCGTTTAGTTTTTGAAGTAGTTTGAAAGAATTTCGAAGTCCTGTGATCTGGGATGTCTTGTTTTTGAAGCAATTTGAAAGAATGTCGAGGACTCCTTGTCTATTTTTTGAAGTACATAGTTTGAAAGAATCCCGGGGATTTCTTGTCTTGTCTTTGAGTTTTGAAAGAATCTCGGGGACTCTTTGTGTTTTGTTTTTGAAGTAGTTTGAAAGAATCTCAGAGACCCTCTGCGGGTCTATTTTTTGAATAATTTGAAAAAATCTCGGTGACTACTTGCATTATTTTTTTGAAGTACATAGTTTGAAAGAATTCCGAGGATTCCTTCTCTTATATTTGAGCTAATTTGAAAGAATCTCGGGCACCTCTTGTGTTTTGTTTTTCAAGTACTCCCTTGTCTCTTGTTTTTGAAGTATTTGAAAGAACCTCGGGGACTACCTGTGGGTCTTGTTTTTGAAGTAATTTGAGTCAATGTTTG